GTCAGTTAAAAAATACTTAGCTCAACTGGGAAGGAGACAGACCACCTGGCGGGTACATGGGTCAGAGACCGCACCCCTCCACCAAGCCCAAGGAGATGGGGAATAGACTAGGCAGCTTCTCCTCCACAAGCCCCTCCCGCCCCCGGGTCTCTGCATACATGACATTACTCGCTGTTGTAATACAGTGACTGAAAGCTCTTCCAGCATCCATGCACTTGCTGGCACAAGGCTGGGGTCCAGCCACAGAGCCTGATGAACTCACTGAAATCAAGCCGCCACACTGCCAAGCTGGCCTAGAGAACTTTCCCAGAACAAATACCTCTGGATCTTTCCAGAACTCCTGCTCCTGTATGTCAGTGCCAGTCGCCTGGCCTAGGACTCATCTACACCTTTGGCTTCTCCTTCTGCACCATCACCTCTGTCTCCTGCTCCCTAGTGGCCCCTGGCCACACCGCTCTCCTGTGGGCCATGAGTTGGTGACAGAAACTGTGAGTGAAGGTGTCCTTTCCAAAGCAGTCTGCCAGACCCCAGTCGGGGACAGAGGGCATGGAAACAGGGGCCTGGAGCTCCTTAAATACCACTGGCAGCTTCCTTTCCTCCTACGATGTTACCTGGGGCATTTAGCTTCAGTTCTTTCCTTCCGCTAAAGGTTTTAAACTCACGTTCTGTTTTAGCTCTAAATCTTCGCCTGACATCCCCCAAGATGATGAAAACTTGTTCGGAGTCCTAAACCCTTGGGTACAGGGGCGCTGCAGCCAGGGCGGGGGCGGGGGAACAGGGATGGGAGTGGGGAGGCCTGACTTTCGGGTGCTAGATGTGTGGCAGGTGCTTGGCTGAGGGCTGTGCCCCTTCCTGGGGCTGGGGAGCCGTGTCCCCCATGCATCGCCTTATGTCCTCCTGGCTGGTGTTACTAACCCGTACTGCCTGAAAAATGAGAATTAGAAAAATGGATTTGTGGAAATAAAGTTAAACAAAGACTTTGGAGAAAGTCTCCATGCAACGGATTAAAAGTTTTCCCTAAATCTGCCAGTTTCCCTTACCCTAAAAGATGTTTCTTGAGGCATTGCTTTAGACCTGCAAAACAGCTCCATCCTGTGGGCGCCACTGAGTGCTAGCGACACATGTGCATATGGTGGTGGCCCTCTGTCAGCCAGCATCAGCTGCCCCAGCATTGGGTCTGCACTGGCTCCTGGGGCGGGGCTGTGCAGGGGCTAACCTCACGTTCACGTAGCGGCTCCGCCTACTGCGAAGTTGACCCCTCCCATCATCTGCATAATTAACCCCCAGGAGGAAGATCCCCAGCGGCACAGGTGGCCAACTTCAGAGGTCTGAATAATTCTACGACAAGGGACAGCGGAAGCAGTTACTCTAAATTAGGATGAACACTGCTGCTTTGTGACTCAAATAGAAAGTGCACCCAATAGCATTCCCATATACTCGCTGCTCCCACATAGGCGCATGCTCCCTCATTATCCACGCCCCCCACCGGCGTGGTGCCTTGGTTAAAATTGACACACTGTCAATCATCCAGAATCCTTCATTGATCTTAGGGTTCCCTCTTGGTTTTTACATTCTATGGATTTGGACAAATGTATCATGGCTTGTTTCCATCATGACAGCATCATAAACTGTTTTCATGCATGGAAAATCCTCTCTGCTCTACCCTTTGACCCCTCCCCACTCCACCCCACACCCACCTCACCCCAGGCAATACTGATCTCTTTACTATCTCCATAATCTTGTCTTTTCCAGAGCGTCATACGGTTGGAATCATACAGTATGTAGCCTTTTTAGACTGGCTTTTTTCACTTAATAATATGCATTTAAGTTTCTTCCATGTTTTTTTTTCTTTTTTCATGGCTTGAGTTTTTAAAAATTTATTTTATGTATGTATGTATGTATGTATTTAAAGATTTTTATTTATTTGACAGAGAGTGAGAGAAGGAACACAAGCAGGGGGAGTGGGAGAGAGAGAAGCAGCCTTTTCCCTGAGCAGGGAGCCTGATGCCGGATTCAATCCCAGGACCCTGGGATCATGACCTGAGCTGCAGGCAGATGCTTAATGACTGAGCCACCCAGGTGCCCCACGCGTGCAATATTTAAATAATTAAACTTTTAACTGATAATTTCTGTAAGCTTGGAGCATTTCCACTTCTGATCTGGGAGACCCTGTATATAGCCTCACATAAGTACCATCGGACAGAAAAATAAGGATCTCTATACCTAACCCAGGAAATCAGAATAAAGAATAACACACACATAGAAAGAAAGAAAGAAACAAAAGAAAAGAAAGAAAAAAGAAAGAAGAAAAAACAAGAAAGGCAGGAGTCAAGCTTTCTAAAGTAAAAAGCACATACACAATAGAGAAGATTACCAACCATACCTTGAAAATATGAGTAGGATAGATGGACCAGCAAATTTGGTTAATGGAAATACGTGTGAACACAACCACAGATATTTACTACTTAAAACAATTAAAATGTTTTTGTTTTTTTTTAAATACCTCTTACTCCAAACAATGTAGGCTCCTGAGAACCAATCACTTGTGCACACTGACTGCTCCAAAGCACCTTTCTGCCAAATAATTTGTGTCAGGAGGCCAATGAGATGTCAGTCTGTTATCTCTAGCTGTGAAAGTAAATGTGTTCTTCCTTGTTAATACTGTGTTGAAAGGCTGTGTTTAGAGGAATTAGGGCAGGTAAAGGCAGGAGTCGCCTGGTGTCTGGTTTTTCCTCAGTCACCCTTGTTTTCCTTCCCTGCTGCCCCCAAACCTGGGCCAACAAGGACAAACCCCACTGACTTCGTGATGTGGAGCAGCCCAGATGCAGAAGGCAGAGGAGAGAAGCAAAGATCGTCTGGCAGAGCCGGAATCTGGAGCCCCTCTTGGCAACACTGATGATGCCCGGGCACCCCGGGAGGGGACTGTGCAAGTCCCCATTCGGGGGTGAAGGTGGGGACTCAGCAGCATGGACTGGAGGAGCAGGGTAGGCTGGACCTGTGAACTCTCAAAAGGAATTCATTGACACTGCCTCCCAGGACCAGGCCCCATGACGTGGGGATGCTGCTGGGAATCGAGCAGATGGAACAGCTACCCCTGGGGACAGAGACCCATGGAGGGTTGGATGGGGAGAGCAGCGTGGGGGACCTCAGAAAGGAGGGCACATTTGTGATGCTCCAGGACTGTGGGCTCCAGAGTCCAGGAGCTAGATAAACCATTCCCCTACCCAAAAGTTAGGGAAACTAACATCACACACACAGAAGCCCCCGAAAAGGGCTACACTTAAATACGATATCAAATGCTTATCAGTAAGAAAAAATAAAAGGCAGGGTCAGGTCCTTAGAGACAAAAAAAAAAAAGTTTACCAGAAAGCCGTGCTCACAAAGAGGATAAAAACTATAACCCAATATTTTAAGATAAACTAGAATAGATTAAGGAAATGATATTAAAGAACAATAGAAATCAGGATTTGAAAAATAATTATTTTAGAAAGGACAATTAAACTAGAAGGACACTCTCTTTCTCATTCTCTGACAAATAAATAAAATCTTTAAAAGAAAAAAAAAGGCGGGGGGAGGCGCCTGGGTGGCTCAGTTGGTTAAGCATCTGCCTTTTACTTGGGTCATGATCCCAGGGTCCTGGGATGGCGCCCCCCATTGGGCTCCTTGCTCAGCGGGGAGCCTGCTTCTCCCTTTCCTTCTGCCCCTCTCCATGCTTATACTCTCTCTTTCTCTCATTCTCTGGCAAATAAATAAATAAAATCTATTTTAAAAAAGTAAAATAAAAACATAAACTGGAAGGACAATAAGACAGTTATGACAAGGGACAGAGTCACCTTATAGATGGGGTCACCTTATGCACAAGGTCACCCTACAGACAGGGGTAACTGACCCAGGCCGCAAGAGAGGGGAGGGCTGTGGCTATATCGCAGGGGTGAGAGGAATATGTTGGTGCTCCGGGGTCCCTGGGAGACTCAGTGACCCACACCCAGACTGAAGAGTAAAGAGGGAAACACAGCAGCTGTGACCAGAGCTCACCTGCAGCTGCGTGCTGGGACAGCCTGTCCCTCTGCCTGAGCCTGCCTTGCTGACCACTGTAACTCCTGGGTCACTGCCCAAATGTCCTTTGTTTCTCTTCATTTCAGAGGCTATCTCCAGAGAGAGCAATCTAAGGGGCGCCTACAGGGCCAGGGCTTAGAATGTGGCTGGTACAGGAGGGTGATCCCTTCATGTTGTCACATACACGAGGCTGAGAGGGGAAGTGACCTGCTGGCCTGGAGCTTCCCCACCCCACAGGAGCCGGGAGATCTCTTCACTCTCTGCCATGTCTCCTCTAGCCTCCACATGCCTCCCTAAAGGAAGCACATCCCTTCTACATTTCTTTATTTCTAGTTTTCTAAATTTCCTTTCACATTTTCCCTTCTGATGCACGGGGAAGGTTTTTCTTGAACCCTGGAAACTGTTCTCTTGAGGAACTTGGGCATTCTGGTGTACTTTGACTTTACACTTTTCTTCTCAGGAACATTGCTTCCTTCTCCTCTTTCCTAAATATGTCATAATGAGCTCTCTGGAAATTCCCTTGAGTTGACATTTTTAAAAGAAAGAATTCACAACCAGAAATATGCACAATTATTCTTGCTGTTGTTGGGGAATCAGAATGTGGTCCAAAGAGTTCCCCTAAGTAGTCAGAGCTTATTGTTACTATGACTGGAGGACTTGATTTCCTCAGGGCGGAAGTATGTTGGCTTTCACATTTGAAGAACAAATATGCACTAATTTTCTAGAAGACACTCAACAGCCCCGGATTCACTGTAACTCTTTGGAAATTAATTTGTTACCGGATGCATCCTGCTTATATTATTCACATGAGAAAGACAAATAAAACCAACAAGAAGTGAATTCTTCCCTCAGTTGATTTTTTTAACACCTTGTTTACATAGGGTTGAAAACAGTCGTTTTTCCTACTTCATGCAAAAGAGGCAGAATGAAGAGTATTCTTGAACTGACTTTGCAAGATGTGCTTTATTTTAAATCAGTCCTGAACCCAAACTACATAGGATCATTTTTTTTTTGACGTATTCTATTCCATTCAATGATTCCTCACAATACGGAATGAAAACTACATTTCAATCATAAATTTTCATGCTACATTGTTATTTAATGAAGAGGTTGTATTACCAATAATAATAATTTAAGAAAAGGCCATTTTTTTTATTTCCCCAAGCTCAATATACATATTTCTTCCATAATTATGAACTTAAAAAACCCGTCTCAGATGTAAAAATGTGAACTGGAATATGTAAACTCTTTGATATACCTGAAAAACAGGGAGGAAAATGTCACATACTGGAAAACACCATTGCCTTAAATCATCGAAATGGGAAAAAGCGTGTTGGAGGGGAGGGGGAAAGGTAGAAGAGCGTTCATGACCTCAGTTAGTAAAAGTTACAAAGTCAGAGTATTCATTCCACACCCAGCTGGGCGCCATTTTTATCTTTCTACCTGGAGCTTGTGTCTGACGAGGAGCAGGAACTCTGAAGCAGAACAGCCACCCTCACGGAAGCGGGTCATGAGCCGGGCCTCAACAAAGCCGGTCCACATATTTGTTTTGCTGCTTTTTTTTTTTTTTCCTGAGAAGTCACTGGTGTTTAATGGAAAGATTTTTTAATTAGTCTTCAGTTAAGATAAGGCAGTAAGAGTGTCACTAATGTTAACTTTTTGCTTAGAATGAGGCTTATCCTTCCTCTGGTATCTTCATGGGTCTCTAGCTCCCTTTCTCGTTTTCCCCTAGAAATCCATTCAGGAGTTTCAGCCTCCTATTGCTGTTGCATATTTTTGGGGTGTGCTGAGTCCCATCTGTTCTCCTCACCACAGCTTCCCCACTGGTGACAGAGCGCAGTGTCCGCCATTATAGCATCTCTTCAGGAAGGGTGCTGTCCCTGTGCAGAAAAACACGGGTGTCTTTCCTTCTCCCTTCATCTTCTCTCCTGTTTCTCTAAGAGAGGAGATCCATAAATGACTCCTTTGCATAGTCAATCAGAACACAAGACACTGTTGACTAAAACATAAAACAAGTAGCCCTGATTTTGGAGAAATGGAATTACAAACAACTTTTTCAACAGCGCCTTCATTTGCAAGGTAGCTTAGACTGCAAAAGGAAGTCAGCTCCTTCTGACCACCTGTCAGAAGAGAAACCATTTCCATCCAACTAGAAATGCTTAGCTCTTATGAGAATATTGTGCTTTTTTAAAAAAATTCAAATGTTAACTTGAGTTGGAGTCTGTGTCTTAAATGATCAATTTGTTTTTTCTCTAGTCCATTTGATCATGGTTTCTGGTGAGCGGTACAGGAATATTAATTTGGCATAGAGATCTTCCTCTAGTTCCAGTTCCCCTGTCTCTCGAACTAAAAAAATATCTGTGCACAACTTCAGGATTCGATCCACATTTGGAAGCTCTTCAAACATGATCGAGTGAGAAATGCCACTGAAGAATTCACGGACAAACTTCCCAATCACAAGGACAACTGAAGCATATAATCCCATGATACTGAAAAAAAAATTGAGTAGAAATTGTATTTACCAGTTAAGTACAGTTAATAGAACATATCTAAAAGAAAAAAAAAAACACAGTATTTCCCTCCAACTCCACAGAAGATATGATAAACTGATCAAAGTTTAAAGTTTTTCCCTGACAGAACTATAATACTTGAAAAATGAAAATGAAAAAAAAAAGCCAAATTTTGGAAATAACCGATGTTAAGAGTTTCACAGATGAACTTCAGGTGGTTTTACTGCATATATTAAATAAAGAAATCACATAATACATTTGGTGGAAATGCCACTGTACCATATATACTTTTCTGCACCCAGCACTTTATTTTTATAAATACAATTCTGCATAGACAATGATTTCTTAACAGATGTTCATGTCCTATTGGGGATGTATGTGTCCTAGCATTTAAGGATCAGAACACTGTGAAATGGTAGCTTCAGACCATTCTGGACATCAGACCATATCCCAGACTGCGACGTCTGACTAAGACCATGTCTGCTAAGGTCAGAAGGCAATCTAAATGGAAAAGAGGTAATCCAACATCAATTTCTATGTCTAAACACTGAATGGCCTCAAACATAACAGGAAGGTGTAGAGCGAAGAAACTGGACATATGACTTCTAGACCTGTCCTTAAGGGTGTTACTCACATCAGGCATTTTGACTTCTTTGGGACTCTGGTTCTTCATTTTTTTAAATGAAGGGCCAATAACCTATGAATTTTAATGTTCATCTATTAAGTTCAAGAATTCTGGGAAGACACAAGGCTTCCCATCCTCAACATTATATGATACAGAAGTAGACTCTTAAAAATGTTAACTATGAAATAAGTTCTTACCCATAGCCAGCCAGGAACCCCAGACTTGGGGGGCTGACTTTGTCATTGAAGACCACCAGTTCCAAGGCCTGGGCATGCTGATTGTATATTCTATTTCCAGTCAGGTTGAGAACCCACCACTCACTGTTAGATTTAGTTGTATTGTCTCTGGACAAAATGATGGTGATATTCATGAAATTATTTTCTGGAAGAAGAGTAAAATGAAATTATGTTAGCATGAGACTATTAGGATTTAGGCTCAGCAGTCCTCAGATGGCAAATCCTGGTTACTACTATCCATAGCATAGTGTATAGTGCCTGGATGAGTAGGACACAGGGACATGGTAACAATGTGAATGGGGAAAGAAAAGTGGGTCCTAGGTGTGCATATTTTCTCCTTGTCACTAAACAGGTAGCTCCTTGCTGCTGAGTGAGCATGGCAGACACATCACAGGAGAGAAAAATGACCCATCACCTGAGTGTCTTTGCTGAGAATTCCAGACAACTAATTAGGCATTTAAAAATCCAAAATCACCAACTTTTTAGTGCATTGGCTAATTCAATCCTATTACCAGCACTTATTAAGTGTCTTCGAGAAGAAGGCCCTCTGTCAGGTGATGTATACAAAATTGCATACAGCATGATTCCATATCTCAACAGGAGCAGGCCATGTATACAAGCGTGACTTATGGGCATGAGGAAACCACTACAGGACCTGCACCCACAAGTTCTGTTAGCATGGGGAGACTACTTCTCCTTGGTAGGATCCAGGAGGGCTTCCCAGAGGAGACGGCTTCTGAGCTGAGTTTTGCAGAACTTCAGTAAGTGGGGATGGTCAGGGAGAGGAGGCTATTTCAGGAGGGCTTGATGGCGTGAAGCTCAGTAAAGTTCTGAAAATCCATGATGCATGGTTAATGATTGCTTTTGTTGGAGCACAGAGTCAATATAAAAGAATTGTGAAAGGGTGGAAGAAAGCTTGGAGTTCTTTGAGTAGGTCTTTCTAAGAAAATACCACCCCCGTCAATAATAATAGGGCCTCGGCTGAGAATTCTGGTGGTGGACTGTGAGGGTAGGGGCCGCGTCTGCATTATTTCCTGCTAAATTCCTGGATCAGAGGAATCTGGGACAGTGCCTGGTAATGAATGTCTATTTGATGGATGGATTGGATGGATGGATGAATGGATGGACGGACAGATGGATGGAATGATGGAGAGTGAGGTAGGAAGCTCTTAAAGATAAAGAAACCCTTACCCAGCCTGAATGTGAACCATTCAGAATGCTCAGGAACAAAAAGAACTTTGGTTCTGAAGTCTAGAGAGTTCTAAGAGGGGACATCTGGACTAGGTTTGAATCTAGTTTGTTCACATATCAGTTGTATAACCTCTGATGAGTAATTCACACCCTGAGCCTCAGTTTCCTCCTTCATAAATTGTTGATAACCACCAACCTATGCTAAAGATTAGACGTTACTAAGTAAAGAAGCTCATCAGAAAAGCTATTGTGTTGGCAAGACCCAAGAGCACAAGACCGTGTGGTCTGGGGAAGAAGGACTTCGTTGGCTGGACCTCAAATGACCCTCAGCCAACGAGCCTATGTTTGGGGAGTACAGAGCATGTGGCTGAGAAAGGGGAAAATAAGGGTGGAGAAGGGCTGGAAATCTGGGCACAAGGTGAAGCTGACCCTGGAGGGAGGAGTCCCATCTTCCTGAAGTTGAAAGGAAGTGGGGGGATTGGTGAACATTTCAGCCCATTGCCAGGGAGAGGGAGGCAGCTGAAGGAGGGCCCTGGCCGGCTTGCGGGATCATTTGATGAGAGGGCAGCAGCTGTGAAGGGCCCACTGAGGGAGAGTAGTATTTCAGAGGGAATGGCAGATCGCTGAGCAATCTATGCCCTTGGACTAAGCATTTCTAGAACTATCTGGGCTGAAATGGAAATATCAAAGTACTCAGTGCATCTCACAATTACCATGTAAGACATATGTATTATTTACTGACTATTGAGGAAGAAGAGCATAGAGATGTGGGGACCCACCCATGCTTGTCTTCTGAACCTCTATCCTGCCTCTACTTCTGCTGGTCTCCATGGGACCTTCCAGCTGTTCGTTTACATCTCCATCTTTCCAGGTAAACATGAGCCTCAAGGAGCCTGGTGTCCAGTGCCTGACACACTGTCTGATGACCATGAGCAGCCCATGTTGGCAAAGGAGTGAACATGACTTGGATAACTGCTTTGTCCTTTTACTTTTACCACATGTACCCATCTGCTCTGATCCAGATAACTGATGAAGTCAAATAATGCTTAGTAATTAATGCTTAAGAATCCCCAAGCATCAACATGCTACCATAACTGTTTTTTGGGGTGCATACAGTCCCTAGAGGCTGACCTTGATACTTAACCACCCTTGGGCTGAATCAAATACATTTCGTGCTCCGTTTTTATTGTTCTTATCATAGAACTTTCATATTTAATATTGTGTTAGGCCGTTTTCTGCCTAAGAGATGGACGTTAATAGAAACAAGTGAACAGACTGATGAATCAGTAACAGAAGCTGCTAGAAAACAGATTTAAGCCAACCATGTTCTATATCAATGAAAACCATGAGGAATATGGTTCCTGGTGCCTGACTGGCTCCTTCTGGCCAGTGACTGTAGCTGGGAGTCTCTGGCTTCTGTAAGCCGCGTCTCATAGGGAAAGAAAACTGGAAAGCAGCTGGAGAAAGGCTGAAAATGCAAACTGTAGTCACTGATAAAAGAATTAAAAAGAGTTATGAAACAATTCCTTTTCATCCTTACCAGACAAAAGTTGCTTTATAGGTTTTGAGTTCGAGTCACTAGGTGCTTTCACGTAATATGGGTAGATCCTTTCTATAGTCCTGTGTGTTCAGAAAAAAAAAAGGATGGGGGGAGGGTAATGACGTTTTAGTTGTTTTATCCACATAAAATTGACTTTTGTTGCCATCTTTTACCTCATCTCAAACAAATAACTGTGAGTCTTTGTACTTCTACGCAATGTGATGTCATCACAATTTACGGGCCCCATTATAATCAGAAATTTCTGAAGCCAAACAAATTTAGTGGTTCTATTCAAAAACTTAGGTAAACTCTGTACATGAGCTTATTAATGCCTTAAAAACTACCTGCGACTGTTTCTGAAGCAAGGGGCTACCTTTCTTGCTAGGATCTATGTCTGTACTCTATGTAGATATATAATTATATCCATAATCAAGTGGACTGCATGAATCTATCTAGTGACAAGATTGAGGCTCGAGGAGGCAGCTGGTGGCCTGGATCTGACCCTCCCTCTGCAGAAGACGAACTGATTAACGTGAGCAGGTCACTCTGTCCTTCTAGGCCTGTTATTTCATGGGGAAATGATGAGGAAGATTTGACAATCTTTGAGGTTCCTTTAACTGTAGTGATTAAAAAATGCTGTCTTAGGGAAAACAGTGTGAGGACTGCATCATGGCAGCTCTGATGCTCAACACAGCACAGTGGGGCCAGGACAGACTGGAGGTCAGAACTAGACATTGGCCAGTGAATGTGATTTAGCGGTTTTGCACCCATAGCATTTCAACCCTTCCTCCTAGTTCTCGTACTAGAATCTAAACATCCCAACTTGGATTTGTTTGAAGTGAAGTATTTATATGGCAAGATAATATATTAATATAGAGATTCCCCCCCAAACCCCTGCCAAATTTCCCTTTATTCCTTATCTTCCCTGTACCCCCATCCAGTAGCCAGGCATTCAATGAGCCCAGGTCAGGAATAAGAGTAAAAGAGGGGTTTCCCAGGGGCTCTCCTTGGCTTTTGGTGATTATGGTCAGATAAGAGCAAGGTCTGCTACCCAGAGACAAGATCAGGGCTCCCAGGGCTAGGTGGTCAGAGAGGAAGAGGGGAAGAACACAGAGCTGTCTTAATGTAACATAATGAGATCTCCAAGTAGAGATTCACTTGGGTTACTGGAGAATGGAGAAAGTTGCATTTCTTGCTTATGTGAATTTGCAAATGGAAATTTTGTACCAGACATAGCCATCTATTAAAGCTAATGAACAGGAGCAATCACTTACACGGGCGTTCTTGAACTTTCTGTGTTGTTGCCAGCGATCATTTTAGCTATATTCTTACGTGTAGTATTTTTAAGAGGAAAAGATAGCTTATCGGTTGCTATTTCTGCTTTTGCACCCAGACTCATGTTTCTGTGAAGAAAGATAAAAGGGCCCAATGTCAGTGATTAGTCAGAAGTCTGGAAGAGAGATTCAAAAATTCACTTGACTATTTTATTAATCTCACCAAGTCTTCATTGGGTCCACAACTGTCAACCCCAACCTTTTCTGTCCACCTCACCTTTATGTCCAGCTTCATAGACAACCAAGTTAGTAACCCCAGGGAGGCCACAAACACCTTTAAAACAGACGGCACGTGAGGAGGCAGTCTGCTGACTAAAAGAGAAACTGTCTTGATGCTCTGATATGAATTTCTGCAACATTCTTATATTAATCCAATGAGGTTAGTCTCTATGCTGACTAATAGAATCCACGTTTTTAAAAGAACGTTCAATCAAAATCTGATCTTTAATGTTGTTAATTTTTTGGTAGCTCTTCAAAGAAAAGGCTAGAAAATAAATTTTTGGCAGTCCAGAATTTCGTGTGAGGAACTTGGGATGTAAATTCTAAAGGAGAAAATAAGATTCAGGAAGGAGTTCTTTCGATTCTGAACAGCCCCCTTTGAAATCATTTTAGATTGGAGAAGGCTTCCTAGGTACCTATCATGATTTTTTTCTTAATTTCATCCTAGAAACCAGGAATCATGGACCCAAATGCACCTATCACCTGACTTCCCAAATAAGTCGCCAGAGAATCCTGAAATCACAAGACCGTGATAACAAACAAACAAACACTAAGCCTTTCCAACTAGCTTATCTTGTCAAGGTGTCCCAAGTACTTCACTAACACACTGGGTTTTTGAATGCGAGAACTTTTCTTAAGACATGCTCTTAGGAATGGATAAAGAAGATGTGAGATATATATATATATATCCATATATATATATGGATATTACTCAGCCACCAAAAAGAATGAAATCCTGTCATTTGCAAAGCCATGGATAAAGCTAGAGAGTATTATTTTGAGCAAAACAAGTCAGAGAAAGACAAACATCATATGATCTCACTCATGTGTGGAATTTAAGAAACAAAACAAATGAGCAAAGGGGGGGAAAAAAGAGAGGGAGAAGGAGGCAAACCAAGAAACAGACTCTTAACTATAGAGAGCAAACTGTTGGTTATCAGAGGGGAGGGGGGAAGTAGGTGACGGGATTAAGGAGGGCACTTGTGATGAGCACTGGGTATTGTATGAAAAGTGCTGAATCACTATACTGTACGTCTGAAACTAATATCACACTGTATGTTCACTGGAACTTAAATAAAAATTAAAAAAAAAATGAGTGAAGTAGTGGCCTCATGCTGGCCATTGGCTCAGGTTAGGTGGGAAGGAGTCTCTCTCAGCTCTCGCCTTTTGGGACTGCCAGGCTGATCGCACACACTATGTGTGGAGAAAAAAATCTGTTAGGGTTTCCCCGTGTTGGGGGGATGGATGCAAGTAAGAACTGGGGTTCCTGAGGCTGCCAGTTCTTAATTCCAAAGAACAAACTTCACCCTTTCAGGGAAATCTTACCACCATCCAGACTATTTCATTTTTATGAGTCCTTACCCATTTCCCTTTCACTTTGCCTCTCTCTCTTGTTCACAGAACTCATTGCCAGCCTCTCTTTAAAGACTGAAGTTAGCAGGAAAAAGGAAAACTATAAGGTTCTTATTTTTTGCCAAAGATTCTCAGGCAGATCATTATTTAATAAGCACAAAAATTTAGCTGTAGCATCAAATGAATGTTTCCAAAGCATGATGTCAACTAAAACCCACATCAATTGAATTTTTCTGTCCTTCTATCCTCCCACCCCCGCCCCGAGTTTAGCTTGTGGGGAAAGGGGGAAATCATACATGGAAAGACAGTAACTACCTCTGAATACTCCATGAAAAAACAACAGAGAAGCTACTATTGGGGTCCATGAGTTCCTCTATCATTTTCTGCTTACTGGGAGGGCTGATGGTCCACAAAGAATTTGAGTTTCCTTCCAGTTCTGCTACTGTTATGTCTTCTTTTTCATAATTTTCCAGAAATTGCATAGCACCCTGTATGCACACAAATACACATGCATAAATATATCATAGACATGGTGATGTATAAATAAAGCAATTGCTCTTCCTTTTAACTGACTGCTGAATGAGGATTTTTTCCTATGGAAGGACAGTTTCTACAGTGGATGGGCTTGGTGCTCCATGGTACTACTTCCCCTCTGCATGTGGAATGGGCAGCCCCAGTGACACAGAGCAATCTCAGTACAGTACAGGTACAGAATAGTTTCAATTAATCAATAAAGACAAATCAAAGGATTTGGTGTCGTTTTTCCTCCCCACTAAGCAGGAAACTTATCAACTCTTGGGGTGTTCCCTCTCATGAGACAGTAAAATTTAATCCACCCACAACATCTTGGTCCTACCTTCACAGCTGCACATCCCTTGAGATGAGTGTGGGCATTGTGCTTTAGAGGCTGATAATTTTATAAAGGAGCTAAGCCTCCATCTGCCTAATCATTTTCTTTAAATAGGGAAATATTATTTGTAAAGCAAATTTAATTATGAAAAATCAATTTCTCATATTATTCTGACTTTACAATGGAGAGAAAATAATACATCAACCACAACTTTGCCAACAGGACATTATCACTATTATAGGCAGTAGGAAATGCAGATTTTTAAACATCACTTAAAAAATAATAGCGTATATTCTTTTTCATTTATGTCTTATCTTGAGACATGTTCATGCCATGTGTGGTCTTTGCAATGATTATTTTGTATTACAAAAGAAGTTGCCTGGAAAATATCCAGACAACACAGTGTGTAACTAAAATGAAAAGCAGTAGCCCCCCTTCTCCCATGCCAACCACCCTAGGGAAGCCAATGCCCATCAGATTCACTGGACACATTTGCCATAATTTATTCAACAGCCTCTACTTACTGAGCCCTCAGCTGCTTCCAACTTTTGTCAATACTAAGAATGCCATCACAAGCAGGTACCTGCATAGAGCTTTTCCAATATTTTGAATTACTCCCTGAAGACAAGGTTCTCAGAATAGACCTAGCCGTCAAAGGGATCAGTATCTACTGCAATTAAAAACATCTAAAAATATAAAAGAGGACCTACATCTGTTGAGCTTACATTAAAATGTCCTGAATTAAAATTATGTTTATTGACACTTCTATCCAATAATACAGATATAATGTCTCAGATTATCCAAGTGGCCAGTGGCCACTGGTAATCCTTGAAGAGTTCTTCCCACCACCACAGGCCACAGCAGAACAGTGAATAAAGTGACAAGCCGTAAGCTCACCTAGATGAAAGGTCTTCATAGACATCTACAACATGCATTTACTTACAGTGTCCCTAGAGAAAGCTTTCATAAACTTATTAAATTTTGGCTGATCCATAACTTTCAACTGGCTTTGCTGGGCACTCATTGTGAAAATAGGCTGGAAAACAAAGAAATAGTGCTGTCAACACTCCTGAGGCTCGTCTTTGCATCCTGGGTTAAAAGAGAAATATTTATACAGTATATCATCACCCACTCTGTACCCAATGGCAACTGGCCTCAGGGATCTCTTTTTGGAAGTGATTATTCCAGTGCCTCACACCAGAACAGAACTACCCCTTCAATGTCTTCTGTGCCTTATCTCATACGACACGCATATGCTGACCAGTTAAGATGCAAGGGGAGGGAATCTGGCCGCAAAAGCTAACTGAACATCCTGTGGCTGGTGGTCAGGAAAGACATGGGCAAGGGAGCCAGACCTGGGGGGAGGGACACAGCAGTTACCTGGTACCCTCCCAGGGTAATCGTGACCGAGACGTCCAGGGGCTGGTTGATGACCCCCGCCACAGATTTGATCAAGGACATGAAGAGAAGGGGAAACCAGACGATGCATATGAGCAGAACGATGATCATGCCTCCCATGCCATACTTCACCACTTTCTTCTTCTTCTGCCCCCGGGGCTGCGGGTATCTCTGCAACAGAGAAGTCACACAGGGCTCAGGCTTCCAGTGCCGGAAGCAGGCAGGGGAAGGACGCTTTTCTCTTCCCGCAGGACCTGACTGGGACCTGATTCTGCTTCACTCACCCTGAAGTGGGGAGAGCATCCTTGTTCCCAGCCTATGAAGTTAGGTGGTGATGTGATGAGCTGAAATGAGCTCCCAACACATTTCCACTGTGTTACCATGAGGGACCAATGGGACCTGACAGACTTTTTCCTTAAAATTGTTGTGTGTGAGGGGTGGGGTGTCTGGGTGGCTCAGTCGGTTAAGTGTCTTAGGTCATTAGGTCACCGGCTTAGGTCATTAGGCCATGATCCCAAGGTCCTGGGATTGAGCCCACATTGGGTTCCCTGCTCAGTGGGAGCCTGCTTCTCTTCCTCTTTCTGCCCCTCCCCCCGCTTATACTCACGCTCTCTGTCTCTCTCAAATAAATAAATAAAGAAAGAAAAGTAAACTATGACTAGGACCAAGTGGCCTGCATTTGTGGGTGTTCATATGCCAACACTCTGTCTTTCGGGAAATTGTTCTGGCTTCATAAGCATATTCATAAAGCCCCTGGAGCACAGTATATTCAACTCAGAGTAATCCCCAAGAAAAGTCACTGTTAAAAGAAGCTTACTTTTCTGCTTCACACTAGACAAGAGATTGTCCCTGGTAATGTTTCAGTGTCTGATGGGACAGAGTGGAAATGAGTCCCAGATTTGCTCAGACTCCCTTGGTGTTGACCTCCCCAACATGTAAGTTCTCAGAAAGTTTTACCAGGTGTGATTTAAAATATTGATACTCTGAAATACCCTTTGACTTAGCATAAGATAGAAGTATATATTTAAGTAGGGGTGATACATTAAACGAGGCTTTTTATTTCTTGAAATAAAATAACAGCAATGATTGTAAACTCTTCATGGGCAGGAATGCCTAGTGTTCCAGGGCAGAGCAACACCAGCGTTCACAAGGAGGATGGACAATGGGTGTCACCTCTCACTATGGTATTAAGAAGATTGTCACCTGTTGACTCAAAGACAGTGAAAGACTTGTAAGAGCCAACAAATGGGGCAGAAACAGCTGCTTCCATGTAAAGTGACCCCGTATCAACATGGGACAGTCCCGTGAGCTCTGATGGAGAGACTACCTCATAAGAACTCCCCACCCATTCATCCAGCGGAAGTAGTATCTCACTGTTTCTGGTGCCCCTGGGGTGGGGCCCTGGGTCTTGGGATGTCGTCCTTCCCCCTTGCTGTCAACACATGAACTCATCTATTTCGTGGAGAAGTCGAGCTATGTGGTGTGTTTATTCACTGCTCACCTTTCTCTAGCTTCCTGTAGGATGGCCGGTCCTCTTCCCTACTAACTTGTTCCCCCAGGGCTCTGATTCCATGCTTTCCAGGCCCCAGAGGCCCCCAAGCCACACCCCCCTGCCCTGATCCCCACCCAGACCTTCTTCCTTTGGCTTTAATACTAAGAACTTTTGCTTTTCTTTTTTCTACTATTCTTTTCCTTGATACCTATAGAGGTACAGATCCTCTCCATTCTAAAATTATCCTCTCAACTTGCCTCTCCCTTGAACTGATTCTCTCTCTGGCCTTTCTCTTGCCTATGCTCGGTCCCTTTGAAAGGGCAGCCACAGGATGACCTATTGGCAAGTCTGTTCAGTGGCGTCCAGCCCAAACTGCCCACCTGCAGAATTGCGAGCAAAGGAAATGGTTGTTATTTTTCATCCACTGAGTTTGGGGTGCCTGGGTGGCTCAGACAATTACGTGAGGGACTAGCTCAGGTCATGATCTCAGGGTCATGAGATCAAGCCCCATGTTGGGCTTCATGTTTGGTGTAGGCCCTGCTTGAGTTTCTCTCTTTCTCTCTCACTCTCTGTCTTTATCTGTTCTGCATGCTCTCTCTCTCTCTCTTAAAAAAAAAAAAATATATATATATATAATATATTATATATAATATTTATTTAATTAATTTATTTAAAAAATATCTATTTAGTTAATTAAATTAAATATATATTAATTTATTATATATTATATATGATAAATATATAATAATAAATATATATATTTTTTTGGGCCACTATGTTTGAGGCTGTTTGATTGCAGCAATATGGTAATTGTTGAATGAATGAATAGCTCCTGGAGCTAGAGATGAACCCGTACCTACCAGCAGGGAGGGTCCAGGATGTGAGTTCTCCTAGTGTCACCATGTATACATGGATACCTCCTGAGGCAGCCAAGCTGTGATGGGGTAGCTTCAATTATTAGAAAGTTCTTCATATCCCACTGAAACTTACCAGAGCTTTTGTCAACTTGTCTTTTTTTTTTTAGTTTAATTTAAAATTTTTTCAGTGTTCCAAAATTCATTGTTTATGCATCATACCCAGTGCTCCATGCAATATGTACCCTCCCTAACTTGTCTTAAACTCTGTTATCTTGAGCCTTACAAATAAATTCAGACATTTCCTCTATTTCCCAGTATTTCAAATAGTTACAAATTGTTATTGTTTTTGCCTCTTTCCATTTTTTTCTACTTCAGACAGAACAATTCTTCGTTCTTTCTACTCTTCTTCATTTGTCATGATTTCCAGGTCCTTTGTCACCATGATTGTTACCCTCAAAGTCCCTTTGGTAGAACATCTCTCATATCTCTCATATTATGTCATTTTTAAAAAAGATTTTATTTCTTTATTTGACACAGAGAGAGAGCGCAAGTAGGCGGAGTGGCAGGCAGAGGGAGAGGGAGAAGCAGATTCTCTGCTGAGCATGATGCCAATGCTGGGCTCAATCCCAGGACCATGGGATCATGACCTGAGCCAAAGGCAGCCACTTAATTGACTAAGCCACCCAGGCACCCCACCATATTCTGACATTTTAACAGCTTTTCTGCTCCTTAAAAATCAGTACAAGCTCAATGATTTTAAGTTTACTGCCAGCCCTATCTCCTTCACTTCCACGAACCCCATAAACACAGGGCCCACAGGTCAGTGGGCCCCTGCCCTGTGAAGCTGAAATTCCCAGAAGCAGCAACAGAACATACTAGAAAGTATATAGACTAGAGGAAACTTTTCCAAAGAGAGTATTACGGAGAAGAGAAAAAAAAGACATTTCATACCACCTCAGCTAATTATCGTTGAGCGGTCCTGTTGCTATTATTCAACAGACTCCTGTTTCAGATGTTAAACTTGTGAAAAAATCCAATAAATAACAGTAATTCTATCCACATTTAAATCTTAATATTCAATCTAACAGAATAAGCAAATATTTGTAGTTCAATTTCCTCTGTACAAAGAAGTCATATTGTCCTGTTGCTCATCAAAGAATGAGTCAGAGGGTGAGCCTGAGTCCAAGCCACCTGACCTCACTTTTCTCTACCGTACCACATTCCCTTCTGCTCCCCAATGAGCCATTTAAGAATTATTGGGTCACACAGCAATATATCATTTCTTCTTTTAAAAATAACTACAATATACATTTGCCAAAAGGGGAAGACATCTGGACGCTATTGCTGACTAAAGGCAACAGTGAGTCCAAAATTCCCAAGTCCAGGGGGTGGAAACCAATGGGACACTTAAAGATCCTCACTATTTCTGCCCCCCTGTCCCCCTTTATTTGGCTACAAAACTTGCAGATGTTCACATTAATCTCATAACCAGCCTGGATGGAAGGTAAACACAAAGGGATCAGGCATTTTTCTGGCTTACTTTTTCGGACTCCCGCCAACATTTCAGGATGAATATGTGAGCATAGATATCCTCCACACAGATCCAGCTGGAAAGGCTCAAGGTCGTGTCTGTCCACACCCAGTCCATCACAGCCCTCAGCTCCGTCAGAAATGGAACGAGGCGGAACCTGCCAGAAGCCACATCTTGTTAGACAGATAGTTGTGGGGTGGCCCCCATCAGCCTCTCAACCCCAGGAGCTCTTGTAGTTCTCTGTCGTCTTAGCCCTATGACTCAGAAACAATTCTCAGGGCGACCCTTATGGTAAAATGCAACTGGGAATTACAACCTCTTTCCATCATGAGTCAATGTATAAATTAGTATTGCCCATTCATTTTTCTATTTTTTTTCTTTTTGTTGATGGTCTTAACAAATTAGGATTCCCTTTTTATTTATTTTTTTTTCTTTTTAAATTTTTTTTATTTATTCAAGAATGAGGGTGAGAGAGAGCACAAGCGGTGGGTGGAGGGGCAGAGGGAGAGGGAGAAGCAGACTGCCCATTGAGCAGGGACTCCATCCCAGGGCTCAATCCCAGGACCCTGGGATCATGACCTGAGCTGAAGGCAGATGCTTAACTGACTGAGTCACCCAGGTGCCCCAGGATTCCCTTTTTAAATACATTTTAAGGTGTCCTCTCCAATTTTTCTCACCAAAGCTTTGTAGGGGTTTAATCTTTCTGATTAAATTTATCTCTGAATATTTCATTATTTTTGGTGATGTTGTGAATGAGATAGTTTTCTTTGTTTGTTTGTTTGTTTGTTTTTGTCCCCCCCCCCACGATATTTTGTTTTTAGCATATGGAAACACCACTGATTTCTGGGTGTTGATTTTAAAGCCTGCAAATTTACACTGAATTTGTTGATTACTTTCAACAGGTCTCTGGTTGAGTCTTTAGGATTTTCTATATTTAAAAACGTATCTTCTGCAAAGAAACTCCATAATTTTACTTTTTTAAACATTTGCTTGTTAGAATTTGTTGGTCAGAGGATTATTGAACATTGGGGTTTTGCCACTGAATGAGCTAGGAAAAGTTAGGTAGCTGGTGCCTGAAAGATGAGGACAAATGACTGCTGCAAGAGGGAGCAGGACAAGTGTTTGATGGCACACAGTAGAGCCCACACCTGGTGGACTTAGTCAGTGCCCAAATTTAATAAGATTCTGGTTTTGTTTCTGGTATTTAGGAATGGGCTGGCCTGGGCTCCTCTTGGGTCTGGAGGCTGTTCCTTGTTTCTTGACTAACACAGAGCTTCTCTCCAGCTGGAGAACCCAGGTGCACCTCAGGGCCTCTCCCCTAGGCCACTCAGCTCTGCCAAGGGAACACTAATCCAACACCTGGAAGAAATACCAGGCCATCCTCAGACCAATACCATGTGACTCAGTGAGCATGCTCAACAGCTCTGCTGTGACTACGTCACCATCCCTAGGTCTGGTACAACCGAGAAGCCAGCAGTGCCATAGCAGCCTGGCCTTTTATGCTGTGGTACAATTTCCAAGGGAACAGAGAGGAGCTACTACCAAAGAAATCTTCAACAGAGCCAATATGCTTCATTTGAGTAGCTAACTTACTATCAGGAACAAGCAAGCCATGTAGCATTTAGTTTGACGCTAGGTGGAATAAATGGCCCTTGTCAACGGAGGCACTTATTGTAAACACAAGATCCCAAAGGTATTTTCAAAGAGTCCAGATTCCAAATTTCTGTTCTATTGTGCCCAGAAATATATTAATACTTAAAGATCATATATCCCTATTTTTCATCCTGAAATATTACCACAGTAATTACTCAGGATACAGCAACAGAAAATTAAGCCATGTGGCTGATTTTAGAATGATATACTGGCCAGATGTGTGTCAATTATCCACAGAAAGGTATTTAAAGAGGCATATCTGTCTTTTGCCGAACATCGTGAAGAGTTCTGGGATGCTCCATAGTCCTATATCAGCGTTCTGCACCTTCCTGTTTCTTCCTGAGGAAAATGAATGCCTTTTTCTTACCAGCCTCCCCTCTGTGAGTGACTGTGGCAATACAGAGTGTCCTTCCTTACCCTTGAAACAAGAAGAGGTTGACATAATTGTAGCTCTTGGTGAGGAAGTTTCCAAGGACTCGTGTTGGGTAGCCACAACGGATTTGGTAGGCAGACAACCCGAAGTAAACACATTTCACAAAGTACCAAAGCTGAGCAACCAGGTTCTGGCTGAACTTCCTAAAATGTAAAAACACAGGAAAGTGAAATAATGCTACAACATCACATCAGTTTAGGATTTAAAAAAAGAAAAGCCTAATTGACCCTCTGGCGCTTAGAGTCAATTCAGCCAATTGTAAGGAATCCTCTGTACATAGATCACTTCAAAGGCAAAAAGTAAGGTAAGAAAATAATTAAATATATATATATACATATATATATGTATATATATATAAACGGTGCCTCCAATGTATTAGTGCATTATTCAGTTTTTTTAGACCATAATTAAACTCATTTATTTTTAAGCAAATTTACTAATATTTTCTCCCAACATGGAAGATGATTCTACCATGTTCCAAATCAAGCTCATCAAAAAATGCATTTTTTTTTACTACAAAGGACCCATAAATGGAAGATGTAGGAGAAAGTATTCTGAGAAGTGAATTACCTCCTCCCCTCATTTTTTTGTTTTTTGTTTTTTTTTTTTGTTTTTGCTATATATATATAGAGAGAGATAGGTCATGGATTAACAAAGTTTTAAAACCCAGATGTGGATTCCAGTTGTGTTTATAAACCATAGCAACTACTCCTCAAGACATCATGCTCAAGACATCCGTGACTTTATTTGAAGATTTTCCCTTCCTCCAAAAATCTATGATTCCATGATCTAACATTCTTTTCTTAATGATGTCTCCAACAAGAGAGATCGCAGTCCCTTCTTGTGGGGAATAATTGATGAAGAAACCCATAGTGCTGGACAGTTCATAAATGCTAGGATAAGCTGGAGGAAAAACTTGGTGGAACTAAATTTCACACCAGAAACAAATCTGAAACACTTTTCAAAGGATGGTGAGTCACAGGACCATTTTTAACTTTGGATTAAGGCAGAATTCTACAAGAATATTAAACATGGTCAATACATGTTTAAAAGGAAATGAAACATAAGACTTTTGACTCGGCAAGCACTAGCTAGGTATCATTTTCCCTGGGTTTAAAATTAAGAGCAGCACTTAAAGTTTTTTACACCTGTAGTATATTACTCTTTATATTTTGGATTTGTCTTGTTAACTTTTAATTTTGACATGTGTTATTTTTTAGCTGAAAATAGCTATTTAGTTGACCAATCTAAGCACCATCCAGGAAAGCTTGAATCTTTGTGTCCCAGGGGCCTGGTAACCTCCATGTAGATCTCAATACGTAGAAATCTCAAAAATATTGCTTGTAAGTGTCTCTGCTGTGAAGAAACCAGCTTTGGTATTTCAGTTCCTAATAAATTAAAAATATTTGACCATGATCTAGCACTTGACAAGTTATTAATAAACACATCAGATACTTTACAGAGACCCCATCTCAACCATCCCTTTCCTCTGCCTTTCTGGGGCTGTATCTATTGATATTGTAGTAGGAAAGAACATTCTTTTAACTCTGTAGGGAAATGCCCTTGGCTTTTACAAATAATTTGTACGATAACTGCATGAGGAGAAACTCTATATTTATCAAAATTATAATCAAAGACTTAAAACTGTATTGTCTTCTAGTCCTTATAAAAGAACCAACCCATATTGTGATGAGCACTGGGTGTTGTATGTTAAGTGCTGAATCACTAAATTGTATACCCCAAACTCATTTTACACTGTATGTTAACTAGCTGGAATTTAAATAAAAACTTAAAAACAAACAAACCTTTCCCTTCCTACAACCTTAAATGAATCAAGTTGGAATAAATCATAGTTAATCTGTAGTTACTGAAGTAATTGTGTCAGATCTAATTAAAGACATTAAGCTTGTCCCATATTGAAAGACCTATTTCTTTGGTGATCTCTCCATTTTTTATTGCTGGAGGCTGGAATCATGCCTTACTCATCTCTCCATCATCCAGAGCACCAGCCACACAGGGCTTTGTAGACTGTAGGCACCTAATGAAAGTCTGTGCACTAAATCATATGCATATACACAAGAAATGCCATTTTTTTTTCAGATTAATTATTCAAAACAAGAGAGCTTCCTGATGCTCAGTATTATAACCAGTAGCCATAATTTTTTTCTGTATGGTTTAGAGCCATACAGAAATTCCAATTCCAATGTGTACCTTCCCTTACTCTTTTCCTGTTTTGAAAGGATTTAGACAATATGGCTATTAATGAATGTTTTCTTTTGCACAATAATGAATTAAGTTTCAGTAACAATATCTGGAGAAAAAATGAATTATTTTCATGTTAACAAGTGATGGCAGCATAGGGCTTGTAATGTCATGAATGTATGCTGTCACAGACATGCTGGCAATGAAGACTCAAGGCTCACTAATCCTAACATATCTTGAATTAAATACCCAAAAATAAAGATAGGGCAATCCTTTGCATTAGGAATGACCATTGAGGTGAGGCCATGAGATGAGACAGAAATTATCTCTGCGTCCATTCTCAAAACATGTTTATAGCAGCTTTATCTGTAGTTGCCAAAGAAGTAAAAACAACTCGGGTACCTGGGTGACTTAGTTGGTTAAGTGAACACCTTTGGCTCAGGTCATGATCCTGGAATCCCAGGACTGAGTCCCACATGGGGCTCCTTGCTCAGCAGGGAGTCTGTTTCTCCCTCTGAACCTCCTTCCTCATGTTCTCTGTCTCTCATTCCCCCTCTCTCTCTCTCTCTCAAATAAATAAATAAAATCTTAAAAAAAAAGGAAGTAAAAACAACCCAAATGTCCTTAAACTTTTCTATATTTAAACACTCTTTGGAACATTTATATGATAGAATATTACTGACCAACAAAAAATAATTAAGTACTGACACAGGCCACGCCAGGGATGAATATCAAATACACTACGCCAAGTGGAAACAGCCAGCCTTCAAGGCCATGGAATGTGTGATTCCATTCATACGACATTCTGGGAAAGGCAAAATTGTAACAGAACAGAAAATGCATGTCCCAGAAGCTAGACGTGAGGGAGAAGGGTCCTACAATGGACAAGAAGAGTTTCTGGATGATGGAACTGTTTGATAACTTTCTAAGTTTTTATTACTTTAAAAACTGAGATATTATTGCCATACAACATTATATTAGTTTTAGGTGTACAACTGCAGTCAAACTTTTAGTATTTATCATACTGCCTCAATCCATGGAAGCCATTGCGTGGTCCTTCCCACAAGGGGCCAGGTCCCTGCTTTAGTCACAAGGACGTCATGCCCCTTTTCACCTGGTCTACTGCCCTGGACATAGCAGGTGCTCAATAAATGAAAAATTGAATTGATTATGCAATTCAATAAGCACAAAAGAAGTTTTCATTCATTCAGTCATTTTAACAAACATTCCAGCTCTGTTTGGTTTGGAAGGTATTATTGCTTAATCCCCAGAATCTATGGATATGTCATGTTTTATGGCAAAGAAGACTTTATATTTGAGATTGGTTAAGGTGTTCAAGATAGAGTGCCTGGGTTATCCAGGTGGGTTGAATCTAGTTAATGAGCACTTCAAGGGAGAAATCTTTCTCAGCTGTGTTCAGAAGCAGCCAAGATGGCAGAGGAATGTTCAGAGTAATGCAACAAAAGGAGGACTCCATGAACTGAGGTTGCCTTTGAAGGCTAAGGTGGGTCCATGAGCCAAGGAAGGCATCTCCAGAAACTGGAAAAGGCAAGTAAAGGGATTCTCCCCCAGATACTTTATTTTTTTGTTATTTTATTTTTTAAAGATGTTATTTATTTATTTGAGAGAGAGTGAGTGTGAGTGAGAGCAGAAACAGAGACAGAGGAGAAGCAGGCTCCCAACTGAGCAGGGAGCCTGATGTGGGGCTTGATCCCAGGACCCTGGTCTCATGACCTGAGCTGAAGGTAGTCACTTAACCAGTCGAGCCATCCTGGTGACCCACCCGCGGGCCTTTAGAAAGGAATGCAGCCCTGCCAGCACCTTGATTTTAGTCTAGTGAGACCTGTTTCAGACGTCTGGCCTACACAACTTTAAGGTGATAAATTTATTTTGTTTTAAACCCTTAGTTGGTGGTGATTTGTTACAACATCAATAAGAAACTCATACAAGTGGGAACGACCCAACTATTTGGTGATTTGATCCTGCTAAAGGATTCTCTAGGGCTTCGCCATTGCCATGGTCCTGGAAGCATCAGTCTTTGTTGAGGACTGTCCTATCGAGACAGGGCAAGATCAATGTTCTGGAGCTCTCTTCTGGGGGTGAAAAAATTAAATTCTTTTCATAAGTGCATAATGAATAGTAGGTTATATTATGATAACAAAACTGCTTGGAAGTGAGTATAGGATGCTCTCCATGGGAGGAGAGGTGTAGCATAACAATTGGGTCAGGAGGTCTGTGATTGGGATCTGATCTCATTACTAGCTAGTTGAGTGACTTTGGGAGATCCCTCTTCTGTTTGGTTTCACCCACCTTCATCTGTGGAATTAGTAGGTATAGAAATATTTTAAAGGTCTCTTTCAATTTGAAATTAAGAGTTTCTAGGAAGGCTGATGGAGAATGTGTGTTGATGTTTTCAAATGTCACAGAAGTAATCAACATTCATCATCTAACTACCATGGGTGTTGAATGTGGTTTATTTAGAAAATCACGTTTATTCTGTTTTAAAGACTAACAAATAAGATCCAAAATGTTCTCATGAACAAATTCTAGTATTTTTACAAGAAGTTCACCTTAATCTGAATCATTTTATCAGCCAAGCTATGTTCACTCTCCCCATACACAGTGTGGCATGAAAAACTTACTGGGCTGTTGGTAGTCTTCTGGGGGAAAAAAATCCTTTCTTTACTTAGTTCTACTTCAGACTCATGGAAAATTATCCTAATTCCATTCTCCCTTTTAAAATATTTGCATTGCCACTGAAATCAAAAGGTCAAAGCCTAGCCCACTGGGTGAGAGCAGACATGTAGCTCCAACATTGTCAGAAGAGATCTGAATTTCCTTGTTAGGAATGACAACTGAGTCAAGTTATAAAGCACATAAATGAGAGGAGTTTTCATTACTTTCTAGTCACACTTTGGAAAAGCATTGGCTAGCCTGACTGGCTTGTTATTCATGAGGCTTGGCCAGGAATAACCCTTGAGTTACGATAAAAAGTTCAATTTTCCTGTTAAATGTGAAGACTTTTAATGATATGTTAATTAAATTGATCATTTTTATTACATTATAGGGGTGCTCCCACGTGCTCTAGTGCTGACTCTTTGCTCCCATTACCTCCCATTTATACTAGTCCCCCTTGTTTCTCTTCTATCCACTCTCCCACTCATTTGCTCATGCATTAAGCACTGGATTGGTCCCAAGTTGTGTTTCCAGCAGAGGCAGCCTGGGAAATCTAAAGAGTGAGGAAAAAGAGTGGGTTGGTTGTGGGTCAGAAGAGCAGCGAGCCTCCTTTGAGGTGCAGGAGAATGTGGTGCCCTCTAGTAACTAAAGAGGTTCAATATGGCTGGAGCTTAGATTTCAAGGAGACAGAGGGAAAGGCAGGAGCCAGCCACTTCCAAGGATCTCACTAGCCCTTTCCCCATCGACCATTAGTCTCCTCTTTTTATGTGCCTCTCTCACTCTGACCTCATCTCTAGTGCATCTTAACAAGCACCAATAGCTTTATTAACAATGGCAGCATCATGGTGTCATGGAGATGAAAGCTTCCCTCTCCTACCCTCTTCCTATCAGGTGCTTTCCAAACACTGTCACATTGCTGTTTACAACTACCCTATGTGGCAGACACTGCTGTCCTCTGCCACCCACCACCCCTCTATATTTTCTTCTACTAAATGGTCTCCATTTTTTTTCATCCACTATTCATATGACATAGTCTGATATCCTCTCATCCTTTTAGGAATGCCTGTAAGACCATGTCTCAGTTCATCTCTGTCTACTAAGGTATAGAGACAATGACAGTGGGAGAACCCTGGTTTACTCAGATCTCTCCTCTCATTCTGAATATCCTATTTCCATGAATACATATGGACATGCAATAAAATGCTTTCGAGGAATCAGTTCACATTTTGGAGTCACACTGAATTTAATGCTGATGAAGACCTCTCACTTTTCCAACCCATGGTGCTGTTCTGTCATGTCTCCGTCTGTACCTGGTGATTTTGTGGTGGCCATGTCTATGGGATGATAACCTGGAATATATTTGCATTATAGTGGGGTGCACGTCTCCAGCTTCCACCTTACCTCTCAGTCACACCAGGCAGGATGAAGAACATCCAGAAATGAATTCCAAACACGAGAATGACCTGAAAAATGACCTTTCCCAGTACAGTCTTCCTCAGGTATAGGGCTCGATCCACCACCATGGTTCCAAACTGAATGAGGACCATCACCAAAAACGGCCCAGGAACCTGGTCCTCCGACAGTGAAGAGGTGATGTCTGCTGCTGCTGAGTGTTTCTGGTAAGGAAACAACAGGTTCACCCATGAGTGGCATTTCACAGGACAGCATCCCTCTTACTCATTGGACATGTGGTGGCCTTTGTCCCCAACCTACCCCAAAGGCCCAGAAGCCAAAGACGATGATGACAAAGTCAACGGTGTCAGCCAGGAACATGAGCACATACACGTCGGTCACAGCACTATAGTCCGGGTGGATGAGGTCATAGAAGAACTGTCTGATGGGCACATATATTTGCAGAGTCCTGCAAAACAGATACCCCCCAGCACTTGCTTCAGGAGGGGTGGATGGGAGGAATGACCAGATACTGCCATTATTCCATTCCTCTGCATCCCTCTTTCCAAGCAGGTCACACCTCCCTCTTCCGGCTCAGCAGAGTCGTCTACAGGGGCCTCCTGCTCTAACAGAGAGCGTAGACAAATTCCTTGCCAAGGAAGGCACTCTAGCCCTCTTTGCTGATGAGACCACAGGCCTCTTCTCACGCTTGAAGCATAACAGTGGTCTCAGGTCTCAGGGTGGGGGGTTTGTCACCTGATTCAGTGACTCTCTCTGGGAGCCCCTAAGAATGCTCCCTAGTTCTCTGTGTTTTATTTCCTCTACTGGAAAACTGGGGTAAGAAGCAGACCTGAGACTCAGGGATGGGGTGAGAATTGTATGGGGCTACATGGCGGTGCTTAGACCTGGAGTCTGACCCGAACACCAGGGACATATTAGGTAGTCCCTGCTCTTCTCTTGTTTGGGTCCTTGTTCCCAGGTGGTGCCTTGGGCTTTTGACTGCACCTTGTTCTGTCCAGCCTCTGCCTTCAATTCAAGGCCATGTTCAGTTTGGATGGCCCACCTGGTCTCGGAGCCCACATTCAGGGCTATCCCTCCAGAACCTCCTCCATTCCTGTGGTTCTTCTGCTGCCCTATGTCCCTGGCACTTGGACATGGGATGGCGAGCATTTTGTTGGAGACCAGCTGTGTGACATAGGACCTTAGTTTCCATTCTCTTGGTTGAGAGTGTTTCTCTAAGTCCCTTCCAACTTTGACATCATACCCCTGTCTGTCTGGTTGGGCTTTAGCATGATGATGCTTGGGAAATCCTGAACCAGGAATCCTGAAATCATTTATTCTTCAAGTAGGAAAACTGTGCTTATGAACATAATGGATATAAAAATGAATCACACTGAAAATTGATTTTTAAAAACAACACATCCCCTCACACCTGTTAGAATGGTTATCATCACAAAGATAAGAAATAACAGGTGTTGGTGAGGATGTGGAAAGAAGGGAACCCTCATGCACTGTTGGTAAGAATGTAAATTGGGGCAGTCATGGTAGAAAACAATATGGAGGCTCCCCCTAAAATTCAAAACAGAGCTACCATATGAGACAGCAATTCTACTTCTGGGTATTTATCTGAAGGAAACGAAAACTACTAACTCAAAAAGATGTATGCACCCCAGGTTCAGTGCAGCATTATTTACAATAGCCGAGATAGGGAAGCCGCCTAAGTGTCCATTGGTGGATAAATGGAAAACAAAAATGTGTATACACACACACACACACACACACACACACACATACAAACAATGGCATACATTGAAATATATATATTATACATGGAACAAGTCAGAGACTATCAGATAACATATGATCTTGCTAATATATGGAATCTAAAGAAAAATCAAAACAAAAAATCTATACTCATAAATATAGAGAACAAATTGGTTGTTGCCAGAGTGGGGACTGGGCAAATAGGTGAAGGGAGTCAAAGCATACAACCTTCCAGTTATGAAATAAGTTAGTCCTGAGCTGTAATGTGCAGCATGGTGACAACAGTTAATTAATCCTGTACTGTACATTAATCTTAAATAGTCTCATTATAAGAAAAAAATTTGTGACTACACGTGGTGATGAACGTTAGCTAGACTATTGTGGTGATCATTCCCCAGCATATGCATATATTGAATCATTATGTTGTACACCTGAACTTAACCTGATATTATATGTCAGTTATATCTCCATTAAGAACAATAGGATAACTGGTCATTTTCTTCTGCCTTAAGCAGATGATATCTGTGATATGAGAAGTAACTTCTCTGCCCTTTAGTCCTGGTTTATATCAAGCAATTTATACCAGCTTTCTCGCCCTAAAATAAAACACCCCACGCAAGTGTGTTCAGGCACTCACTTCTTTATGGTAAATGCTTTTGCTTTGATTAAATGTTCTTGAAGCTTTTCCATATAAAGTTCCCTTTTGCTTTTCTGCTTGATGCTTAAAACACTGCTTCCTTTTTGACTGCTGTTCCTTGTGCTTGTGCTGCCTAGAAATACAAAGAAACCAAGATGTTCTGAGTTACGGGTTTGTTGACATAAGAACCACAGAAACCCCTGGGACCCCCAGGGTGGAGGGATGGCATGAAGTAGATTTAGAGGGTGTGCATACACAGGTGCCTGTAAGAACAGTGACTAAGGATGGGAACCTGCAGTTTCACCTCTGCCTCCCCAGTAAAATGCATCTGTGGGCTTCTACACCCAACACTCACTCTTTCTGAGGTTGTTATGGGATATTTATCCCCAGAAGAAAGAGACTGGAAGAAGGGACCCCAGGTTGTGGGGTTTCCAGATCGGGTCAATGACCCAAGCCTTTTTCATGTCTAGATTTCTCTAACTGCAAAGTGGATATTGGATGACTGCCTGTGTCCGCCTGAAAAGTGTATTCCGAAGATGGATACACAGGTGTTTGGAAAGCTTCAGACAGGAGCACTATACATACAAAAACCCACTTTCTCCAAGAGTGGCAACTATCGGGCCTGTCTATCTGCTGGTGATACTCACTAGTTTATAAGAAATGAACGAGAGTATAAATAGATAGTTTTGCTAAAAGTTCCCTTGATTAAATGTAAAAATATTTTCAAAATGAATTCAGCTTTATAGCATTCTGGTCACACCCAGCAGAATTCTCTGGATATGACTTAAAAATTAGCGTGTGGCCACATGGGCAGTGTCCTGGCACCTTTGCACAACTACCTGAAGTCTTTGTCCTGGGAAGGAATCAGACATTTTGAAGAATGAAGTGACCGTCCCAGGTCACACAGCTGAGAGAGGATCTGAACTCGGGTCTGTCTGTTTTCAAAGTACTTTCTTCTCGTATCACAACCTATCTCTTTGACAGCACCCAGCAAACCCCTTTACTGGAGACCCAGATCACTAGTACCAGAAGAACCAGAAAACTCAGGAGTTACTCTAGCCTAAAGATATCTTGTGACAGATACCTCTTTGGGACCTATTGGAAGAAAAGCTGGATCTGGGGGATATCTGGGAGCTGCTTCCTGATCGCTTCCTCCGGATGGCAGAAGGCTGCTCTGGGAAGGACACATGTACCGACTCTGCCGACGCAGCCAGGTTGATGGATTTCAGAGAATCGGAGGAGGCTCTCCTGCCACGACTGAGGGAGAGCTCATCATCTGACTCTTCCTTGTCCATGCCACTGTCAGTGATGTCATCTTCATCCCACAAGCCATGGCACTGAGAAAGCATAAGGGACAACTCAGGGGGGCGTTCCAAGGGAGGGAGCTACATTCTTCCCTACAGTATTTCATCCCCCATCATTAGAAAGCCAGACATGAGGTATGGTGACTGTAGTTGGTGACACTGTATTATATAACTGACATGTGCTGAGTTAGAATTTAAATGTTCTCACCAAATAAATAAATAAATAAGGGCACCTGGGTGGCTCAGTGGGTTAAAGCCTCTGCCTTCAGCTCAGGTCATGGTCCCAGGGTCCTGGGATCGAGCCCCGCATTGGGCTCTCTGCTTGGCGGGGATACTGCTTCCCCCTCTCTCCCTGCCTGCCTCTCTGCCTACTTGTGATCTTTGTCTGTCAAATAAATAAATAAATCTTTAAATAAATAAATACATAAATAAAGGAAAAGACCAAAGAACACAGATACATATGGGAGGTGATGGGATTCCATGGAAGGGATCCTTTCACAGTGTCTTCGTAAATCACATCACCACAGGGTACACTTTAAATATACTATAATTTTTTGTCATTCATACAGTAAAGTGGAGAAAAGATTAGAAAACCAATGGATTCTAAGAAAGCTTTTTATCTAGATGTTTATGATGGTCGCAGTAGAAGGGGAATGAGAGAGTGTAGATCATAAGAGCATGGCTCATTAACTGACATGGAGGTAGATAATGTTTGGCAGATGGAGTAAAGGTGAAATTAGAATCACTTGACATGTTCCTGAGTGAAAGCACTTTCTAGAACATCCTTCTCTACGCTTACAAGTAGCATTTTAAATATCAGTGGGTGAATTTACTCCCATGGCCGCATGTTCACCAAGTATCTACACTTGAATAATGATGCTTCCCTCTGTCAACATACACAGTAAGATGTGAACCTCTGGCTCACACATGACTGAGTCAGGAACAGTACTGCAAATGCTTTACCCAAAAAATATTGGTCCTCATATTAGACAGGGATTTTGATGCACTCTGCAGAGTCTGGATTTTGCTTCAAAGAATAAGCAAAGGGGCCTGGTAGGACAGATAGGAGGAAGGACAGCAGAAGAGGCTGAGAAAAACCAGGGACCTTGCTGGTGCAAGATGCTACTTGGATAGAAAATTCCCCTTTCAATGAACTTCCTGCTTCAGCTCAAAGCCACCCAGTGAGCCCACTGTCTTCTGGGTTCCCAGACTGCCAAGCTATGCATTTATTCCCTAAGACTTTGCCCAGTCCTCCCTCTGACACAGGCTATAGAGGACAAGAGCTCCAGGCCAATTTGCCAAAATTCAGTTGGTCAAAAAATAACTTGGAAAATGATCAATTCATTAAGAGAAAAAGTCATCTAATTTACAGACTTCTTAAATATATATAAATACATTATTTCTAAAAGTTATTCAATGGATGCTATTCTTACAAACATAGCAAACATTCTAGATTTTCATAATGGGAATTTTCAACTTCTATTAATTTCTTTTAAATAATTTTAAAAGTTGCTTTTTCTTTTGCCAACATTTGAACATACTTAGATTCTTTTACTACTTTTGTAGTAGCATATTTGTTAGTGAACTCTTCCAATTATTTATAAAACTTCTAGAAACTCATACCAAATAGGATAGTTCTAACTGCTTTTGAAATTTCCATATGGTTGGAGTTGTTTGGTTTCCATAGCATTACTTAATAGGTTTGCAAAGCTGTAGGGTAGTTTTGTCTTCTTATGAAAAGATTTGTCATTCCAAAAACCATTTTTCATTTCATTAGCCAAAATTTTAGCATAATAGTACTTCAAATACAGTCATCATATATATGATATATTCTAAGAAGAAATCAGAGTAAGTATATCAATATGAAATACCAACATTTTGCTTATTGTATGCTTTAAATATACAATTATATCTGTTAAACCATTTAAATATTAGTAAAAAGGCAGCACAAATGTCCAAAGATTTATAAAAATTTTTAATTTTTTTAATTTTTAACTTTAAAAATTTTTTTTAGAGAGAGAGTGAGCAGCAGGGGAGGGGTCCAGAGAGAGGGACAGAATCTTTAGCAGGCTCCATGTTCCACTCAGAGCCAAATACAGGACTCAATCTCACGACCTTGAGATCATGACCCGAGCTCAAATCAAGAGTTGGATGCTTAACCAACTGAGCCACTCGGGTGCTCCCACAAATTTTTAAAATGATGCACAAAAGGATATAGCAAGTTGCAAGGGAGTTCTGAAGTGACCAGATTTATACGGTCATTTTTTTTTCTTTTTTTTTAAATTGAGGTATAATTGACATACAACATAATGCCACCATGTCTTAAATGCGGAAATTTAAACTTCAATTTCTAGAACTAAAATAATGATGTTACTATATTTGTTAATATATTCAGAACAAGAATTAGTAAACTGTATGAATTCAGATAATTTATCAGAAGAACTGGAAATTTTAGGCAAATTCAATTCTGGTTAACTGGTTTCCTTGGATAATATACCTTTGCAAGGTCTCCTGTGACCCAGGTAAGGCTCCCCCTGAGTGGAAGGTTAGAGACTAGCACATTTTGCAAGATGGTGAAGACAGAGTTAAGATCCTGACCAAGCAATATGTAGAGGAAGCCCAGTTTGAAATACCATACTGAGTAGGACAGAAGTCAAACACACTGTTACATATGTCTGTATATGTGTGTGTGTGTATTAACTTATGTCAGCCTGTTCTAAAAAAGAACTAATAGGGCGCCTGGGTGGTTCAATTGTTAAGCGTCTGCCTTTGGCTCAGGGTCCTGGGATCAAACCCCACATTGGGCTCCCTCCTCAGCAGGAAGCCAGCTTCTCCCTCTCCTTCTCCCTTGCTTGTGCTCCTTCTCTCGCTGTGTGTCTCCCTGTAAAATAACTAAACAAAATCTTTAATAAACAGGAATGAATAAAGATACTTCTTGATAAGATGAAATTGAAATATTTTATAAAAGGAGACGAGGTTAAAATAAGAGGTGGAAGTGAAGTAGTGACAATTGGCTGATTTATACGTAAAATGTATATTATGCAGCAATTTCTAATTTTTAGAGTTGAGCAGTATATTTGAAAGCTTAGCTTATAGTTCACAGTGTACAAGAAGAAAGACCCACATAGTTTTTTCAGGGGGATGACAAGAGTTGCTGACTCTGAGACAGGCCATCCTGTAGATAGGTCTTCCCAGAGTAGTGTAATGAATGGCTTTCTCAATAAGCTTACAAGAAGTACAGCTCTGGGCTTCACTCAACCATTTAATGTATGGCCTCTCACTGAAGCTAATAGTTTCATGGCAAGAAGTATCAAACAAAAGCAATTCTACTAAAAGAAGTTAGGCAGAAGTTAGACTTGAGATGAGAGGCAATATGACACTTCCTAAATTGTAGCTCTCTTGTGTTCTGGCTTAAACATGGAGCAGAATTTAGTGTATTAGGCATGAAGATTTTTCACACCATCCAAGCAATTCCCACAAATATGGATTAAGTAGGATATGTTCATAATAGAAGTAGAAATATGGGGGAATTTTCTCCCAAATTTATAATAAGTTCCATTATTGAGCATATCGCGTTAGAGAAAATGTCCACTAAATGAATACAACTGTTAAAAAAAAGAAAAAGAGCATACAAGTAGATGCACTCATTGGCCCCCTGGCCTCATGACCAATCCTAATGTTCAGGATCTCCAGAATATCACAGGTGGCTGCAATTATCAACATGTGCTGGTCAGGTGTTCATGGGCCATACCTTCAAAATTGACCGATGGAAGAAAAGAGCCAGGAGCTGGATGAGATCATAAAGGACATAACCTTCTTTCTTTTCTACTCCTATGATATTAGGTGGGTGGTAAGGTTTATCTTTGTTCAATTCCACATTCTTGTTCCAGGGAAAGAACCCAAATTGGAAAAAATACTTGACCACAATTGCCACCTACACACACAGGATGGAAATGAAAAAAAAAAAATTACTCCTTTTTAAAAATGGTTATATATGAAAAACAGTGATATAAAAAATTAAAATATCATTTCATAGTTTTGATGATAAGAATGAACAAAATTATGTGGAATAATAACATTATCATAACATTATCACATGGACTTCAGACCCAGAGTAGTATTTTACTCTCATTATGGCCTCTCATTGCACATACACGAAGCCCCATCAGGTTACCCATGACACCTACTTAAATGACTTTCTCTATTTTTGAAGAGTTGGCTAATTCATATTGATTTAATGAGATATTTATATAATTATTCAGTTATTAAAAATGGTGATGAGGAAAAGCTTGAACAAAAAGAAGTTCATATTTTACATATTGCTTTAATTTGTTGTCCTTCTGAGCATCTCAGGTAGTTTTGAGGCCTATTTTCACTTTCCTCTGACCTCTTTCTTCTCACCGTTTTATTGCTCTCTGGAAGTTCTCCTCAAGAAGAAATAAAAGTAAATAAAACAAAAACTTGCCAGTTATGGTGACTGGTTCAGGGTATAAATGTTGTAGCGAGGCTATTTGTGATAAAACACATGAGAAAATTGATGTGTCTCATTTAAGCATACCTCTAACATTTGTGTCAGCAGAGGTTAATTGCAATATATGCAGTTCATCAATAAAAATATTTTAAAAGTCCTCTTTTGACCTAAAGTTTAGTTTTACCTCTTCTCCTGTCTCTCTCCTTCTTACAGTCAAGCTTCTGCAAAAAGCAGAAGCGGTCTTATGCTCCTTATTGTGCTAAGCAGCACCACCATATCCCAGATGCCAGAGCAGAAATCTGAAGATCACATTGCCTTTCCCATTCTCACTCACACCCCAAACTCTTTTAGTCATTTACTAAAACTTCTCATTTACCCACTCATCTTAGCCTTATTGCCGTTGGGTAAGTTCACATCATATGACCTCTCACCCAGATGGTTAAGACGGATTCCTAGCTGGTCTCCATACCTTCACTTTCATTTTGTGTAAAACCTTGCTAAAGACAAGCATATCTGAGTCATGCCTCTGTTCAAATATTCCCATACCAAGAGGAGAAAGTCCTGAGCATACACTGTGTTGACATTCCTGAGATCCTGCTACTGTGCTGTTCACTCACAGCCTGCTTACCAGCCCTCACATCCAGCTGTCATTCCTGGCACATGCCAGAATATCTTATGCCTTTGTTTCTTTGCATGGGTTATTCCCAATGACTTGCAACTCCCTTTGCTTTCCATCCTTTGGTGACCTTACATTCATCCCTTAAGACTCAGGTCTAAGATGCCTTCTGCTGATAAATGGCCATGATAGCCTCCTCCCTGTACCCATTAAGCTGCATGAGGCACAGTATCCATCGTTTTTTGTATACTCTAATGCAGTTTTGTGTCATATTATAGGGCAGTTGTTTACAACATATTTTGCCACATTGGTCTGTGAGCCATTGAGAAACAGAAAACAACTTAAAAAAAACAACAAAACTTATTGTCCTTTTTTCATGCCTAGCACAGTTCTAGGGTTTTGGCACACAGTCTAAGTTGTAGAGTGAATTAACACCAACTTAATTTTCCACTTCCTCACTTCTCGGTGTGATGGAGAAAATGGAGAACCCAGTTTAACTTAAAAAATAAGATTTTATTTTATGATGAAAGCTACATATAATTAGCTCTTGTTCCCTTTTCTAAGTTCTTAGTACCTGCTCTTCTTCCCCTTCTAGGTTAGAAACTCCCTCACTCAGAGGTGTTAGAGAGAACAGACCCATTCCCCAATGGGGAGTCATTTACGTCCCAGATCACAAAGTGATGTAGAGGAAATAATACTTACAAGCGATTATTTTGACAAGAGTGTGATGGACAGCCTACTTAAAGTAATAGACACAAATTTGGTTTTGCATCTTTTATTTTTATAAGCATTTAAATGTATTTAAATAATTATTATGGAAAAGAGATACATGATAGTTTAAACTGATGCTTTTAAGACGATTTGACAACTTTGTTTCATTTTATTGAACTACCTATAAACCAACACAATTTCTAGAATCTAAATGTACATCCATCTTGAGTTCTTTCCTTTAAGAAGCAATCATAGTATCATCGTTAGCAAAAACTTTCCCTTACGAGCCAGGTAAGAAAATCAGTCTTCTTCTCAGACTCCGGAACACAAAGAACTACAATAACCCAAGGCACAAAGTCTATCAAGTCTCCCATTTTATTCCCAGTTTTATTGTTGTTATGGGAATTTGTGATCTTGTATATATTTAATGGGGGAAGGACTGAAAAGCAGGTTTAGACAATTGGGAAGACCGTCTCCTGTCCCTTTACATTTGATGGAAATAAGGTATCTTACCCTTGTGTCATTCAGATTTTTAGGTAGGTGCTTATATGGCTTTGTGTTTTAGGTGTGTGGTACTGTTGTACCAAATATACCAAATATACATTATACCAAATATACCTGTTGTACCAAACTATATTCACAATGATTACTGTATTGTATAATTCAGTGTCCATTCACTGGACATCCACCAGCACCAGGCACCACGCTTAATTCTGCATAACACATTATCTCAGTGGCTAATATCACAGGATGCATGAGCAGATTTCAAAAGCCTACCCCACTGTTTGCCAGCTGGGTAACTCTGGTGAATTATTTAGTCTCCCTAAAGCTGTTTCCTTCTCTGTTAAGTGGAATGACAGTAGCACCTATCTTGTGTGAGGTGTGTAATGTGAAAAGATACACAATTGCTAGCATTAAACAGCTGTGAGTAATAATTGAGTGCCTATCTAATCGCATCCATCTAGCTGAATGTCCTATTTAAACTGTCCTGGAGACAGAGCAGACCAGTCTAGAGTGAGTGCCAAAAGTGATTTCCAGGAATGTTTTACCCCAAGCTTACCTCTGTGTAGACAATGGCCATCATCCAGAATCGTCTACTGGGTCTGGGGACAGACAGCATGGCCCAGAGGAAGATCAGAATGGGGAGCACAAGGGTGATCATGGAGGCAGAGACCATATGGTTGAGGATAATCACAAAATAGCACACCATTTCTGAGCGTGCCACGAGAGTGTTGTACATGGCGTAGAACAACAGCAAGAACCGGGGCTGGCCAACATAGAACTTCTCGGACTCTTCAAGCTCGTCATCATGGAACATCCTGTTAAAATGAACAACACAATACGAAATGGGTCTTCATGTCTCCTAATTACTGATTTCTACCTCGCATGATCCCTCCCGAACGCCCCACCTTCCCATGTTCCCCAGATTTCCGGTGGAGTCAACCTAATAGTCTATTACAGAAAGAAATGTGTGCACAAGTGTCTACTCTGGGCTGCTTTTGCTAGTTCTATCCTTCTATGATGGAAGCACCCAACCCTGGGTCTGTGCGCTTGATCATCTAGGTGGACGGTTTTCTGTGAGAGTTTCTCTATCTCCATGCACAGTGGACAGAGAAGCCCTCGCAGGCTCTTACTTGTTCAGCAGCAGCTCGCTGGCCGTCAGCTCATGAGTCAGGGGCGGTAAGATGCTGGACTCCAGCCTGTCCGAGCGGCTGTCGTCGGGGCTCACGGCCATGTGGCTCTGGCCTGCAGAGTCATCCCGCGAGCCGAAGGACAGGCGCTCGAAGCTGACTGCCTTGCTGTAGGACGGCGGGGCCTCCACGTCTCCATCTTCGGTGGAGTACTGTGGCAGCTCGGCATCCGGGGTGAGGCCAACTTCTGAGGCCTCCGACACCTCAGAGGCCTCCTCCGGCCCCATGTCCGCTGCGGCCTCCCCACCCTGGTCGGCGTCTCCAGCCGCCGCCTCGTCGTCCTGCTCGGCCTCCACCTCTGCGATGGTCTCCGTGGTCCCCTGGCGCGAGTACAACATGGTGCACTGCGTGGGCTCGCTGTCCAGAGAGAGGGACGGCACACACCCGGTCTTAGTATCCTCCGGACTCTCAAGACACCTTCTCAGCACTCCCCAATAAAAACATGAAGAGAAAATTAAATACCCCATCTCCCCACTCCCACCCCAAGGCTGCATTCCACCTGCTTTATTCCTTCAGGATATCCCAGTCTGGTCCGCAGAGCCTGCAGACTGTAGTCTCTTAAATGCAAAAGCCGACAGGGCTCACACATCATCGTTGAAAACCTGAGCAAGTCCCATGACATGACTCCTCAGTTGCTAAACCCACCTATGCACAGAGGTTGTCTGAATTGGGTCAGGACTCACAGCCATGGGTTCTGGTGTTTATTTCCAAATCAAGACAGAGTTAGCATAGCACACCTAGCATTCTATTAAAGGAGGTGCCCATGGAAACAGGAAGCCTTGCCAGCCTGGGTCTGTGGGTGTTGGTGGGGAGGTACTCTACTCTCAGTTCCACACAACAGGTCAACCCCTACCCATAAGGGGGAGGATAGGAACCATAAAACATTGGCTAAATTAAACAATGACATTCTTTATGGAAAAAAGTGGCATTCTTGTTGAATATCTGTTCCTCCTCCCTATTTTCCCATCCTTTGCCTTTTTCTTACTGGTGCTTATCACATTTGACTGAAGTTTCACCATCTCTCCAGCTCCCAGCCATCCCACACTGGGTTCCTTGCCTGGCACATGCTAACACCCCTATTTTCTTCTCCCCAGTGCTGTGGACCCTTAGCCCTTCCCCCTTTGAACTGTTCGCTTCAACCCAGGGTGTACTCCTGCTCTCGCCATCTCCCCCCGCCAAAGACTTCAATTTATTCTCTTCTACCTGTTCCCCCTCGGGGGGTATTCATTCTCTCTAAGCTTTCCTACATAGCTTCATCTTCTGTTTTTGGCGACCTGTCCATCTTTCTTGTACCTCTCCTTCTTTAGTCCTTGATCTCCTCACTTTCTCTGTCAAGTCCCTGCTGGAGACTTTGGAAATGAAAGAACAGCAGCCATGCCAGGGAAATTCATGGCATGCCTGTTTTTATTGTCCACCCCAGCCCACCAAAGGGGAGAAGGGTAAAGATGTTCTGGAGTTGTGGAATCTGGCGGATGTAGAGCCATACTGTATTAGACTACGAAATTGTACTGTTATTTGAATGGCATATCATGAGCAGCTAGGGTCCACAAACACTGAGATTCTCAAATACACAGATTGTACTCATTTTTCTTATCATAGACACCAGTGTAGACATGTCAATAAGTGAGTGGATGGAGGTATGGATGGGCAGATGTATGGATGGATGACTAGACCTTGGCAGAGCCCTTTGTGACATCCCAAGACTGAAGGACATTTGTGTGAGCCCTTGGTGCCCACTCATGTGTTTAATGTTCCCAGGACCTTGGCCTTCCGTATGGATGCCACATAGAAAGCTCTTAGAATGTCAAGACAAATTGGATTTTTTTTCTAGGACTTACCTCCATTAAACAGCCTCGTAGGAAGGTCATGAAATTGATGACCCTAGACAGTTTTCAGAGCCGTAGAGCCAACCCCACATCAAGTCTAACTTCCAATTGGACTTTAACCAATTACAAACATGATTTTTATGGTTTTGGATCAGGTCTGGCCCGGAAGGGATTCAGCAAGTCCTGGGACCTTCAAGGCTCAACCAAGTGGAGTAGAATAGCATGGGCCTGCCAGGGGACACCTTAAACGGCCAAGGCATTCCCATCAATGCCAGGCTCCAGCATACTGCAGCACTGTATTAAGATACACAGGTGCCAACAAAAATAAGTTAACACCCCTCTGATTTACCACTATGTACAGTCAAAATTAGAATTTGTCTTGGACTGGGTTATTCTGGTGTCAGGATGAACATAATATAGCTGATGTTTCTGTGCCTCCGTGGGCCATTCTAAAAGGCAATTCCAGAAAGAACTTTTGGACCTCATATACATAATTTCTTTTCTGAATTATTATGCTTTTATGGTAGGATCTAATGAGACAACTCAAGCCCAAAGCAATACAAGTTACTGTCTATAAAGTTGATCTATTCTACTGCATCGTAATATTCTTGTCTAAAACTAATGGCAAAATATTTTCTAACTTTTACAGAATTATTATTACCAATGAAAATGGACTACTGATGGCATAATTTTTTTTTCTATTGCAGGTATCTTTCCTGACACATTTCCCCCCATGAGGACTACCTACATGAGCTCTCAATCAAGGAGGAAGCATGCTTATTTCTTTAAAAATGAAAAGTGCAAAATACTTACAAAATGGAGGACAATGTTTATGGTAAGGATTTTTAAGAAACTCCTAACAGACAAAAACTGAAGAGCGGTTAGTTTCAGAGAATGCCGTCCTGGGACTGAGCAGTTATGTCCCAGAATGAGGGGCAGTGATGCTTTGGTGAGTCATGCAAATTCTTAGCATAAAAGTTAAAAACAAAAACAAAAACAAAAAACAAACACATATCACAAGAACTTATATTTGCAATGACACAAAAGGGAACAAGTGAGAAAATTCTGGAACAAAGCATGCACGAGTTAAGCACCTTGATGCTAAACTGCCACTGTCAGCTGATGAGGAGGACATATCCATGCTGAACATTTTACGAAGCCTAGGTCGAGCACGCTCACTTGTTTTAGGAACAGTTTCTGGTCCATCTAAATCATCAAGGGTAGACTGCCTTGAGAACAGCATGGTTGCTTCCGTGTAGCAGCTAGCAGCGCAAACAGTCACAGAGACACAGGGTTAAAACACCAGTGGTACATCAGTTTACACACGGATCAGTCGACCAGTACACTGCCATGCAGCAAACCACACGTGACACCAACAGTGCTGACGCTGAGCACCACAGCGGGGCTCACGGAAGGGAGGTCAGGAGGGTCCCGTTTGGCCGGACGATAAGACACAGCGGTTCTTGATTGGTCAAAATGTATGGGTGGGGTGATAAGTCATGGATGGTCCCCTCTCCGTGTGGGGCGGGGAACGGGATTAATGACAAATCCCAACATGCCTTGCGCAGAGCAGAATTCACACTTTATAACTTTGTAACTGAGCTTTTTGCTGTTTTCATTAAAGAAGATATGTTTTATTTGGAGCTCCCCATCCTGAGTTCCTTGAAAGCATTTTGTAACCCAATTGCTGAAGCAGAAATATCTGCCCGTGTAAAATGTATACAGAACACTTGGATGTTTTAGAAATACGTCTCCAACAAGGAGAGAGGGAAGCTCAGAAATAATCACACGGAACTGAATTGTCCACCCCGTTTTCTGAGTGGTATTCAGTTAAGCCAAACTAGATGCCTTGCATGGAGAAAGAGATGCTGGTTTGATATGCAACCGGATATAAACCAACATCTGAAGAAAAAAAAAAAGAAAGAAAGAAAGAAAATGGTACAAAGAAAATAACAGAGGAAGTCTAGCGATGGCAGGGTCATTTTGTCTGTTAACTTCTCATTTTGCCTAATGATTTTTTTTTTTTTTCCTTCTGGATCATGTTTTAGGTCTTGGCAGATGTCACTAGGGCGAGAACCCACTGGCTAAAATCCTCATGATGACCCCACAGAGCAACAATTGGGGAGGGAATGGTGGCAGATTCAGGCCTGAGGACTGCATGAGCTACAAGAGGAGAAGAAGCAGACAGAGTTACCACGTAGGCATCATCTCAGTGCTGACGTAGAGTTTAACCCAAAGGGGGACACGCACCTCAAAGACCTCTGAAGAAGGCTACTGGAATAAGAATCGCCCAGCCTGAGCACCAGTGGCTGACCCAGGGGAATGGGTCTTTGTGATCCAGGATGGCTGATTTTCTGGCTGAACATCATTGTCATGGGGGCAGACTAGGCCTGCACACACCCAGGTGTGCCCAGCCAGTGACTGGGATGCAGAACGGAAACCATGCAGGAAGTAACAACCTCCAGGCCTAGCAGGTGAGCAACCAAATGGTCTCTGATGAAGACATAGAGACTGATTTTTAAGAAAGGCCCTAACTCCTTTAGGATTTGATGTTGTCAAATCCTTGACAGAATGAGGCGATGAGGAAAAGGCAAAGCGGAAACTCAATGGCCAAGCACAGGGATCCCTGGGCTTGGGTCCCTCCCTACACTAATGTTAACTGGCCGTTGGCATTTAGATAAATTGTCCTCTCTAAGATCTCAATTTTTTTTTTTTTTGAGAATCAGAAGAGGCTTTAATATGATGAAAATAACTGCAGATATCATTATTTATTTGATGAAGTAGTTTCAGTAGAAATTGTTGACCTCACGTTTATAGACCTATTAATATTTAACTTGTTCTCTCATTTGTAAGACAGGGGATCTGGACCTTGGAACTTCTATATTTAATTTCCTATTTTTAGAGCTGCACTCCTATGGCCTTTTAGGGGTCTGCAGGCAAAAAGATACTGTGTACCCTTCCCTGTGGCCCTGCTCAGATTTTTCGCTTGGGAACCACTGTTGTAATCCTGAAGTGTGACTCATCTTGTTAATGCCATTGTCCACTGCTGCAGCAGCTGACCCTCACACCCCACACTGTCCCACCCAGTTGGGTTATGTGTATTGTGACCAGTTTGTCGCCCAATCCAGGGCAGTTTTAAAAGAAAAAGGGAAGAGGAGTTTTCTGATAACAGGCCCCGGTGACATGCCTGAAGGGACAGTTGGGGTCCCCTCACTGATCAGCCTGCACTTCGAGCCACCCCAGGGCACACAACAGCCTCTTAGGTGACATGTTTCAAGGGATAAACACTCCCTCCGTATCTAGGAATGCTCCTTAGACTGTCACTTAATGTTTCTTGCACAATTTAAAATAATTTATTTTCGGGGAAAGTAGATGATATCTGATTTCATAAAACAACCATTAAGACAAGTGCCATTTTACAGCCAGATTTAAAGGAAAGAGTGCTTTTTGCAATAAGTCAAAGGGAATATAAAGGCATTTGTTAGGCTCTCATCCCATCTGCAGTATGCCCAAAGGTGAAGATGGGTGACAGGGATGCCAGGCAGGGTCCCCGCACAGGGGGCGGGGCCGCACCGAGCATGCGCAGCCGCACTGGGGGAATGGTACTAAGACCCTCGCTGATGACACAGGTGTCTCCACTGGGAATCCCTTCTTGGGAAGACTCCTGCCTTTCTAGAAATCAGGTGGCTTCCAGTAGACTTTCATGTAAACAGATACTGTCTACTGATTTGATAGCTTCCTAAAGCAAAAAACTAGAAGTGGAGCTCAGCCATTAAGAAAAGGGCAAGTGTGGGGCGCCTGCGGGGCTCAGTAGGTTAAAGCCTCTGTCTTCAGCTCAGGTCATGATCCCAGGGTCCTGGGATTAAGGGCTCTGTCCTCCGCGGGGAGCCTGCTTCCTCCTCTCTCTCTCTGCCTGCCTCTCTGCCTACTTGTGATCTCTGTCAAATAAATAAATAAATAAATAAATAAATAAATAAAATCTTTTTTTTTTTTTTAAAGGGCAAGTGTGTTAACTCATTTATTAACAACAAAACAAACCCTCTTGTGTCTCCCCTTTCTTTAGGTTGAAATAAAAAGTAAAAGATACATTAGGAACTAATTTTAAAGGTACTGGTTTTCTACTAGTAAATTGATTGATCACTTCTAAATTTGGGAGATAATTCTAATAGTCTTTGTTCAAAAACAATCAATAGGTTTCAATAACTCCTACCTTATGGTTTTTGATCATGGGTACGGTTTTATAATTGTAATCTTGGGTCTGATTTAAAGGCAGTTACTTGATTTTATTTGATCAGTCTTCTTCCTTTTTTATCCCTCTTAGGTTATGACTTATAACATTAAGCTAATTTCTTAGCGGGGCATGTTGTCAGTTGTTATGCAGTTAAAAGTTACTAATACAGGAGTCAATTGTGTTTATACTATGGACAACTTCTTTTCTTTCTTTTTTTTTTTAAGATTTGTTTTTAATGTGTTTATTCGACAGAGAGAGACACAGCAAGAGAGGAAACACAAGCAGGGGGAGTCGGAGAGGGAGAAGCAGGCTTCCCAAGGAGCAGGGAGCCCAGTGCCAGGCTCGATCCCAGGACTCTGGGATCATGACCTGAGCCGAAGGCAGGCCTTAACGATTGAGCCACCCAGGGGCCCCTGGACAATTTATTTTCAATTCATTCTCTAATATCCTCTTTGATTTGATTCTGAGTTTGGTTCTTGAGCAGCTATTCTTAAGCCTGGTCAGGAGACCTGTGACACCCTTGAAAATTTATGGGAAAAACTGGTATTTATTTGCACTGAGATAGTATATCTCAGCATATTTCTCATCTTACCATTCTCCACTTTTTTTTTTTTTTTCAAAATCAGTTGTTTGGTCATGAATAGGTTATAAAGTGGGTGGATCTGGAAACTCTATGATCCCCCCTGTGGACCCTCATTCACACCTGTAACTAGGAAACAGCATCTGTCAGCATCTTGAATATTGACTACATTCAGGCGATTTTTTTTTTTCATTCAGACAAATCTTGTCTTCCCCTGCCTCTGCCAACACAATTGTACATTTTTGCAAACATACTCATGTTTAAGGGAAAAGCTACCATGAAGTATCTTGGTAGAATGTGGATAAAAATGGATTTTCAGTTTTTGCATAAAAATGATTCAAAGAAAAAATAATTCTGTTTAAATTACTGATCTATGTAGAGAAAATTGTTGCAACAAGAACAATTTTAAGAAAGTTGGCAGCTTCCAAATGAGAGGGTTATTTATGGTTTGAAAAAAATAAAAATAAAACATAAACCATAATGATTTTTTGTCTCAATGTAGTCTGCTCAAGGAGAATGAAGCTCCTCTTTCAAAAACGCAGATTGTGGGGTATTTTCAGGAAGGCACACAAGGGGGCGATGTCTGTCAAGCAAGGTACATGACGCTAAATTTTCACTTCGTAACTTTGCTATTACTAATGGTTGTTTAAATTGCTGATTAAGAAATATGGGGGATGTGCCTGGGTGGCTCAGTGGGTTAAAGCCTCTGCCTTTGGCTCAGGTCATGATCCCAGGATGGAGCCCTGCGTTGGGCTCTCTGCTCAGCAGGGAGCCTTTCTGCCTGTCTCTCTGCCTGCCTCTCTGCCTACTTGTGATCTCTGTCAAATAAATAAATAAAATCTTAAAAAAAAAAAAAGAAATGTGGGTATGTTTGGGTGGAGAGATAATGAGAAACGTTTATTAGCATACCCACTGTTGTAACAATCACTTATTTTATTCTAGAAATTTAAAGCATCTTGAACAGGATCTCAGTTAGCAAATAAATGTTTTGACCTTGAAAGTCTTGAGAGTTTCTGGCCTCAGTGTCTCTTCTCACCAAAATCTACAACAGCTGAAACATTTCTGTTTCTTTGGAACTGACAAATGAGCAAAGATTATTCCCAAATTATGGGAATAATGCCTTTTATTATCCCTCAAAGGACTTTAAAAGAATCTCTACCTATTTTGGGGGAGGGGCAGAGGGTAGGAAGGGATATATCCAAGCAGAATTTCATCTGTACAAAAATCATATTTAAATCAATATATGAACACATATTTTTTTCATAAATAAAAATGAGGTTTTTGGCATACATTCTATTTTAAACCTCAATTTTTTGCTCAATGCAGTGAATATCTTTCCATATCAATAAATATAGATTTGCATCAATAGGTAAATTATTGGGGAGCAAGATAACAGTCACAATTGGAGCAGCTCAAATATACCAATTCAGCAGCAGTGAAACATAGCTCTTCAAGGTAAACGTTTTTTTTTTCACCCACCTCTCCCCATTCAGATTGCAATTTCAACTTGTGGTTATCTCTTTGGGATTTGGTATCAACAAAATAGTCTCAGTTCCCTCCCCTCTCTTGTGCTGTAATATATTTGTTATTTGTGGAGGACAGATATTCCTCCAGGGCTCTGAGGCCCTGCACAGTGTCTGACGTGGGACTGGAGACATACTGCCAACCATCCAGGACCTTCTACCACAGGAGGCATGCAGGGCGTGTCTGCCACTCTTCCCCCCGGCAGGAGTCCCAACTCAGGGTTCCATGGATAATCCTACCAGTGGGTCTTTCTTCCCAGACTCGAACTACTTAGAGATGATATACCTATATGTGTCTTATCTCAAAATCGAGTTCAGGGTCTGGCTTGGAATAGGTGCTTTTAAACCTGTTTGATGAAAGCAACGAATGTCCTTGGTGATAATGCTCCTGACCTATGAAGATGTACACAATGTGCGATTCATGTAGTCTAGCTAATCATCCTAGGCCTGCCGGCCTCCTCCAAAGACAGGACTTCTGCTTCAACTCAGAAGCTAGCTCTGTGCAATCCCCAGCAGCTATCTAGAATGCTGAGGCAGAGAACAGGGGAGGCTCTACCGGGACAGGCGGTAAGAAAGGTCAGTTCTCAAAGATGGCCTGGAGTGCAGAGGAGGCCACTAGAGGCAGCACATCATGGTGGGTGAGATCCTGGGCTCTGAGCTGAACCATGGGGTTTGGGATGCTGACTCCCTTTTACAGTACCTCCTAGTTGTGTGGCTCTGGGTATGTTAGGTAACCTCTCTGTAACTGAACTTCATGTTCTGTAAAATGGGGATGATAACATGAATCTTATAGGGTCTTGGAAGGATGCAGTGAGGTAACCCATACATAGTGGGTCGTGCTGGCCCGTGGCTAGTGCAGGATCCCTGTAGTGAGACAGTGCACGTGATCACAGAAGCCAGGGAGGATGGAAGTGGACAAAATCGCCTCTTAAATTTTTATTATGGATCACAAAGTAACAATTCTGAAAGGAGAAAGATCAAAGATAGCAACAGATGGAAGAAGATTCCAGTATAGAAAATACTCTTTGGGGCAGCATTTTTTTCAGAGGAATCAAAGATGGTGGCCCTTGACACAAATAGTCATTTTGTGATCAGGAAGGCTCGTTCTTACTTGCCTCTGGCTTGGAAGTCTCTGCCCTGTGCCCATGAGTCATACTGGTATTTCTAATATGGTCTACTTTTTTTCCTTTTCTTTTCTTTTTTTTTAAAGTTCAGCATGGGGCTCAAACTCACAGCCCTGAGATGGAGACTCGTGGTGAGATCAAGAGTCAGACGCTTAACCGACTGAGCCACCCAGGCGCCCCTCTCATAGCCTATTACTGATACCTGATTTTTTTCTGGCTCAGTCAAGGGGAGGACAGTGTTCCTTTCGCTTTGTTGTACACAGGGAGGTTGCCTGAACAGGGCAGGGATCCATGAACGTTTTTGATTAACTTTCACCTCACACATCCATTTCTCATCTTGCTGAAGCCCAGCTCTTTCACCTTGGTCAAAAGCAAACCCACTATTTAGAACATTAAGTACCTGGAGATGCTGTCGTGGGAATCTAAGCTATCCATCCTGTGGGCTGTCTGTGCAACAGAAGCAGCGCCAGCACGGTCGTCTATGGTGTCCAGTCCAGACTCTCTGGAAAGGTTCATGATGTGGTTCTGGTAGTACATGTGGATGCTCTCCCGCGTAGGGACGTTGCCCTGTGGAGGGGAGACATCGCCACAGTTCTTACTTGTCTGTGCAGCCCCCTGGCGCTTCTCAATACCGAGAACTCTTGGTCGACATGCCCACCTCGCACAAAGATGAAAACAAAGCTAGTCAAGGAGAGTGTTGATGTTAACTCATTGCATTAGTGGCCCCCGATATCACTGGGGAAGGCTCACAAGAAATCCCTTCTTGGTTATGGGTGAAGATAGTCAAAAGACACAACTTCCACCTATAAAATACATAAGTCCCAGGGATGTTACGGACAGCACAGTGACTGTACCATATACTTGGAAGTTTCTAAGAGGCTAGAACTTAATAGTTCCCATCACAAGAAAAAAAAAATTGAAACAAGGTGTGGTGATGGATGTTACGTAGATTAACTGTGATCATTTTGGAATATATGCAAATAGCGAATCACTGTATTGTACACCTGAAACTAGTATGTTACATTGTCAATTACATCTCAATAAAAATAAGATAAAAACTAGTAAAAATCAAATCCTTTCTTATATGTAGGTGATTTAGCTAAGCGATAGTAACTTTTTCAGAAACATACTAGTAATTTTAAATATCTATAAACTGTATGTGCCTATATTTTGCTGCTCTGCATATATCTTGATTTTTCCCCCCGAGAAGTTTCAGATCAATCTTCCCAGACTAAACAACATAACCCTTCCTGAGACAGCAGGGTTGGTGCACCTGCAAACTGGCGAGGGGAAGGAACACAGTGAACAAACTGGCCATTGTCCCAGAACTGTGTGTGCACGTGAGTGTGTACATGTGTGTGCTTACAGTGTCTGGTTATTTCAATTCTAAGCAATGGAACAGATTTAAATATCCAGAAAAACAGAGGGGTTATATACAGACTGTCCAGAAGACAGACTATAGATTTTGTGTTATCCTTTCTGGAGTTCTGGACATTGACTTTTAAAAATCTTTATAATGAGGGAAGAAGCAAAAAGAATTGTACCCACAAGTGTTACCTTTTTAATTTCTCTGGTCAGCATACATCTTTCAATTCTCAGAACTGTAGATATATCAATATGTTCCCTTGAAATGGAGTTAAGCCAAGTTGTGAAACTATCCACTGTTGCCAGAAACAGAACCCAGGTGAATTTCAAAATGTTAAATATCCTCTTGATGATATTATCTAGGAAGAAGTAAAGCAACAAGGTTTCAAAGGAGCAAAATGCCCAAGTCAGCCGTTTTGCTGCTGTGTAACACAGCGATCTCTTACCAAGGACAGACCTGGTTTCAGACCTGCACACCTAATACGGAGTGATGCCCATGATGCTCAGCGTGATGGGGATGGGGGTGGGAGGTGTAGAGGAGGACAGGCAGTATAGGAAGCTGTGGGTGGGTCTTTCTACACATGCACTGGCAGCATCAAAACCAAACTGGGATAGAATTTTTATCCTGTGCTCAAAATATCAGTCAGAATAGGTCCATAGACAGAACACAGGTTTGATGAAGAGTAAGGTTGCATTCAAAGTTATTTTTGTTGTTGACACAGGGATAGAAGCCATCCAGGAAACCGGATCCTTTAATGTTTTTTTTTTTTTTTCTAGAAATTTCTTCTTTTCTTAAGGAATGACTATTTTTGGAAACAATTCTATTGATTCAGTGAGACTTTTGATGCTTGGTAGCTGCTGTTCAGTTCCATCACCTGCCACCTATTCTGTCAAGAGCTTAGTAGGGGTACCAGAAGAATACTGATACTACGAATTAGCTTCAACATTCCTATTTCATTCTACTGAGCTGGGCCCACACAGAATTCTGCACATGAGATCGATCCTGTCCAAACCAACAGATGCTGTGAGATTCCTGATGTTCTCAGGTTGTCTTCCCTCTCTGCAGCTGTGACGTGGGGAGCCGGGCCAAGGTGCCCAGCATGATAAGCTCAGCTCAGATTGTCACCGTCTGTGACACCCTCTGGGTGCAGGCACACATGCCTGTCTTGTGCCCTCAGGGAATTCCACAAGGGCTCTCTGATCATTGTTAAGGTTGGAGGAGGTTCCCTGGCTGTGACCTAACTTATTTTAGGTCAGAATCAAAATCAAATAGGGAAGATGGTGTCTTAACTGTCTCTCTGACACCTCCATTCCCAGAAGCCAATGGTTTCTCAGCTGGTATCCAAGAAACCATTCAAGCCACCGAATTTTGATCCATGTGAATTTTTTAATTTGGCATTTAAGACATTTTGTCTTATTAGCGATTTCGAACATTGACTGCAGTAAAACGACTCCTTAGTGAACACCATAATGAATTAAAAACTGCCTTAGTGTTTATCAACAAAACCCTTAAACACCACCAGCAGCACCACTAAGAAAAACAACTGGTATCCCTCACCCTTTCCTCCAACCAAAAGATGCCAGGCTGACTCTGAATTTAATTTTGTAATAGGGGAAAAAGAAGTTATCTGTGAACTGGGTTGCCTAGGAGGAAGGCAGAATTTCTCTCAGGGAAAGGTTTGCTCTTTTCAAAAGGAGAAACATCGAAGGGAACTTTAATCTATGGACAGTGTGGCCTCAGGACAGAGTCCAGGTGGGCAAGGTAGAGACAAAGAAGAGTTGAACAGTTCTACCTACTGAAGGAACAGGAATCTTGGAGCTGCCAGCTGGTACCTGGGGAAGAAAGCGGGAATGATCTAATGAGCCGGGCCCCAGAGGCACTAGCTGGGGAGAAACCCACTGAGGCAGGAATAGTGATCACTGACTTTCCCTCCGACATTGTTGCCTGTCTCTGCCATCACTGCCCCCCCACCACCCCGCTATCTCTCAAAGCCTCTATAAAATGCTGTCACACCTAACAATCTTCCATGAAGCGTACTTTAGGAAGTAAGGCAATGAGGTATTTTCTGCTGAGCAAAGCTCAGGAAGGGACCAGCTGCTACATGAAGCCGAATGCAGAGAGGTCGTGCAGATTCCACGGAAGAGCCATTCTGAGCCAGAGGTGGCCAGGGGCCCTCTATGGGTCTTGACCCTCCCCCAACCCATTTTGGGTTTAATCTGAGCCAGGTGTGAATTTCCCACAATGCTTTCGATGGAATCTCCAGCTGCGTTGTGTAGACATAAAAAGAAAATCTGAGCCCTGGAGGCTGAAGGACTTGGGGGGGGGGGGTCACACCTATTAATAAACTTCAGCAGTGTCTCCCATTTTGGACAATTTATTTATTTACTTTGTCATATTCACAATGATCGCCTGCGGTGGTGAGGAGACATGTGATTATGTCACGGTTTTGCCGAGCATGGTCCTGATGGTAAGACTAAACTTACAGTGATGGAGACATGGAAAACACATACTTTCTTAACTCACGTGATCACAAACTAACATGAGATGTGGCCATTTTAATTTTTACTTATTTCTTAGCCAGAGAGGCAGTAAGGCCCACAGTGGGGAAGGGCACATACTTGGGTTCAAATCCCAATTCTACCCCTTAGTGGTTGTGTAGACTTGAAAAGTTACCTCATCTTTCTCTGCTTCAGTTTCTTATCTGTTAAATGAGGGAGAGGGTTTTTGAGGGAACCAGTGAGGATGCGTAAAGCTCTTGGGAAAGTGCCTGGTAGAGACGTGTGAGCTAAAGTGTTAGCTATTATAACTGTAGGTAGCTTCGCAGCAAGAATAGAACATCTGGCTCCACATATGCGTGAGTCCAATATTCTGGAAGTGGGGGTTCAGGTTTAAGAACAGGGCCAAAGACGTTTAGACAGACTTGGGGAAGTCTCATTTTGGGCCAGCAGATGGCATCCTTGGAAGTATCTGTGTCCATAGCAAGAGTGCCTGAAAATCTTGGCCGGCTATAAGTAACGCACACAGGAGTTCTAACCCTATGACATTGAGGTAATGGCATGTTTATGGAATTACAGAGACATTTAAGTTCATTTCATTTGAAAGCCTTTTTTTTGCCCCCCCCTTTTTTTTTTTCCTTCATGGAAAACTCTTCCTCCCAGTCACATCTATGTGAAGCCCAAATGACACCATGACTGAGGTAGGGGTTAGAAGACAGGGATTCGGTCCTTACTCTGTCACTTAGTAACTACAGAGTCCTGAGCAAGCTCACTGAGGATAGACGTTCCCTTTGTCAAGTGAGGACTTTGACCTACGCTTCTAGAGAAACTCTGATTTCCCCCACTGTACTTACCTCACATTTAAATCCTTCTTTCTATGTCCTTTAAAATTAATTGGGAATATTTTTTGTGCTTTTATTTTGGTGGCTTCCATGGGACATTTATAATTTACTCCCCAAAATCCCCTTTCACAAATATTTGGGGAAGATAACTGACAAATGTTGGACAAATGTTGGACTCTAATCCAACATTTAATCCAACAGTGTAAGTGTCAGATCTACTCTAAGGAGTCCACTTTGAAATGTCACTTAGAGATGAGATTTCAAGGGACACTTGATTATTTAGTCAAAGTCCGGAAACAGTATTTGATGAATTATTTTTAGGCAGCCTTCCATGACATATCTTCTGGGAAAGCAATATTTTCAAATTTCCCCCAGCTCACATTTGTCTTTGTTTGGTTACCTGGTCCATCAGATTTCTTTTTGACTGGTTCCTGCTCTCGGTCTTCCCACTCCACAGGACCTGCCAAGTGTGTTCAATAAACATGAGTTAGGTCCTTTTAGATTAAATGACAACACTACTCTTCTGGGCTAAAAGGAATTCTGTAATTAAATCTAGAATATTCTGCCTAATATAAGAGTTCTCAGGGAAAAGTTGTAAGAACTCCTAGCTCTCAGATTCTGCTTACTCCAGAGTAAGAATCACTTTTAACTGGGAATGAGTGAACTATGGTATACTGGCTAAATCCTGCCAGCTTCCTATTGTTAAATGGCCTCTGATCTCAGAACCAGTTTTTATATTTTTGATAGTTGAAAAAAAATCTTAAAAAACAGCAATATTCTGGCATGTGAAAATGATACGAAATTCAGATTTTAATGAATAGAACTACACCCATTTGTTTACGTATTGTCTATGGCTACTTTCCCCCTCAACCTGGCAGAGACTTATGGCCTGCAATACTCAAACACTGACTATCTGGCCCATTACAGAAAGAGTATGTTGACTCCTGGTACATACCATGACATTTTAATTTTGAATACCTAGAGGTAATGCTACATATTTTAGTGTGTCACTCCATAGAATGGTATTATGGGACCCCATTTTATTTTTTAGCCTCTTATTTCAGGCTAAAGATGTCAGATCTAGCAAATGGAAATATGGGACACCCAAAAATTTTTTGTAAATTTGAATTTACAAAAAACAATAATTTTTTTTCTTAGTTTAAGTCCCATACAATATGTCCACATTATACTTGGACTAAAAAATTATTTGTTGTTTTTCTAAAAACTCCAACTATCACTGGGCCCTGTGTATTTATCTGGTAGTACTAAGACCATTCATGAACTGACTTCAATGAACCTTTCCAAACTTACTTTCCACCATTCTGTTTTCCATCGCATCTTGTCTTTACCAACTAAGCTGACCTGCTCTTTAATTTTCATACACAACCTTTCTTTCTTCTGCCAGAATGTCAGGCTCTACTAAAATACTTTTTCATGAAGTACTTTATTCCTTTATACTCTTGGCTATAAGTCCTCCTTTCTCCCTCTGGTCCCGCACTCTTTTATCTATGCTTATTTTTTAAATGGAACTCTGCAGTTTCTATATCATTAGGGATTTTCCCCCCTATACTTGTGTTCCCCATTTGTCAAGATAGAAAGGTTTGGAGTCAGGATTCCTGCATTAATTCCAGACCCATCTAGATGGCTGTGTGACCTCAGGCCAGTTCTTTCCCTCTCTGGTACTTCATTTCCTCATCTGTAATGCAGGAAGAATAAAATGTCCTGGACTGTTATAAGGATCAAATGAGTTACAGCCTACAAAGTACTTCGAGCAGCACCTGGCATTTCGGAAGGCTGGAATCCACTTGCTTCATCTGTCTGGAAGTAATCTGGAAAGGACGAGCCCTTCCACCAAAGAAGAAGTGGCTAAATAAATATTAAAGGAATGAATAAACATCTATTTTCATCCCAGTACCTTTTAATTATTGCTGTCTTTGATCTGAGGTAAACATCTGCACATGGAATCATCTTCATGAAACAGAGTAATGAGATATTTGCAAGATGACTAAAAACACATTTTTAGAGCTCAGCAGATAATTTTGTGAGAATGCATGGCTGAGGATAGCAAATACAAGTTGGGTGCGGGGGAGAAAAGGGGATAGTGAGGGGGAATTTGCAACACTAAATATTAAAACTAACTCGATACCCACTGGACTTAAAAATAGATGACACTGGCCCAGAGCTAGACAGTAGGATAATGGATCAGAGTCCAGAGCCCAGAAACAGACCAAAGAATAAATGGGAGCTGAATATCAACCAAAGTAGCATTTAAATTCACTAGAAAAAAGGAGAATAATTTAATAAACAGGGATAACATAATAGCCTATCTATGTAAAAGTAAACAAAGTAGGTCTCTATTTCACAGAACAATAAAAATGCAAAATGTAAATAAAATTGGGAGGAAATAAGGGAAAATAATATCTGGGGGAAAGACTTTCTTAGGCAACATGGAAACCCTGAAATTGCAAAAAGAAATTGAGACCTCTTTGATATCAGAAAAAATTAAAAATTGTTTAGATAACATATACCAAAAACTAAATAAAAAGATAAGCACTGGATGTGTAAAAAATACTTGTAACACATGAGAAAAGGTTAATATCCTTAATATATAGATGTTTCCTAAATCAATAAGGACAAACAACCCAATAGGATGATATTATGGAAAATGATAAAAAATGTTTAAATCTCAGATTTGGAAGTACAAACCTGAAAATAGGAAATAAAAAATGCTCAGTTTCATTAGTTAGGAAAATTCAAATGAAAATAAAAGCCATCTGTCATCCCAATGAAAGACAAATGATAAAAAAAAGAATAACATTCTGTAGGATAAGACTACAGGGAAATGGATGTTCCTGTACCTTACATGTAGGACTGTATATTTCTAAAACCTCTTGGGAAAATATATATTAAAGTAAAAAATGTCACATCCCTTTAGTCAGAAGTCCCACTTTTGATCTATTCTGTGGAAAGTCTGTGCTCTTCCTGGCTTTTTGCTATGCATTTAAATACACACACATATATGTATGTTTGACTATGTGCATTTTTGTGCGATGCTATCTATGATAGCATTATTCATTATGGAAAAAATTTGGAAGCAAACTTAATGTCCATTAGTGATGGGATAGTTGAATAAATTATGCATATCCATATTGTAGACGATTCTGCAGCCATTAAAAAAGGATGATATAGTTTTATAAATACTTAATTGGAGAAATGTTCATGTCCCACTGCTAATGAACATACCAGAGGGATCTGTAGAGCATGAACTCATTTTTGAAAATAACAAAGGAATTGGTGCCTGCACACACCTACATCACAGACCAGTAAGAAGTGGACATGAGTACCACACACAGTGAGGACTTGGCCCTTGCGGGGATGGGTTTCCACAGCAGATTATCAAATCTACCTCTTGACTCTTTGACTTGAGTCAAAGACTCTTGACTCATTGGCTGTGTCTTCATTTTGTCTTTTGAACCAATAAAGTAAAATAAAATTAAAACTACCAGGAGACAGCTGGGAGCAGAATAGTCAAAGAGGAGAAAGAGTTTGTAGTTAGAATTCCATGAGTAATTATACTTCCTTTTCTGTGACTTTTGAAGACATTTTAATTTCACAAAAATCTGTGTCTATTTCCTTTGTAAAGAATCAAAATATAACACATAAGCCTAAAGTTCCCTAAAATCATACCACTTAATCTCAGTCTGTCCACAGAAGAGACTCCTCTCCTACTCCTCCCCGAGAAGTAACCACTGTTATTAATTGCTAAGTATTCTTCCCAATCTTTCTCTTGCATTTATACACATTATATGCGTCCATTAAAAATGCAAAACACTGTCTTGAGGAACTTTGTTGGCTTCCGTTGTTTCCCAAATGGTTTTATAATGTGCATGCCATTTGCAACATAATACTTTTTATTTAACAATATGTCAAATTCAAAGTACTGTTGATCCTTGAACAACACAGGTCTGAACCCTGCAGGTTCACTTATATGAAGGTTTTTTTTTTTTTATAAATACAGTGCAGTTCTGCAAATATATTTTGTCTTCCTTATGATTTTCTTGATAGTACTTTCTTTTCTCTAGCTTATTGTTCGAATATAGTATATAATGCATATAACATACAAAATATGTATCAATTGACTATTTATGTTATCAGTAAGGCTTCTGGTCAATAGTAGCCTATTAGTAGTTAAGTTTTTAGGGAGGCAAAAGTTATACAAGAGTTTTGATTGTGTGCAGGTCAGTGCCCAAATCCCCACATTGTTCTAGGATCAACTGTAATCCATCTAATTTTTTTAACTACTGAATGGGATTCTAAGTTTTTGTTATTAAATAATACTTGATAAATATTTGTAGATACAGGTCTTGTGCACATAAGCAAATATTGTTTCAAGTTAAGCCATGCCTCTAGAAGTGGGACTGATCATTTAACATTTGAATATTTAACTGTACATTTAATATTTTTTTTAAATTATTTTTTTAGATTTTTAAAGATTTTTATTTATTTGTCAGAGAGAGAGAGTGAGAGAGCACAAGCAGGGGGAGCAGCTGGCAGAGGGAGAGGGAGAAGCAGACTCCCCACTGAGCAGGGAGCCCAACATGGGGCTTGAACCCAGGACCCTGGGATCAGGACCTGAGCATAAGGGAAACGTTTAACCAACTGAGCCACCCAGGAGCCCCCAACATTTTTATACATATCCAAACATTGCTCTCCAAAGCGGATACACTACTCCACTACACCATTTATCGTGTTGTATGGGTTGTAACTCATACAAACACTTATTTTCCCACTAGCTCCAAACAGTGATATTAACAAATATTTGGGTTTTTGCCAATCTGATAGGTAAAACACACAAACAAACAAGGAAAACAGGATGTCAAACTGTTGGTTGTGTTTCTTACATTAGTAGTGAAGCTGGGCTCCTTTTGTCTACTTCTGTTTCCTGATCTGTGAGTTATTTTTCAAATCTATTCATCTATTGGGTTGAGCTTTTCTTTTACTGCTCTTTAGGAGTTCTTAGTATATCCAGAATACTAATCTTTAGTCTGATATATACATATATATATGTAAAAGAATATTTTCATTATATATATATATATATGCCCCACTTTCACTTTCACTTTGGTTTCGGTGTATAGTTGTAGCTTAGAATTTTTCTTATCTTTGGAAAAGTGTTCCTGTTGTATGTTTTCACATGTAATGGAAAAGTGTTCCTGTTGTATGTTTTCACATGTAATGTTGAAGATGGCATTGGTAGTTATGTTCCTTTTTTGGCTCCTGATACTGATAGTGTGTTTTTCCTTTTCTTCTTAATACAATTTCCAAAAGTTTATCCATCTTACTAGTTTTTTTCTAAGAACTGCTTTTCACTTAATGATAGATCTTGTCTTGTTATTTCTTTTCTGTGACTCAACATCTGCTTAAAAAATTAATTTTTTCCTTCTTCTTTCTTTGGATTTATTTTGCTCTCTCCCTCTTCTCATTTTATAAAATGTATATTCACTTAAATTCATGTTTTTACTTATTCCAAAGGTCTGACATGAGCAATGATGGGCAAGCAGAACTGTATGCACTCCTTAGAATATGAGAATGATGTTCCTCCAAAGCTTCTGTCCTGCTATAGCCCAAGGCCACAGAAACAGAGAATGGCTGGCTGGACCCTGCATTCACACAACACTTACCCTCCCCAGATCCTTTTCTCCTTCTTTTCTGTTCTTCTCTTGCAGACCTTTTTTTCTCTTTGCGTCTCTGTCGGAGTGCGGTTTTAGGGTCAGTGATCCAGGCTTGATAAACAAACTGAAGGGGGAAAGTTCGATTATTTTCTGGCTTTTTCATAATTTGAATGAAAAGAAAAGGGACCAACACCAAGCTTCCAGACTTTGGTCATATATATATCTATATGTAGATATAGATATATATACACACACATATGTTTCTTGGTCATACATATTTATATGTTCCTTAGTCATATATGTATGTGTGTGTGTGTGTGTGTATATATATATATATATATATATATATATATATATATATTCCTGGCTTTGGTCATATATATATATATATACATTTCTTTTTCTCCCAGCACAAAATAAATCTTCTTCCATCTCCCTCAGTATCCTGAATTGAACTGAGTTCTTTCTATTATCATGAAATGAAATATGAAAACAGACATTGGAGGAAGATATTTCTTCTAGTTTCACAATCCTGAGATACTTTGGGTGACCACCATTCCTCCCAAGTCCCCATGTACCACCACCACTTGTGAGAGTTACTGATTCTTTGTATTACACATGACAGGAATAAGCTGGGCACCTTGCTAAGTGTCACTGGAGTAGTTTTCTCCCCTTTCAAATAAACTTTAAATCAAAAACAAAACATCTTTTGCTCATTACTTTGGGAAAATAGCTTTGCACATTTGATACTCTCCCTTGAGAAAAACAGTTATGACCAACAACTTAGGAAAGGGTTTTGTAGATTGATTAGTATTTGGAGAGGAAAAAATAATGTGATAGCAAGGTTAAAGAGTTATTCCAGAATGTTACGGAAGGAAAACTGTGGTGCTTTTGGTTGTCTTTTGTCATTTTTATTCAAGACCTGAAAATGGTTACATTAATATAACAAAACCAATAACCACCATAGAGCAACTTTCAACAGCCCTCCCACCAACAGTTTCCCAAGTCATGCAGAAGGAACTGAAAGAAAGCCTTGATACACAAAGTCAGCCATCTGTAATCACGAAGCCAAGCAGACATGCTCCTCATGCACCCAAACACACCTGGGTCTCAGGGAAGCTGGGTTTTCTATTACGATGATAAAGTTAAAGGAATGTTTTGTGGGGTCACTTTGTAAACCCAGACACTTCACTGTATTCTATATTATTTTCAGATTTCTGAAATCTTTGGAAAACACAGTGTAGGCAAACCACTGGCATGATGATGTCAGTAAAAATAAAAGGGGATCCAACTTTTCAAGGTACAGAAATGTAAAGGTCATGGTGACTAAGGAAGAATATTTCTTTTTTTTCACTGCAGAAATCTGAATCTATGGGCAATTAACATGATGGAACATCTGTATTATTTCTGAAAAATAAGCCTGGAAGGCAAAAAATAATCCTATTTTATGCCAAAATGTTTTTTGAGAAAAGAGAAAATGAACTGACTCTGGAAGAAGGACCAAATGAAGGAATTTATGGTAGATGTGTACTAAGCATGCTAACTAGGAACTCCATCAAGAATATCTTTGTCAAGTGTGTAAATTACCTTGCTTATTAAACCTGCCACCTACCAAACAAAATAACTTTGAGGTTTAGTACATTAATAAGCAAACTTGCTTCAGAAAAATATTGATTCTTTTACAAAAATCTGAACTGCTAAACACAAGAAATTTTCAGGTTTAAGAGCAAGATCTGATGACAAGTCCTTTAAAGAAAGAGTTATAAAAATATTGCTTTTAGATAATGCCAGAATCCCCCAATGTAAAATTAAAAAGTAACTCAGGATCTGTGAATGTATTAGGTGTATAAGTTGGAGGAGTGCTTTTGTTCTGGAGAAAAATGGAGAGGGAGAGTGAGAAGGAGAGAGAGAAGGGGCATTTAGGACAGAATTGTAGAACTCTTGAAGAAGGGTGAGTGCCATTATTAAAAGGAAATTCCTGGTTCTACCTATGATCCCTAAATGATTAAGCCCATCAGTGCTTTCTCACTGAGATGAGAATTTACATAATTCAAACAAGGGGAAAACGAGAGAGGGGGAGAAAATCTTATGAGGAGTCCTATTTATAGGTAAACTATCTTACTGTTGATGTTTGGAATTACAAACTCTGTAGAGTGCCAGGAATATTTGACAGAAGCTCAGTCTGACTGTTTCAGGAAATGATGGTAACAAAGTAGGAGGAAAGATCCCACTTCTGAGTCAAGAAATAGCAGTTATTTTTACTGGAACTTCTCAGTTCTCACATTGTAACTATAACCACCATCCAAGTTCATGGGTGTACACACCACTAACCAAGTGAAAGAAAATAATGAAAATGTCCATAAATGACCTTTGGTTTCTTCAAATTGCCACTATTAGTCTATATTCTTAAGATAAGATAACTAATGTTAAATTTTATTTATTTATTTATTTATTTATTAACTTCATCTTAAGTTTTATCTTAAGTCTGGTCATGTGATTTTATCTTAAGTTTTATCATATATTTTAGGGGGAAATGAGGTTCACTTTACTGAATATGTACTATGCAAAAAGCATTTAATTTTTTAAAAAGGATAGAACTTTATGGAAGTGAATGGAGATTTTTCACTGAAATTGATAAAATTTAATGAACTGTCCTTTAATTCATGTGTGACCCAGGATTTTATGTTGTCTGTAAGAAGTTTTCTTGTTTGTTTTTAAATTATATATATATACACATATATATATACATGTGTGTATATATATATATATATATATACACCAAAGAAGTATATACACATATGTGTATATATGTGTGTATATATGTGTATATATTCACATATGTGTATATATTCACATATGTGTATATATTCTTGTATATATGTATATATATGTGTATATATTCTTGTGTATATATTCTTTCCTTTTTTTTTTTTTTAAGAAAGGAAGTTGGTGGGGGGCAGAGGGGTAGAGGGAAAGGGGCAGAGAGAATCTTAAGCAAGCTCCATGTCCAGTGTGGAGTCTGATTTGGGGCTTGATCTCACAACCCTGAGATCATGACCTGAGCCTGAGCCAAATTCAAGAGTCAGAGGCTTAACCGATGTATGCAGGTGCTCGTTTGTTTTTATTTTTAAAGTAAGATGGAGGATAATTTTGTTACAATTGTTCATGTAAATTCTTAAATATGAATGGAGAGACTTGCATGGTAGTCATAAAAGCGAAAAGAAAAAGAATCCCAAGGCAGTGAACACATTGAATATTAAACTAACAATAGAATCCCAGTATTTTAAAAATGGGAGGAACCTGGAAGTTTAGAATACCCGGCCCCACCCAAGATGGACCAGCAGCTACCTCTGGGCGCTCAAGAGAAACACAGAATTATAAGTGCCATGGCAGGACCTGCTTTCTTTACATCACCTGCATTTAAATAAGATCCCAGGTGAAATGGGAAAAGTGCTGGTCTCCCTCACTGTCCAAACATCTGTTTAACATGTGAGCATAAAGACCTAAAAGTTTAAATGCCTACCCAGATTACATCCACAGAACCAGCTTTCTATAAAGTACATGAATAGGAGTTCACTATTTATGATTTTTGGTAAGGAGTGACTAGAGCATGGGTAGCTGGATAATTTCTGCTGTGCATTGGCTAAATTGACCAACAGCATTCTCACATTTTATTCTGCACTCTCTGGGGTGATGTGGGAGTGAGAAGCCACACAGACCTGACGCGACAGCCCAGCCTTGGGAGGGGTTGAACTAAAGTCAGAAGAGTAAATGGAAGACGATACCCAATTTAGGCATGATGGATCCTTGAAAAGGAAGCCAACAAGGAGATGGAGCAAAATGGGTCATTTATTAGGCTCGTTTGTAGTTTTACCAGCTTTCTGAGAATAATAATCACACATTTTACACATCACGACTGATGCATGCAACCAGATGTGACCTTTTTAAAAATGAGACGTGACTTAGGCAAAACTACAAGAAGGACAAAGTAGACGTGTATCTGCATTTTCTCGTTCTATGTTTCGACAGGCTCTGGTATCAGCTGAAGAACGAGAATCAAATAATAGGAAATGTGGCTTCTCGAAACTCTACTTGGAAAGGTTTGCCTACAATTGTAAGTTCTCATACTTCCTCCATTGTATGATCTATAGAACAGGGAAAATGCAGATGTAGGGCAACAGGGAATCTGCTTGTCTAAAGTTCTACGGAGCGGAGGGTCACACACCACACGTCAGTGAAACGTCAAATACCTTTGCAGCTCTGATTAAATACTGAAGAATAGTTTTGGGAAGTTTAATGACAGACTTTGGCAAGGCTAAAATGGCCGATGCAAACTTCCCAATAGCTCTCTACAAAGAAGGACAAAGCAAGAGTGATTAGTAGAAAAACACCAATGACTAATAACTTAATACATGATGTCAGTATGAGTTCATCTCTACAATTACATCAACTAGGTTAAAACATGCCCATCCCTGAAGCTAGAATCAAATGTGCTCTGCTCAGAGGTTAGGAATAAGGAAAAGAGTCGTTGCATGTAATCCGTAAAAAGGCGAGCGTGACCATGTTCTCTCCTTTGCTGAATGAGGAGTGATGGTTATAAGAAAAATCATTAGAGTAAAAATAAATGAGTCATTAGTATTTGACAAGCCAGCCGCACACATGCACACAGACGCCGTCTTCAAGACATAAATTCGGGTAGCGATGGGGCCAGTGAGAAAGCATCAGAGCAGGGTGTCTCCACAAATATTTTAGTTCTTTAATTTCATTGGGAATACAGTAGCAGATGTAACCCTCCAGTTTGAGAAGACCTGGCCAGCAAAGGAGCCATGACCTTTTCATGGACACATCATGAGGCTTGATGGATATCACCCTATATGTCTTGTGGTATAATAACTGAGAAATAACAGTCCTAACACATGACTCCTTCATAAAAGAAATATATATCAAACTTTTACCCTGCATGTAGCTCTACTGACCAGTCCTCATCTTTAACAAACATTGATTAGACATTCCCTGGATACACCATACTGGGCTGTTAAGCTATGTAACTAAGAATGATCTGGCAGTTTCTGAAAAAGAAAGGCAATTAAGTGAAAAAAAAAATCAGAACTGTGCTAGCTATTTCCAGGATTTCAATCAATTTTCAAACCTTTGGCAACACAAATGAAATGGATTCTCAAGATTTGAAGTACCATTTAAGTGACCATTTGTTTCCAAAGAAAGCAAGTGCTTCATTTTTATGATCAGCTAGTTCACATATCAAAATATAAGTCCATTCAAGTGGTTCAAAGTGATGCCAGACAAGTCTTCTTCACCTCATACTTGTAACAGAAAAATAAAGTTCACCCAGGAAGCTTTATTTTTTTTTAATAGCATCAGAAGATTTTTTTGATGCAAGTGAACGAAGACCTGGTGGGAACAGTGTTCTTTGCAGTAATTATACTGATGCTGACAGCAAGCAGCATTAGAGTTTAATGAGGAATAAACAATTTCAGGTGGAAATCAAAAACATCTGGAAGCTGTGACACACATGAACACAGTGGCAGAAGTCTAGGCCTGCAATCAAGATCCGCCAGAAAGAAAAGCTCTTCAACTAGCAGAGGAGCTGGTTTTCCCAACCCCATAATTACCTGGAAAGCTGACCTTCTCGGAGGTTCTTCATCTTCCTTTTTTAATTCTTCCTCTTCCTCCTCTTCACTATCCGTTTCAAACAAGTAATAATCTCCACTCCTGACCACTAAGCAAAACAAAATATTTACTTATTTCTTGGAAGAGATATGAGGTCATAAAGGGTTTATTCATGAAATGCCCCCCCCAAAATATACAAACTGTCCACAAAAGACCACAGCAAGAGATGTTGGTAAAAAGGAAAAGACAAGAGATGAAGAGAACTCATTCTGGGCTAACACTACTTGGTGTTGGCATGGTTGGGTCTACAGAGCGTGAGGCCTCGTCTATACTGTGTAAGAAAACCGGCCACTACTGGGTTCATCTGATAGTTTCTTCCTTCTTCAGTGTCAATTTTACACAGATGCGTCAGATCAACTCTGCAGCAACCCGTTTTGTTACCAAGATGGCCAAAATAATGGCTAGAAAACTGTTAAAAGAGTTTCACAGTTCAGATGATTTGGCAATTTGGGTCTTTTAGACGAGGCCAAAGTGAAGTGGAAGATTTGGTGTTGCCTGAAGGGGTTGAGTGTGTGGTAGAAATGCCAGTCAGGATGGTTCAGGACCAAGAATCAGCATTACCAACTTCCACTTCACTTTCTACTGTGCAGACCTGGCTCCTCCACACGTGACACAGGGACATGACACATATGGCAAGACATTTGAAAGAGTTAAAAAAACAAACAAACAAACGAACAACAACAACAAACACATTGCCATGAGGAGGAAATGGGCAGGTAACATGAAAAAAGAATACAACCGCAAAAACACCACTACCACACTCTGGCTGTTTCTACACATAGCATGGGACAGACTGAGGCAGGGCAGACAAGGGTCCGTACGGTTTAGCACTGTTAGGCTTCTGGTCATCCAGGAGGTCTGGTTACCTATTGAAGTGTGAGGAGAACCGTACTGACCATAAGACTCAAAGCACCAACAGTACGGATTGCCCTTGTCTTGCCTGATATTTTCCCTGTAAGAACATATTGCTGTGTTAAAACTTAGGAGCAGAGAAAGTGGAAATGTCCAGAGACTTAAAGAAATTTGAGAATCCAATCTTTTATTAGTTTGAGCATTATTTTAAGTTGATCAGGGAAAAGAGACTCAGCATAGACATTTCTGATGCTACAAGAACTGTACCATCATCACAGGAAAAAATATGAATTATTTTCAAGTTATATTCAAGTTTTTGAATGCTGAGGTATCTTTTGGATGACATCACATGATGTCTTTGGTTTTCTTTTGGATTCATATGTTTTAAGGTAATGGAAAACCATGGCTTGTTTAAAATTAGTTGCTTGAATATCACTAAACATGGTCAAAAGGTAAATAATTTTGCCCATGATTTCAGACGTATCTGAAGCCTCCATCCATGAAGATGCAGAGTGAATGAATTGGGCCTTATATCCTTGAACAGAAGCACTGTAATTTGTTACTTGTATTTTGAAGAAAGAACCAGGCCCAGAATACTGGGTCCAGGCCCAAGGGAATAAATGCAGTACAACATAAGGTAAGAATAAGCAAGAACAAACCAAAGTTACAGCATCACATTTGACAGTGGGGAAGACCATTAAAGTAATGCCTTCATGTAAGCTCAGACATTTGCAGGAAAGTTACTTGGATTCTATGTCACATGGTCATTTGGTAAAAACAGAGTATCACAAGATTGAGCATTTTACCCTCATTATAGGCTCTAAAATCAACAATAGCTTAAATTGTATTCAATCATACCTTCTATGACTTTTACTCATGTAGACACAGGGGAACCCAAAAAAGTGTTCATCTCAAGCAGTCCCAACACTGATTTGATCCTTTAAAAAAAACTACGAATTTGTATGCGACAAGTAGAATTCACACTTTAAAAAAGGCAGCAAGTGTTTAAGGAAAGTCTCCTATTCTTTTATAGAATGTTACTGAAATAAAAGTAGGAAAACCACAGAAAATATTTTCTTCAGTGCTAGCTGCTAATAAGAAGTAGAGAAAATCTTGCATCTTCATCGATTAGTTTAGAGTCAGCTCCTGCCTGCAGCCTGTGTCCTTGAACATTTACTGGATACAGATGTTATTGCTGTTGCACTGAGTGTGGAAATGACTTTTAAAATCCTACCTCTTGTATCCCCAGAAAGCTGGACCTCGATTTCAGATATTTAACAACAGAGTGAGGCATGTCATTGTTTTAGGCAGTACTGAATTGGCACGGAGACACACTATCCTCAAATGGAAGGTATCATTGAACAGCAATAATGCGATCGTATGTGTGCACATAGGAATGGAAGTGGAAGGTTTGCCACCTACAGACTAGGTTAAGATCTTGACTGCTTGTCGGTAATATGAACAACACAGCGACAGTATCGTATCACACACAGACTCACATGAGGGTGTTCCAAGTACACGCATTCTCATATTCCACACCTGCGTGAAATATCTATGTAAAAGCCCAGTGGCTCAAGAGATCAAAATAAGGGCTTTTAATAAAGTGCTTCTGGTTCTAAAGATAAATTTTGGAACTCATCGTGGTCTAAAAAAGTAATCCACATACACATTCCTTTCCTTTCCTCACAAGTTTGTAAAAGGAAACACAGTTTGCTGAAAAATTTTAACACCACAGTCAGAATCTGATTCCAAACTATGAATTGCACACATTCTTGCATCATTGCACCAAGAGGTGTTGTAACAAGGCACGTTTAATTTAATACCGGTCTTTAAGAACTTGCTATAATGAGGGTGAAATGAATCAGAAAACTAAAGTCAATAACCTTCACGAGAAGTTCTTTAAATTATTACCAACTTGGAAGATGATTATCAAAGACCATATCCAATTCCTTCCAAAATGCAATGTTTAGATCAAGAAAAGGAAAGACATTTATGATTGCAATGGGAATTTACCCCAGGTGAAAGAGAAAACTTTCAGTATGAAACAATTTTGAAATGGATAGGTCTGTCTAAACTAGCAAAGGGCCCTTTAAAAACAGAAAGATAGGCACAGTTTACTTGTGACTTGATAGAAATAGGCTTATAGTGTACTGCTTATGACTGTTAGTAGGACGAACATGGCCAATGAACAATACATTGAAGAGTCACACAGAATTTCCACATGAATCTTTGTCTTTTGACTTGGCAGCAAATGAAAAAACTCTTTAAAACTCATGGATTTTTTTTTTCCTGCCATAAGGCTAGAAATTCAATATTTGGGATTAAATTTAATGACATCCAGGTATACTGAGCAAATTTTGTACAATACTTTCCAAAATTGGCTTGGTGATTAAAAAATATTAATTTTGGGGTGAGGGAAGCCAATGCCATATCTCAGTGATGCCAAGAAATTATGCATGGCAAAAGATTCCAATCAATTTGACTTTCTTGTGATTCTGAAGATCCTGCTAGTAGAGTCTCTCCCACCATCATGCGATGTTGTGGGCCTTGGTGATAATCCCTGTTGGGTCACATTAGCTAGGCATAAAAGCCTGAAAATATTATAAGTTAAGTGCAAAATAATTAATAATTATTCTATAGTCTAATGAATATAAGGAAGGTGAGATCAAAATGGATCATTCTATTCTAAGACCATCCACTGACCAACAGTGAGTGAGATTTCGTACGTTAAGCAGAACAAATACAGCCACTGAGTTCCGTAATTCCTCATTCCTTTTATGATCCGGAGGGAAACACAGTAATTCTCTGTGACTGCGACGCTCTGCTTTTCAAAACCTGTTGTCTGCCTTTGCTCTTAATTGGTCATGGCTGTTTGCTGGAGGCTGCTGCCATGCCGCATGCTGGGTTTTGGATTGGGAGTGTAATTTGAGAGCCTTTTGAAACTGGGGAAGAGGCAGAGTGAGAAAGTGAATGCATTTTAAGTCATCCTGATCTTTATATTCGGTAAATTGCTAAAAAAGTACATGCAAATAAAATCAAAGCTCTGGGGGTGAGGGGAGGAGAGACTCATTGGCATCCAAGCCCAGAGCCTTACAAAGAGGGTCATAGACTCTTTGAATTTAATGATTATTCTCCCAGGAGGAGCCAAAAATCATTTTTAATAAGGGTTTTCAGCCATAAAATAAATACACATCAGCAGAACTCTAGATCTCAGAATCAGATAAAATGGTAGCAGTTCATCTTCCCTTTCTGAGCCTACAAATGGTGCTCGAGAGTGTGTCAGCCATATGCTGGGCTTTCTTCAGCCAGCATGGTAACCTCAGTGGGTTTCTCGGGAAGATTCCATCTCCGCGGCCCAGAGACCCATTCACATCACAATTTTCCTACACTCTGACCCCCTATCAAGTCACAAGGATCAAACCATGCATGGAACACACAGGTCATGGGGACGCCTGAATTCTGGTCAAGGATATAAGGGTTAGAATTGATGAAATCGTAAGAGGATCGAGAAAACCTACTGGAAGCATGATCGACCCAAGGCCGCCACCACTGCTTTTTTTTGCCCTTGGCTTTCTGTTTGTCTGCTTCTCCTAAAATAAAATATGTCCAAATATTAATTCTTAGGAAGTGAGAAAACAAATTTTGAAAACCACGCTTTAACAACTCAATTGTCAAAATCTAGACAAGTCAAAAAAGTACATCAGAGGTCAGGGAAAGGAACCATATTGAGTCTGAAATGTTTATACCTATGAGCAAGTTGATTTCACAAGGCAAGTACTAAGTGTTCTATGAACATTATGCCACATTTTCACTTTCTTTTTAGTACTGCAGGGCATATAAAGAAACATAAAAAAGAAAGGATTATCTCTCAAAAAGGCATCTCACACTGAATTCTCCATTGAATTAACAGAAAAAAAGCATCACTTAAATTTTATAGGACAATTTAGTGGCAAATAATTTGTAAAAATGCCTATATTTCAATAATCAGAAATTTCCTTGTGATTATTTTAAAGCATGGTTGGAAAAATATAAATTTATTGGGGATTAAGAGATGTTATGCACTGGAAAATACCATGCACTATTTCTCCATTCCCTTCAAACAGAAGAGCATGCAAACATTTATAAGAAGACTTTTCAAACTTAACGATATAACAAATCTATAATCCGATATAATAAATATATATTTCATTTTCAGTTTCATTGGAACAGACAATAATTAAAGGATATCTTATCTACCATTATTCAGATTCCACATAAAATATGCATACATACTCAATATTTGTTTAGAATTTATAGAAATTAAAGACAATAACAGCAGTCTTTCTCTGAAATACCTTCCCTAAAGGAATAAATTAAGCAAATCCATGCTCATTTTCTTCAAAAATCTCATCTCTACGAAACAAACACTAGGTTAGGGGTTGATTAAAGTGGTTTTGCTGAAGAGGAGTTACTCGTAAAATCATGGAGTCATTAAATATATCCTTAATGAAACAAATACATGTATCCCATTCACAATCGGAAGATAAAACTTGCTAAGTTCAAAAAGAAATTTGATAATCCTGGCAGAATAAGAATAATGTTATGTAACAGCCCTCCCCATACTCATGCTGTCATTCAACGTTAAGCTACTTGAACAAGAGGGAAATGTCTTGACATACTTTCGTCATCCTCTTCAGAGAGTTTTTGGATGTCTTGGCCTTCCCCCGATTCCTGGGTCAAGCTCAGCATCCTCTCCTTACCCTTTTTGTATTTCTGTTGCCTGGCTTTGATGCGATCCATCCTGGAAAATAGAACAGCCGCAGCAATGCCAAGAACACGCCCAGGGTAATCACATGATTGATTTGCATTTAAACTTGTATGGATGGGACTTATGAATTTTTTTTTAATCAGCAACACATATCTGCTTGGGGATGTCTGTATGTGTGTATACAGACACAACCATATTACTTGGCTCTGTGTAGATGCTCATCTCACTAAGATGATCACAATTATGCGGAGGTTTGATATGCAATACTTGATGTCCACTTATGCGTCGTACCATAGCCATTTTGAACACAGTATAGGATGAAATGTAAATCCTTTATTCTCCCAGGATTTGCAATTTTAAAAAATTAGGAACTGTCTAGCTCATGCAGTTGTGAAGATCCAATGAAAAGGGGTGAAAGGGTGAGAACTGTTTTGTAAAAAGCAAGTTGCTCTGCGGATATTCATAAATATTCTCTGAGACCGCATGACTCTTCTCTATTTCAAATCTAATCTCTGATCAGTTCTGGAAAAATGATTTAGTGTGTCTTTGATTATTGAGTCAGCGCCTTTTATTTTGTCTGCTTATTCAGGAAGTCCGACTCTTCAGAAACTACAATGTTGACCGGACCCGTACTCTTGCGGTGTTCCATTTCTTAATTTAGCTTCTTAAAATTCTGCTCAGGTTTTTAAGCTAAGTGCCATTTCTGCTTCCTGTGGCTTAACCAACACTTTTAGCTTCTCTTTTGCAATGATTATTACCTTCATTCTTTTACATCCTGACTTTCTATCACCTAAGAGGATGTATTCTTAAATGGAAAAACTCAGTGAAGTAAATGAGAGTAAACAGGTCTTCCTAAAGGGTAAATAGGAACTCATTCTACATGTGGGTCCACATTTGTTGCTTGTCTAAGCCTGATGTGGATAACTAGAAGCAACAATGGCAACAGTTATACCATAACTGCTTATATAATAGTTTATATACCTCATATCTTTGATTCTGGAAATAACCATGCTATGGGATGGTGTAATTTATGCTAGAAAACATTTCTGAGTGGGAAGTGGGGGGAATAGCTGGGAAATGAGGTCAGAATGGAATGAAGGGGTCTCAGCAAACCTGGGGAATCTTCCCCGAGTGTAGGGGGGTGGTGATGGAGGACAGAGCTTCTGCTTTTCTGGAGAACGTGTGTAGGTATGGAATTCTGTGGTTATCTGTTCCTAAACCCAACCCCTAAATGAAGTGCTACCAATCCTTACAAGTTACATTTGCTGCTAGAAATTTCACTCTAAGAAAATTTGTTTCAAGGGCTTTTTAAAAAATTAACTAATTAATTTCAAAAAGAAATTCTCAAATCTCCTGTTAAGTCAGTCCATTACTTGATTTATCCAGAACATGACAGTAGAAAAAAATGTCTTGAACTGAATCCACGGAGACAGGGGCTGTATTTCTAGGACTGCTTCTAGGTTGTTGTGGATTTAAAGTCATCTAATGTCATGCATCATCAGTTTCTTCCCAGAAAGACTGTTATTACAATATCTTTAGAGAACCTTCCAATGCCAAGTCTCTGTATGTATTCTCTTAATTCATAGATAGAATGAACATTTACTCCAGCTGAATGGGACCGGGAAAGACCCTGTCTCATTCATTAGCTCATTTAATCTTTATAAAAACCCAGGCAGAACTGTGAGCCCTAACTTAAAACAGAAGGCTGAAATTCAGAGAATTGGAATGACTTGCTCAGGGTTCCAGAGTAAGCAGCTGAACCAAGACTTGACATTGTTCGTGTCCAACATGGCGCCCCTTTCCACAACATTGTACGTCTCTTTCTTTTCAACTACTTCCATTTTCAGTCCAGTGAGCATAAGCCACTGCCCTGACACTGAGCACATACCCAGAATCTCCTTAACAGGGTGGGTTTTATAGGGCTATTGAGGCTCCCTCGGAGGTGAGAGCCAGCTGAACAGGACCAGACAAACCCCAATTATAAGGAAAGAAGGACAGTAAAACCAAGCTTCCTTACTGCCTCTTCAGCTGATCCATTGACTTTTTCTCTTCCTCAATTCTTGCCTTTACAGCCTTGACAATTGTGGCCTGGAAAAGTTCAGCCCCTCTAGAGAAAAATAGGAAGTAGAGAACAAATTAGTGTTTCTATCCTTGTTACTTACCTTCCCCTGAAAATGATTATCAAGGGTTAGAAAATATTTCTTTCTGGGCCATTGACTAGAGTCTCCTGGCTGGGAGTGGGAGTCCCAAGACCCCGTGTAGGAGCCCATTCTCAGTGGATGAAGAAGGCACAGCCTTTCCTGGGAGAGAGTGGGCTGCTCACAACCACAGGAGGTCATCAAAACAAACAAACAAACAAACAAACAAACAAAAAATGGTTTGTGTTTTCTAAGACATTAAAAAGGATACACCCCTTCAAACCTGTCCCACAGAACCTTACATCTCAGCAAAGTATTGTTCACCTGACCTTATTATAGTTGTCCCATGAGGGACCATTGTCAAGGAGGAGTGAGTTCGGATTAGTTTTCTACTCAGTGAGCAGAAAAGGATCTGGAGTGAGCTGGGCTTCCCTAAGGAAAAAATGCAAAATTGGAGATCAAGCTCCATCACTGAGATGTTCAGATTCCTGCCTCTGCTTTTTTTCCTCCTATCCTTCCATTCCCTTCTGTTTGTTCTCACTTTTCAAGCCAATTTTAGAGTCCCCATTGATCTATCTCATCAGCCTCTCTTAATATCTTCAAGTCTGGTCCATTGTCATCTGGTCATATGTGCTTGGTGAATCCCAAGTGGATAGGAGCCCAGTGGTGTGCCCACCCTGTGCTGGACTGTGGTCGGGGTGCAGAAAAGGCATGACCAACATGTTATCTGCTGACCCTTCGTAGGCTCTGGAAATTCTTCTCTGTACTATTTAAAACTCTTTACACTTTTCTCAAATCTAGAATTCTGTCAAAGGTTATTTTACTCCTAGTAAATAACCTCGTCTCCCACTTCCTGGAGAGAAAAAAGTCACGAGGCAACAGTTTGCTCAGCCACCTACCATCTATCCCGTGGACACCATTTCCTGCAGTGATGGTGGGAGAGGGGACATCCTCATCTAGGCTCTGGCCCCTCCCCTCTGCAGCCTGAGGGGCTCCATCCTGCCCTTTCTTCTTCTCTTTCTGCATTCTCAGCCTTCCCACTGCTACCAAATCCTCCTCCAAAGTATGCAAACATGCTCACATCTTGCTAATCTTAGGAAAAAAACAATAACATGTCCACTGCACAGTTTTCTATGTATAGCTTCCATCACTATCCCAGCACGAGTATCTCACAGCCACTGTCTCCAAGACTTTCCGTTTAACCTCAGCTCATTGGTGTTGGGCTCTGATCCCCCAACGAGTTGAGCTCACTGCCTTCAATGCTCAGTTTTCAGTCTTGTGTTTGTATGTCCTGTCTGCTGGACTTCCACCTTGAAGCAGCCTTCCTCAGGCTCCTAAGGCACCATGCTCTTCCAGCTTTCCTTCTTCCTTGCTGGCTCAGAGTTTCTAGTCTTCTCTGCCCATCTCTTAAAAGTGGATGCTCCCCGGGGTCCTCTGCTCATTCACACTTTCTCTCCAACCACTCACCTGCTCTAAATCTACCTGTGTCATGATGACACTCAAGTCTATTTCCACCTGCAGACCTGTCATCCCGGCCGTCCACTGGACTCACCACGGGTTTAGTTTCATGAGCCCACGGGCCCTACAACTCCCTGGTTGTGGTCAGTGTCCTCCAGCCTAGAACTTCTTGGTTTCTTTACATTTGGGATTGGCACCACCATTGGCTTCAACCAAAATCCTTTCCATAACACCTTCTACCCTCCTTTCCTCTCCACCCCCACCTCCTTTCCTTCCAATCAACTTTCCAGTTGTGCCAGTTTTACTCTTAAATGTCTTCCTAGTTTACCTCCTCCTGGTCTGAGCCACTGTCTTGGTCCTGGATCATTAGAGTAGTCACCTAACCTGTCCTGTGTCCTCCACAGTCCAGGCAGGGTGGGCTTCTGAAACATAGCTGTAACCTCATCATTCCCTGGCTTCTTCTTATCTGTGGGATTACTTCTAAAGTCATAAACATGGTTTATAAGGCCCCTGATAAGCAGACTGCTCCCTATCTCTCCAGCTAATTTGTCATCACTCGCTATCTTCACCTTCAAAATTCTGTGTTTAGCCACACTGAACTTCTCAGGGTTTCTTCATTAAAACTTCCCCTGGTAATTTCACTTGGGCTGTGTCCCCTGCCTCCCGCCTCTAATTCCTGTTCATCCCTCAGGCTGCAGCTTAGAACGGAAGGCTGCCTCGGTTCCTGCCCCTTGCAGGTGTTTATGTACCCTTGATATAATTCCCACAACTTCCTGAAGGTCCCCTACCATCACAGTAGTTACACAGCACGGTGACTGCTTGTTGATATGTCCCTCTTCCCACCAGCTTTCTGAGGGCAGGACCAAGCAGCCACCTTCTTGTTACACAGTAGGCAGAGAGCTTATCATTGAATGAATGAAGGTCTATTCTTTGGAAATTCTGTTTATTTTTAATACATGGCTTTTCTTTTTTTTTTAAGGATTTTATTTATTTATTTGACAGACAGAGATCACAATCAGGCAGAGAAGCAGGCGAGAAGGGGGAAGTGGGCTCCCTAAAGTGGGGTTCAATCCCAGGACCCTGAGATCACGACCAGAGGCTTAAACCACTGAGTCACCCAGGCGCCCCCAAGACATGGCTTTTCTTTTGCAGGCATGAATTGTGCTCTAAACCAAAGCTATTGGTTTCCATAATATGAGGAATATGTTTTCTAAATAACTGTGACAACTCCTAGGAAAGATGCTGGTTTACTATTATGTCCCGGATGTCGAAAGACCAAAAATGCTCAGAAGAAGGCAAAAAGACACATTTATCAGCACAAATACCAGCTGTTCTATGAGTTAATAAAATTACTATTAGGACAAGATAGCATGGACAAATCCCCAAAAAGAAAGAAAAAGAAATAAAAAAGGACAAGACACTGTGCTCTAATGAAACTGATGTCCTGTGTGTTAGAAAAACCATTATAATGGTAAATTCCTGGGTTATTTATTGTACGTAAAATGAAGTCATTGTTCATATGTATAGTGAGGGCCTAGGGTATCCCAAAACTCCTCAGATTAAATGTAGGTCCCCTACTGAAAATTCTTTCTACCGGCCTCCAAGTAAGTTAACAAAGGCCAGGAGTCGCGCCTCTATTAACTGACTTCTGCAATAAACATTTTGTTTATCCTGGCAGAGGAAAAGAAGAGTCTCTAGGAACACTGGCAGTATAAACAAAAGTGTGTTAGTCTAAACCACAAATCAAAATGATAGATTTTGGGGGATATTTCATATGATACAAGCTGATGTTTATCAGACTATTTAACACCACAGATCAGATGGGATCTAGTGAGGCCAGTGTTTCTGAGACAGGCAGAGCAGGCTAGGGTACTATAACCTGATCTCAATGGGCAGTTTCTTCCCAGTCTTTCCCCCGAAACCTATAAGATCAGAGCAAAATTGAAAAAGGGGTGGATAGAGATTAAGAAGAAGATGGTAGTAAGGGAATAGAACCAGTGGCCCAGAGAAAAAAATCAGATCATTGGGGAACAAAGATTGAAAGGATGGGAAGGATAAGAAAAGATAGATCAGGGAGTTTAGAATGAGCCTGGAGTATCACAGTCTTCAACCTGAGGTCTGAAAAATAATACATAATTGTGTTTTTCTCTATTTTCTGGAGTATCTTCTAAACACAGAGTCAGAGAAGAAGAGTGTGGACTAATCTCTAGACCAACATGGCCTGTGGTTACTGCTTTGGCTGAGGCCAGAATGACCTGCTTCTAGTGAGTGGTCTGTGCGCTGAGGGCTCTAGACGACCCATCTGTCTTTGACTTTCCATAGCGTCCCAGATCTTTGTAAGTGTAACTTGGTGCCAAAGACTTTCTTGTTTATTTTAGGTTTTAAAGGCCTTGTGCTAAACCTTTCTTGGACTGGTTTTCCTAGAAGGAATTTCTTAATTTCTTAGGAGTTCTCCAGGCAAGCTCAGGCAACAGCACTGCACAATGTTACTTCCAGACAGATTTTTTAAGAGAAACCACTCGATTCCATGGCCCAACCTACCTTGAGGCCAGGATCTGGGAAGCTTTTATATCAGCTACAACATGTAGGAAATAGTAACTCATGAAAACTCTTCTCTGCAGCAGAAGGAAGGCAAAACATATGCTGTCCCAAATAATTCCTGCTTCACCACTGGGTAGTTTGCATGAGGAATCATCATCAGCTGGGGTAAAAAAGTAGGAAAAAAAAATTAAAATTAACATCCATTTTCATTGTTATTTTATAATATCTGTGGTATGATCAGGCTTGGGGAATCCCACAGGCATAGGAGCAAATTCCTGATGCATGGGTGCATTTATTTATAAGCAAAGATACAGGTTTCAAATCCAATATCAACCTTGACTTATAAGAATGACCACAAATGACCTTGTGGCACAGGAGGGTCTCTTTGCCAGGGATGGTTCCTGAGTGCTTCTCTCAGTGGGAGAGAGCTCTCTTTCTTCCTGAACAAGGGCCATGGAGAAATAATGTCTGTATGTCCCAACACCAAAGGCAATGCTCTGATATAAACAAACAAACAAAAACAAAAAACAAAAATACCTCTTCTGGGAATGGCGATTCGGGCTAATCAGAAGTATAGTCTATTAGAAGAAAAGGTATCAACAGACATCTTATTCCTAAATCAGAACAAATTCCCAGTTACTCTTCATTGTGGGCAAAGCATAGCCTGGATTGGAAGCCACTGTGGGGAGAATGTCATGGTCAAGTTGCCCCCATTCTGGGCACCATGGAGGACCAAGCACAGTATTGTCCCAGGTTGTGGTGCAAGAGGCAGAGGAGGGAAATGGAACCTTCTGGAACTGCAGAGACCCTGAAGGTCCTCCCAGTTGTTTTTCTGAGTCTGAAGCTCCCCGAGCTTCCTGGGGAGAGAAGGACCTGAAAGCCAGAGGAACTCTGACAACCCAGGATTCCAGTGGCAACCACCACATGCCTATGGCCTTCTGTAACTCTTCCTAATGTAACTCGAAGAAGTTTGGGGAGTTATAATGGGCCACACATAGTCTCCAGACCAGCCCAGAGTCTGAGAAGTTTTCAGAGGATGATCAAAGTTGTCTGGAGTAGGAGCACTTCATTATGGACAATAGATTTGTAATGAACTACAGTCCTGTTGCCTCCATCTAGAGGTTGAATTTGCTGTCACTGTTTTCTCTTTATGTGCTTTGGCCCATTTTTAAAATTAGAACAATACAATCGTCCTTCCTTCTCTGTCCTTCCACTTTCAGATCTGCTTTGCATACTTACGCATTTTATAGCCTTTGACGGTACAGGCCAGGCTGAAGGCTTGGATCAACCAGCAACTATTTTGAACCAATTGTTCAATGTATCCACATGCCCCTATCTGAAAAACAAATGGGAGTGGCAAATTGTGAAACTCTGTGCCCAGAAAAGGAGGCTGATGCTTTGTGATCCTAGTCTGTGTAAGAATTCACAAAGTCTCCGTGCCAACAGATCTAGGAGGCACCTGTAGAACCTCAACTCTCAGTCACCATGGGATAGTGCATTTGATGCTTTGGGATCACCATGATTTCCTGGGGGAAAATAAACCCCATGAGTAAAGAGAGATCTTTAGTGTGATGATTTCAGCACTTAGAAGTACCCATCTTTTCATAGAGAAAATCATGGACTCCGGTAGGAACAAGCCAAACTCTGATATCAAATGGGTGAACAATGACACCCCCCCTCAGAACTTTGATTTCCGTACAGTTATTTTCTTACACAATTGGACAAATTAAACTTATGCTGTTTGCCAGGAGATCATCACAAACACTAGCTGTACAGCGTAGTTCTTAGAATAGGAAAAGAGCTTGCGTTTTGAGGCTCTTTTGGCCAATTCTCTGGGCAAAGGAATATTCTTCATTGATTGGCATGTCGTTGTCTCTCCCATAACAATGATTTATGTTAAGTTCACATGCTGAGGGGGAAGAAGTTTAAACAGACAACCATTGCAAGCTAATACATAAAGGTGATGGCTGAACTATGTGTATTTCCTGGGAACATGTGAGGTAGGAGGATATACTTGGAAGTTGCTCCCAAGTTAAAAGTTATTCAACCTGAGTTCCTGCACCCATTGGAACATGCTCTTCACATGACCATCTCTGCCCTACATGGCCATGCTTTTGTTTGGGTTCTCTATGTTAGGCATGTCCTCCTCTCTTTGTCTCTCTGAACACCCTTGAGTCTGGTTTTCAAGTCTCCGATCAGTTCAAATGGCATCACCTCCAGGAAGTCTATTCCCGGTTCATTCAGGCAAGGTATGAGGCACTCCTTTTTTTGTTTTGGTTTCCTAAAATGTTGTGATAATTAGCTTTTATGGACCACATTATAATTACTAATAAGCAGGCATGTCTTCCCCCTTAGAACATGAGTTCCTTAGGGTAAAACCTGCAGGCAATACTATATCTAGTTCTTGGAGACAAAAATAGTGCCTAGCAAGTCTACAATATAGGCTTACAGGATCAAAGAATGAATGAACGAATGGACTTTGTAGCCATACGTTTCCAGGATTGGTTATAGGAATCAGCCTCTGGCAACAGATCCCTCACCATCAGACTGGCCATTGAATGAAATGGTGTTCTGTTGTTCTCTCTGTCCAAGAACCTTCAATACTACCCTCAATATAAATAAATATTGGGGGGAGGGTAAAATTGCTGCATAAGAATCACTTTTACTATCAACTGATCTTAGACGGAATTTTAATGTCTTAGACAAAATAAATGACTCAAATACATATTCATGGTGACACAGACTTGGCTCTTGAGGACCTCTAAACACAGAAATACCCGTGCCAAAAGAAAGAAAAAATAAATGCCTCCATGGTAGACTTGCTAGGTGAGCTCATCTTTCAGTAACCAGGAAGGTGAGAAGCAGGAAGCTATTAGCTCAGTAATGCACTCTCAGTACCCGGGAGCAGCAGGTCCAAGGATTAACTTTGACTTAGAGCCAGCGAGAGATGTATGAACTCCTTCAGCTCATGAAAGGTTATTGTTTAATTTCCCGAAACAGTAAATAACTTAGAAGGTGTCTCTAGAGTCCAAAGGATTTTATGCAATCCTGGGATGACTAGTGGGCCATGTGAGTTACCTGCTAGGTCAGGGGGGAACATGGTGCCCCAGGACTTGGCTATTTAATAGCAGAGCAACTAAATTTTGTAGAGGAAGGACACGTGTTTTACCCTTACCCTTTACTGGCTTATACTTTCATAATTCTTTCCAGGTAAGCCAACATATCAGTTTGAAAGAGATTCAATGACTTATTCAGCTCATAAATGGGCCAGTTGGTAGCACAAAGTGTGAATGGTGACAGATGATCCCTCAGAAGAGATGGGATGTTGACTTGCAAATACATTTTAGAATGTATTCCTACAACTCCCCGTCCTCCTGTCATGTGACTTTGAGATGGCGGAAGTGAGCAAACGGGACTCTGCTTAATGTGGCAGCACAAGAGTAATAATGGTTCTCTGAATCCTGACTTTGCATCATCTTACTTGGGGCTTTTAAGAGAGGAGTGTGACCGGCAAGTGGGCTTTTAATAACCACTGAGTGGGCTGTTTACTCTTGTGCTAAAACCGCAAATGTGTTACGCATTGGGAGGTACTTACTGACAGTATGTTTTTCATTGTAATCACGAACACATTGTAGGCAATCAGCCAGTCCCAATAGCGCAGGATACTCTTGATGGGTTTCAGCAGCAGATCGCCCCCAAAGAGCAGGAAATAGAAACAGGCCACCAAGTAACCCATGCAGAAGATGCTGATCCTGGTTGTCCCCGTGATGAAGATGATGGTGAGGACAAACCAGAAGAGGTAGCTGAAGATGATCACCTTGGACATGTCTAAGTAAGATCTGGAAACAAAACCGAACCATCAGAGGACAACACTCATAACCAGACAGACAAAAAATTAAGGCAGGAGATTCCACGGTAAGGAGGGAAAGAGTTTGTACTGTCCATTTGACTCAATATGGAAGCGCTTTCCAGTCATATTGTGAGTTTTGTACTCATCTTTCACTTAACACTGCCTCGTCTATAGGAAATCCGCACCCAGTTGGTAAGAGACGAATAAGTAAGTGGTGAAAACACTTATTAGTGTCTTATTTGGGCCAGATTTCCCACACACAGCAGCATCTTCTGCCTACTACTAGAGTACTCAAAATTCCTCGCTGTCTTCTCATAGGAAGCACGAACAATGGTATGGCGGGGGAAGTCTAAGATACAGATAGATGTCTTCCCGAGAGAGAACAGAATGAACTAGAAACTGACAGATAAAACAATCTGTGTTACATCGAAGGCCTTACTGGAGATGGAAATCCCTCGTTGACGATGAGAACCCATTCTCACAAAGCACACACAGCCACGGTGGGACTTGGAGGCTTTAATCTAACACTCTTGTCTTTGGATGGCCCTGGGGTGAAGTCAAGATGCCTTTTTTGGGGGGAGTGATGTCTCCCTATGACGTTCGTGATGAGAGGTGAGGGAGAACTGAGGTCAGTCACTATGCAACAAGTAGCAGCTTCTGGGAGCTTCTGAGCATGGGTCACTGACAGCCAAGTGTAGTGGTACCTACAAGCCAAGACCCATCTGTGTTGGCTTAATTACATGTTTATCTTGGAGATTTTCTTTGGTTGTTTCTCCTCACAGGTAAGGAGAGAAGCAGAGCAGAACCAACTGTGGGTCAGTTATTTGATAATGACTTGTTATTTTATAAGAGTTAATAAGCAACATTTTGATACAAAATAAATTACACTGCTCAGCCTCATTACGGAAAGCTGTTCCTAAAAGGTACATTGTCGGGTAAGCAAGCTTTTTTGAACTTTACTCTTTAGGGAGTAAAATATTCAATCCCTTAAAATGCTTTCATGAAATTTCCCTCTCAAATTTATTTCACCTTTCTTTGATATCATAGTTGAAGGAGAATGAATACAATGTCAGGATTTTTCAGCATCCCAGGAACATCGCTGGTGAAATCAGTGATCATTTGAGATGTAATATCGGGATGCCCACAGGGCCGCCTTCTTCTTTTCTTCTTCCTTTTTTTTTTTTTTTAAGATTTTATTTATTTATTTGACACAGAGAGACACAGCGAGAGAGGGAACAAAAGCAGGGGGAGTGGGAGAGGGAGAAGCAGACTTCCCGCTTAGCAGGGAGCCCGATGCAGAGCTCGATTCCAGCACCCTGGGATCATGACCTGAGCCAAAGGCAGATGCTTAACGACTGACCCACCCAGTCACCCCCCCACCAACAGCTTTCTGATGTGTGTGTGTGTCTGTGTGTGTGTGTGTGTGTGTGTGTGCATGCGTGCACACTTTGGAGGCAGCAGACTCGGCCTGCTGGCATTTTGTGAATGTGTGTGTAGAAACGTGTGTGTTAGTACAACACGTGCTTTCTGTGGATTTCCCTTCCTTGCCCACAGCTGGCTATTCCTACTCCTGGCGCCCCAGCCTCAGGAATCACTTGAGCCGCTTCAGGCTCAGAAATCACAAGATCAAGCTTGAAAGTCACATGAAAAACAGCAATCAAGGGGCCCTGGAGAGGAGCCCCTGCGCACATTGAATGTGTCCTGGGGACATGGAGTGAGGAAGAGCTGCCTTCAAGAGCTGTAGAAGAGCGCCAACCCACAGAGAGGGCGCGTGGGATGCCGCGCCTCCCACGGCAAAGTGGTCACTTGCTTCCCACTCACAGTCGTGTTGTGTGACAGGTTACTGCCTGAAACGCACTTTTGTGGCAGTCCTCATTGAGACACGGAGCTAAAACCTTGAAATAATTCGAGTTTTCAAAGACACCGCTCTAAAAATCAGGGGTACACTGTTTTCGAGTTTCGGGCTTTTCATAAATACAGTACACAGTTGCATACTTGTCTTTCTCCAACTTTGCACACTGATGTGATAAAATAATTCATTTTGTTCTAGATTTCCTGTCGCTGTGAATTGTTCAAAGTATGTCTGATTCACGGTAAAGTGTAAACATATGTTGTGAACGATTTCTTGGGGATTTTACTGTCTTGCCTTCAGATAAATACTTTTTTGGGCATGGGCAGCTCAGTTGGTTAAGTGTCTGCTTTTGGCTCAGGGTGTGATCCCGCAGTCCTGAAATCAAGTTCTACATGACGCTCCCTGCTCAGTGAGGAGTCTGCTTCTCCATCTGCTCTCCTGACCATGTTCTCGCTCTCAAAGAAATAAATAAAATCTTAAAGGAAAAAAACCCCTAATCTTCCTCCCTTTATGATAGGGAAAAAGATCAGCTGCACTGATATTTTCTCTTAGTATTATAGAGAAGAGATAAAAAGTGAAAGTCTTACATTATATTATTGTTTAGTGTGCCTTAACCCTAAAAGAATGTTTAGTTCTACATAGCTTATCATTTTATTTCTTGTTTTATTTTTAATTTTCATTTTTTTTAAGATTTTACTTATTTGACAGAGAGAGAGAGAGAGAGAGAGAGAGAGAAAGCACAAGCAGGGGGAAGGGCAGAAGCAGAGGGAGAAGCAGACTCCCCACTGGGCATGGAGCCTGATGTGGGGCTCGATCCTAGGACCCTGAGATGAGGGCCTGAGCCAAGGGCAGATGCTTACACAACTGAGCCACACAGGCACCCCTAACTTACCATTTTATCAATTTTTTATTTTTTAAAGATTTTATTATTTGTCTGAGAGAGAAAGTAAGTGATGGAGAGAGAGAAGCAGATACCCCACTGAGCGGGGAGACAGACACAGGGCTTGGTCCCTAGACTCTGGGATCATGACCTGAGTGGAAGGTAGGTACTTAACTGACTGAGACACCCAGGCACCCCACCTCACTTATCGTTTTAAAGAAAATTCACTTATTGGTTTGTTCCATACATGCTGAGCTCTTAGGTCACTGAGAGGCACAGAAGGGCCTCGGCACCCAGGTTTTGGAGCTAGGTCGGTTGGGTTCAAATCCTTGCTCAGCTTCCTCACCTGCAAAATGGTGATAATGATAGCTCATAGGTGATCATTTGGGTAAGAGGGCTTCATCTATGTAAAGCACTTGGAACGGAGGGTGGCACACAGCAACTGTCCAATAACTGTCACTACTAACAGGACCCTATGTGTTGTAGGCCAACAACCATTGGCAAGGATGGGGGACAGGCATGCGCACAAAAGTAAGGTAGAAATGAACTTTGCCCTAAGCTGTCTATATTTCATGGCAGGGTAGGGGGAAGTGGGGGGATCAAGTTCTTCAAATAACAATCCCCTGCAAACACGATACTCTGGGACTCAGAAGCCGGGGAGCAAATCTCAGGTGAGGAGAGACACATTGGCTGGCTCAGGACTGATCTCCATGCTGCACACTGTCACGCAGCTTCTCCCAGGTGGGACTGTGGACCTGGAGGGTAGATGCTAACTTGTGAGGATCAGGGAGTCTGGAGGTGCAGGGCTGGTGAGGAGACACAAACAATCCCACCAGCCCTTCTGACCCCGACCGCAGGGGACAGAGCTGGATTGTGATTGCTAACGGTGGAGGCGGGGGTGTCGGCCATGACTGAGGAGCAGGTGAGAAAAAGCACGAAGACTTGGGAACCCAGAGAACACAGAAGGAACACAGAGTGAGAAATTCAGTCAGGTTTCAACACAAACTCTGCTGAGGGGACAATCGGGCTGCCAAGGTAAGCTGCCACCAGACTGCAGAGGAAAGAAGAGGATGGAGAAGTTGCTGCAAGGGGAACCAGCATACCTGAGGGGACAGCACACAAAGGGAGTGACAGCAGGGGACAGGCTGTGGTTCCCAGGCCGCCACAGTGCCCACTGAATATGGAGGACCAGGAGGAGGACAGGGGAAGGGAAAGAGGGCGAGGAATGGGGATCAGGATGGACAGAGATGAGGAGGTGGAGGAACAGAAGATAAAGATGGAGGGGTCTCTGCTGGGGCACCAAGAGGCAGAATCACATTTGTGAGGGAAGAAGTGGAGGGAAACTGAGAGCAAATGTGTGGTCCATGATGAGAAAGGCAGAACCAGATCTGTAATTCAAAGTCTCAGTCGCTTGACCACCAAACCCTCTGTCTGCCAGTTTCCAAAAAATGGTGGAGAGAGAACCAGAAGTGGAGCTAATGTCCTCCGGGTGACCTGTGCACACAAAGCGGCTTTGGCCCCATGCAGCCACGCTCACCTGCAGTGGATGAAATCCGGCACCGGGTTATGCTGGCTGAAGGAGGCCGCGTCCAGGTTCATGCAGATCTCCACGTTGTCCCCTGCCATGATGCGCACCGCAGCCTTGTTTTCATCCTCGAAAATCTGCCTTTGCAAGGAGGCACACAGGAGCAGCATGAAGTCATCTGGCAGGACAGAGAGATCATGGAGTCACCTTCTTCTCTTCTGGGTTTCCATGATGCAGCAAACAGCCCCCACAAGGGAGGAGCCACTCCCTCCCCAGCTCCTCAGTGCATCACATTCCCAAAGTTCCCAACATACAGTTCTCCCTGGATTCCAATCTAGGGGCCAAATCCCACCTTGCCCGCCATGGAAGATGTAAGGTGTGGGGGAGCACAGATGGGGGGAGCACAAGTATTAGGTGATAATTCCTAGCCTCGTGACTTTCTTATGGGATAATGTTTATTTGCATTTATCTCCCACCAAAATTTTGAGGAAGCCAGTTGAATGTACTTCCCCATCTTTATCTTCTTCCTTGTGGTAGAGCCAGGAACTTGTGGCTTTCTTCATCCTCTCCATCCCCCATTGTATTTGTAACCGGACACTTCCCAGAGTGGGTGGGGCAGTGAAGGCAAGGAGTGGAGGTGAAGATCATGGCCGGTTATGGGCAGGCAGCCTCCCATACATTAAACCTGAGTGTATGGAGGCAGCATGGTCCCTCTGGAGGTGACCTTCTTGTCTTAGGTGCAACTGCTTTAACCTTGGGATCATCAGCTGCCCTTGGAAGGGCCAGGGGCTACAGCCTCATGCTCGAACGTCTGCATCGTGGGTAGCACATTCCTAGCTTCCACAGTCTTAGCATTAGCTTTGGTCTGTCCGCAGTGGCAGCGTGAAAGATCTACTTTGCAAAAAACGGGGCCTCCCTCCACAGTTTACCTTCTAGAAGGTGGATAAGTAGAGGTGTGTGTGTGTATGTGTGTGTGTGTTGGGGGGGCAGTTGGAGAGTGTGTGTGTGTGTGTGTGTGTGTGTGTGTGTTGAGAGATAACATTATGGAAGTAGAGATGGTATTTCCAATGTTTACTCATTAATTTTGCAAATGGAATAGGGCCAGTAGAAGCCATTAAGGACTTGTGATATTAATGCATCAAGACAAGCTTTTTCATGATCACCAAGTATACTGGAGGAAGCAAGGGCACTAAAACAGAGCCCACAAAGAAGGAGCAGCAAAGAGGAAACCAAACCCCAGCGCTCTGCGGCCCTGTGACTCCAACACTTACAGACAAGAAACACGGGGTTGGGCCGCACGATGAAGTCTGGGAAGTACAGCCACTTTATGATGTTGTCGTTGAAGCTAGCCCCCTTGAACCTCCACGGGTAATCTGCAGGGACGGAAGTGGCAAAGAGAGAAATCAATACGCTTCTTCCCTGCCCTCGTCCCAACTGTCCATGGCACAAGGGCTGATCACTAGAGCGGCCAGCTCCTGGGAGGGGCCCACGCACCTCTGCAAGGGGCTGCAGGGATGCCGATGCAGATGAAGTACTGGAAGGTGATGATGCAGGCCAGGAAGCAACAGTACTTGGGCCAGATCTCCGCAATGGCCTTTCTTCTGCGCCGGTACAAGACAGCGATCAGCCAGCAGGCGTGAATCATGGCATAGAAATCCATTCGCTGGCCAATTACGTTAACTGACATTAGGAAACAGGTCTGTGTAAGGATGAAAAGAGGCAAAGAAAAAATCGGGTTTACAGGGAAGGGGAGTGGTGTCACCTGTTAGCCCTGTGTAGGTGGCTCAGAGACCTGCACTGCTGAAGAGTGGGGGCGGGGGGGTCTGTCTGTGCATGTTCACCAGGTCTTGCCTCGGTGGGGTGTCTTACAGCATGAAGACTGAAATCTTCTATAAGTTACTTCCAAGGTCATTACTGTGAATAAGAACCTCTTCAAATTGTGGAGAGAATATAGCTACGATCTCTTCATGAAGCCTCACTATTCCAAATTCTTTCTATAAAGAGGCAGGCAGTGCCACAACCATTTCAGGTCAAACCAGTTCATTTTGGCACAAGTTAAACTCTCAGAATGCACAAAACACAGAAAAGATTTGTAATACGTTAAAGAAGACAGTGAGAATTACCAAATGATATCCACGCATGTACAAGGCTACAGAGACCTAGAGAGGCCAAGTTCACTGGGGCAGAGTAGGGAGCACTGGCCTTGGTCTTAGAAAACTTCCAACAAGGCCAGGTGAACCCTTCAGTAGAATGTCCTCTTGCTGGAATTGTGGGGGGGAACAGTCATCACATCACGGAGATGGACCAGTAAGCTCTAGTGGCCTACTGGCCTAAAAACAGCAACGGGGATTTTCATAGAAAAAAGAAAACAAAAACAAAAACAAAAAACAACCCACGTCAGCAAGGAAACTCACCTCCAAACCAAACTTGTAGAAGAAGTAATTTATGAAATATTTGGCACAATTAATAAGTCCATCATCTAGATGGAGTCTTGTAATGTCATGAAAGATGGTTTTAGACACAGGGGCTGTGAGGTTGTTTCGACCTCGATAGTATTCCTGATGGCGGTAAATTGTAACCTCAAAGGCCAGAATGGCCAGCATCAGGAGATGATTCTACAAAGCAAGAAAACACAGTCGTGAAGCCAAACGCTTTAGCTCGGTCACTTTAAGCAACCCCCATAGTCAATCCTTTTTTTCTCTATTTTTGGTGTCTAAAAAAACAATGCTTATAAAATCCCACCTCTACAGAAATATTGCATTCAATGTTCATTTTCCCTATGGCATAGTAACAAGGTGGAGAAACTTGCATTGTGCCAATCAGGATAATTTCTGGGATGCTGGGATCTAGAATCTCTAGAAAGAAGGCCGGTGATGTTCATTCCTGTTTCCGGGAAAGTACACTAGCCACAGGAAGATGCAGGGACCAGCTGCCTTGGGAAGGTGATCCAACCTTACTTGCAACTCAAAGTGCAAAAGGGTACAGGGCCATCTGGGAAACCGACGAAGCTGTAGGGGAAATCTTTCAACACATCAGAAATCTGGCTAGAGAGAGCCAGGGACTGACAAGCATGCTGCTGACCATAACGTAATCATCATAATAATGAAAATAGTTCATGTTGATGGCACCCCATGGGCCTTACACCATTCTGATTGCTCTTTTCAAATATCAGTTGGTTTTATCCTTATAACCGTTCTTGATGGTGGGCGGCATTTATCTGGCTGCAACTGATGTGTGACATATGAGGAAAAAAATGAGAAAGCGACCCACAAAAAAATGGGATGTTTAATACTTTGAAAAATTCTGGTGTTGAGTAAAAATGCTTTATTTCTAAGGGTTTCTGTTGGTGTGGTGTGAAGACCACTTAGATTATCCATCAGAGTAAAACGGGAACGGTCTGAAGTATGTCGCTCTCGTTATGTTTGTTTTGACTATTTGCAAAGTTTCTTTTCAAAGACAGGTTGTTAAAATCTGTATTACCTCTAATGATAACTAGCTGGAATTCAATTGAAAACCTGAAGAAAAAAAATGTATTACTTTTCAACATAATATAGTTCCTTTATTCAGCATTGTGGAGAAACAATTTAGATAGCAAACATTTCTCCTAATGCTCTACCTGTTTCTAAGGAATAATCACTGTAGACAGTTTGGTATATTTTACTCAATATTTTTCTCTGCATCTAGAAGAAAGCACGCCATGCAGGGTGTACTGAAATTTGTCCTTTCTTTTAAAAAAAAGTTAATATATTTTGGACGTCTTTCAACATCTCACATTATCAATCCACCTCAATCTTTTAGTGGTTATATAATATCCTAGTGAATATATTTGTCAGACTTTATTCAATTAATCCCAAACTCCTCGATCAATTTCTTTTCAGCACAATGGGACACTGACGGTAATGTCTAATCATTCGTTTTTGACTCCAAATGTCACATAAAAATGCAAGGTTATGATCAGTTGTGATATCAGAGTTCTCAAGGCAAAGGAGGTCAGGTGTTAACTGTGCAGAGGCTCAGGTGAGTACAAAGGAGGCCTTACCCTCAGGTAGACAAGCAGAGGGGAAGACTTCCTCAGGCCCACCCATTCTGTTGGGTCAATAGGAGCGCTGTAGAGCTGAGACTTGTTCAGCTGGTGGATGGGTATATTTGTCTGGTTTTCATTTGGCTGAAAAGAAGAGAATGAAGAGTTAAAAAGAAATGGTTGCCCAGATTGGAAGAGTTCAGATTTTTCTCCTCAACCTTTGCACAAATGGACACAGTGGGACTGGGAGGGAAAGCTCCACTTCAGAGGGGAAGAGGACTAGGGCCAGGATATATCCAACATGGCAGAGGTGACTGAGGGGCTGGTCAGAATGTGCTTGAGGGTGAGGGTTCCCCAATATCTGTGTCACTTCCCTAAAGACCAGTCAAGAAAATTCCCCTATCTTCAAGGCTCACCAAGGAACAGTTGACAGAAAAGTTCTCGGGCTTAATGGTTTGCAGCTGGTACAACATTTTGCAAACGATGATCACACACGTCCAGACAGTGCAGACACTCGAAGCGAGACGGCGCAGCTTGGCGTATGGCAGAGCAAAAGCCCAAGAAATCAAGAATACATAGTTGAACAGAGACACCTGAAAACATAAAAATCAGAAATGGGGATAAAAAATACATAACACGATACAACAGCCATGAAATGTGGCAACTCGATTTAATCAGTTCGGCAAAGTCTGATTGAGTTCCCGGCATGTATGAGGCATTGCCCTATGTGTGTGTGTGTGTGTGTGTGTGTGGTCTTATACGGTGGAAAGATACATAACCAGGTAATGTAAATATAACGTAGCAGAGGGTCAGTGATAGATGGAACAGGTTCCTGTGAGAAGACCCAGAAGGGCTCCTTGGCCCCATATGGAGCTTCCAGAACATTTTCTGGAAGGGATACTACCTGAGCTGGGCCTTGAAAGATGCAGAAAGCTAGCCAGGACAAGAAGGTGAGAAGTGTATTCCAGGTAAAGGACGTATAGGTATAGGTACAGGCAGGAAAGCATGACGGAGCACGGAAGGGACAGGTGACCACAAACAACGGGAAATTCTGGAGTTACATGGATGAATGGCAGCACTAAAGGAGGCTGGAGATTCAGCTGGGAGCCACACTTTATGGACCTTTTTGAAATCATGCTGTGGCCTTGGAACCCTCTGCGTGGAAAATAGAGAGTTAAAACTTCCCAGCAAAAATCTTAAGGAAGGATTTTCATTTTGTTGAAATAAGTAGAACTAAAGAATGGAGATGCATCCATGGGGGTTCAGTGAGAGGTTGGACACCCGGTCATGGCTGCTGCCAGGAGAACCTGACCAGGGCCCAGCTAGGGCCACGGAGCAGAAATGGGAAGGAGTCACGGATTTGAGATGAGAAATAAAACTAGATGGAGCCGTTGACTGGTTGGTTGGATGGTGGTGGTGGCTGGGGTACAGAAGGGGGTGCAAAGAACGCCTCCCAGGTTTCTGACTTGGGAGCCAGAGCCCTGAGACAATGACAGTAACCCTACTGACACAGGATCTTGGTGGGGGTGGGGAGCAGGTATAAAGAGGGAAGTCTGTGACTACAACTTGGTTTTAGACTCTGTGTGTGTTTATCGATCGGGGAAATGTCCAATCATTTCCAGTGGATCTTCACAGCCAACAGTTCATGGAACAATATAGAAGCAGACCCTTCTTACTCATCCACGGAAAACACTCATGGGATTCAAATAATGATTAATATAAGATCCGGATATTGTTAAGATAATGTCTTAAGAGCATTTCATATTATCAGCATGAATTAATTAACATTAATAGCACACAGTCAGTTGATAAAATTCCACATGTTGCCAGGGCTATGCACTGTGGGCTATAAAAAGTATGGTCACCTGATTGGCTGGCAAAACTACACAACAAGAAAGGAGGAGTCTCCAGGATAGTATTTAATTCTGTAATTTAGAAGCCACTACTTTTCTACTTAACTACTCATCACTGTCCAGGCAGGAACCTCTCTGGGAATGAAGCCCTGAGGTATTAGGGTAATAAGAACTGCATTTAAGAATTAATTAAGGAGGAAAGAAATACCACCTTGTGAACTCTACCACATTCACAAACACAATAAATGTTACCTTTGAACACAGTATTTTGATTGGCTAAATGACTCTTCCTTAGTCATTGGCTAAAGTCATGTTAACTGGGATATTAAAACACATTTCTTTTCTCTTCAATGAATTCTGTAAGCCTATTAAAGCTACTATGAAATTAAGTGTCTTGTTATTCCTTTTAGTATGCATTGAAGGCACTGGGCATAAAAATAGCACAATGAAGTCACATAGAACTCTTTATCTTTTGAGTGTTAGAGAAAGATATATTTTAAGAAGTCCTAACTAGGTCCAAGGTAGCATATCCTGTGTGGATCTCTGGCCTCAAGAAACACATGGGTAGTGCCAGGGAGAACTGTGTAGACAGCTTGTGACAATAGGGTGGAGGGACAGTGTCTGCCTGGGCTGAGACCAGCTGTATGGGAGCATGGGGTTGATCAGCTGGTCCAGGGTTAGGGAAGAATACCCAATGGGCTTTTGATCTAAACTAAGGCTGGAGGGACAAATAGTAGATATCCAGACAAGGGAATTGCAGGTGTGAGACCTTTTAACAAGGGAGAACATGGGATGGATATCCTTGGAGTAACAAGTGGCTTACCATGAGAGTAGTGTGATCAGGGTCCCTTCAGAGGGCTGCTTTGGAATCCACCTAGGCTAGGGTGTCTAGGAAAGAAAGTGGCGAAGGGGTCCAGCTCTGGATTGTGAGGGTCCTGTAGCTCATGCCTGTGAGGACCGGAGAGCTGTTCAAAGTTTTTGAGTCGAGGATTAACGTGATTATATCTATGCAGTGGAAAGACTCTTCTGGCTGGCTGATGGAATCCATATAGGTAGGAGAAGAGATTGGGGCAGTGTTGGGCATCTGGTAGAGTGATCTAAAAGAGAAATGTGTGGAGGTAGGCAGTTCAGTTTTAGAGATATTGAAGGTGTTTTGGGGAATTCAAGGATGAGGTCATGCCCAGCTGTCACTTGGAGATGTGAGCCTGGAGTTCAAAGACCAGATGGGATGAAGACATAGATTTACAATTCTTGCATGTAGATAGTGAATGAATCACAGGCACCCATGAGACCACCCACAGAGTGTCTAGAATCAGAAAAGGGACTGCAGTTAGAATGTAGAGAAGAGAGGAGTTGGTAGGAAGAGAAAGTGCCCATGAATGAGGCAGACGGGAGGGGCCAGGGAAGTGTGCTGTTTTGGAAGACCACAGAAGCTCTTCGAGGACAAGGAAATTATTGTCAACCTCAAATGTCATAGAGAATCAAGTAAAAGGAGGCCTAAATAGCATCCGTGAGGTGGGAAAACACAGACTTGGAGAAGCACCATACTTCATCCAACATAAACATGGTTGATGGTGGACTTATCCTTTCCCTGATGGTGGGAGTCTCGTGGAATGTACTTAAAAAACTTACAAAAGGCAAATATCTGGGCCCCAGCCAATATCTGATGAATCAGAATTTCTAGGGAACTAGTTGGTCATCCATGCAGCTAACACGTGTCCAGGTGATTCTTATTATCAAGAAATTTGGGGAAGTAATTTTATGCCATATGCTTTCCTCACAAAACACTTTTCCATAAATTGTCACTTTCTCTGAATATAAACTTGTAAGGTTTGAGACCATCGCCTTGAGAGAGGAGCCCCTGAGAACTGTGGTCCCCACTGTGTGTTGGCCCAGCGGGCCTCCTCCCTCAGAGCACCCGCAGCCTCAGAGCCTGCTTCCACAGTACGAACATGCATGACACGCCCCTGTCTTGCACCCACAACCCTCCTGGGGATGTCTCTAATGTGACTTTGGTTTCTTGTACCAGCCATGACCATCAGACCGTGAGCCAAGGCAAGAAATGTGGCTTCCATGCCTTTGTGTTAAATTTAGCACAGTATAAGCATTCAATTTATTGTAATTTAAGTTTAAGTGCATGATTAAGCTAAATGAATGATTAGTGAGACTGAAGATAATAACAAAACATCAACTGGCATGTAGGGTAAATCTCAAGCTTGCAAAGATATTTTATTTCTTTCCTTCAGCCAGTAAACCGTTACTGAGCTGACACAGTTGACCAGGTCCCATAGGAGCTGCTCAGGATACTAGAAAAAGGTGCGATCCCTTCCTCAAAGAGTAACCCAGTCTCTCAGAGCTTTCTTGAAATTAGAAACATAGTTGCATATAAAAAAGAGGACAGTGTTTTTTATATATATATATATATATTTTTTATATATACCATAAATAATTATATATAACATATATAACATAAATTACTATATATAAATAAATATATATTATAAAAGTATAAGTAAATATTATAAGTAAAAATTACTATATGTAATAAATAAATATTATAAATAAATAAAATTACTATATATTATAAATAAACATATATTATAAATAAATATATAATAAATTTATTAAACATAAATAAATTACCATATATATTATAAATAAACATATACACACATATATGCATATGTATCCACTATATATATGTGTATATATATATATATATTTAAAATCTAGGTCCTTCTAAAGTGGTGTCCCTCTGGTAAGAGATACTGATGTAAAAGAAAGGCCTCTGTACTAAATTCCTTCTCATGGTCTCTTCTTCCTCAGATGCCCATGAAGATAACCTTATAAAGGTTTAATGTTTGACCCCACAATGACCTGAGAAATGACTCTGAAAGTTCGTGAAAACAAGCAGCCTGCTGATGACCTTAAATAAGGATGAGGATTTCACTGGGTTTGTTGACTTTGTTCTCATTTTGCCATTTACTGATAGCAATTTTTGAGAAAGGCTATCTTTTTTACCAACCAAAATTAATAAGCTATGAATGGAAACTATATGGAACAAATGGCATCAGTGACAGGCTTCTTTGGTTGAGGATGAGCCAAGCCTTCAAAGCAGAAGAGGTCCCTGAAGGTATAAATCAGCACTTTAGAGGTGCACAGTGTTGGGGCTGCTGGTCACAGGTGAACACTGCCCCTGGAATTGTGTGGCCTAGCTTCCTTCCTGCCTGCATCCAATGTGAAATCCTAGACACTTGTGTTTGTTATCAGCCGATAAGATTCAGACATTTCATAGCCTGGGTTTGGAACATGGCTCCTTTACAGGAATCAGTGGCCTTCTTCCCCAACTGTACCCATAAATAGAGAAAGGGTTCAAATGAAGCCTTGTGAGGAGCCAAGTTAGAACCAATGGAGCCAAAACATTCTGAAATGAGGTGTTAAGCCAGCCAGGTAGAAATTTCAAATCAAAATAGTTGATGGGAAACCATTTAGAGGTCTTTTCCAAGCTCTCTGGGAGGGTACAAATGGGTCAAGATGGCGAAGGTGACAGGAGGGAGTGTGAAGAAATTTCTTCATAGGAGGTGCTTCTACCAGTGCTTGCCCACCACCCTCCCCACCAGACAATGGGGTAGGGAGGAAGGGATGCTATATTCTCTCCCCAAACCCCAGGCAAGGAGCTTTAAGAAGCATCAGACAGAGATGCTAATTTGTGTATTAGGGAGTCTGGACACCAATGTCCAACTTCGCCCAGAAAGCCCAGCTGGCACAAACTGGGTGACCAGGACAGGAGTTGTCTCATTGCGAGACACATACACTAACAGAGCACAGACTGTGTGAGTGCGTCCCTTAGACCTGAAGGGGGAAGAGAGAGCACCAGAGCCATCCTAAGTCCTGCTCCAGGGATGTTCCTTCGTGGGGGATGAGACTCCAACAGAAAGGGTCAGGAGGAGCAGATGCTGGGAAACCAGGGGCTAGTGGAGGCCCACGAGAGAAAGGGGAGATTTAATCAGCTCCGGGTCAGTGTGAGGCCATCCTAAGACAGCACACCGCCATTCCCACCTGAGGCTGTGGTCCAGCATGGGAGACCTTGTAATAGCCTTTAGTTCACTGGAAGGAGGGGCAGGGAGGGAGGTAGTGAAGGAGGAGTGTGTGAGAAAGAAAGAAGCTGCTAGAAGAGGTAAGAGATATCTCCACATCTCCACATGGTAAGAGAATGAGTGTTGTGTTGGCGAGGATGCAGAGAAAGGGGAGCCCTCTTGCACTGCTGGTGGGAATGTAAATGGCTGTAGCCACTGTGGAAAACAATGTGGAGGTTCCTCACAAAGTTAAAAATAGGTCATCTACCCTAGGATCTGGCAATTGCACTGTGAGGTATTTCCCCAAAGAATACAAGAACATGAATTCAGAGGGATATGTTCACCCTGATGTTTGTTGCAACGTTATTTACAATGGCCTAATTATAGAAACAGACCAAGTCCCCAGTGACTAATGAATGGATAAAGAAGATGTGGTATTGGAGTATTACTCAGCCATAAGAAAATAAAATCTTGCCACTGGCAACAATGTGGTTGGAGATAGAACCACTAAGCAAAGTGAGTCAGTCAGAGAAAGACAAATACCATGCGATTTCACTCATCTGTGGAATTTAAGCAACAAAACAAATAACCAAAGGGAGGAAAAAGAGAGAGAGAGAGAGAGAGACAAAGCAAGAAACAAACTCTTAACTGTAGAGAACACGTGGGGGATGGGTAAAGTAGGTGTGGGATGTAAGGAGGGCACTTGTGATGAGCACATGGGTGATGTATGGAAGTGCTGAATCACGGTATTGTACACCTGAAACTAATATCACACAATGTGTTAGCTAACTGGAATTTAAATAAAAACTTAACAAAATAGAAAAACTTCCATCTTCTTGAGAAAAAAAAAATCAGAGTTTGGTTCTTTTCTGTGACCAGACAAGTCTAATTAATGAGGTGAGATTCTGTTTGCTCTCTGAGGTAACTATAGGACTTTCTATGGGCTGGAAATGATCAGAAAGTTTTGTGTTCAGGGACATGGAGAAAACTTTCTCTGTCAAATACATTTTAAAGGGAATGTAGAGGTCTGAAATGAAGTAATTTTTATGATGACACCCCACATGTTCTGATTGCTTGATACTGCAGTGACATTAGTAAGAACTGGCCATGAAGGGAAGCCCAGAGACCAAAGTCAGTGCACAGGAGAGACTTCATGATGTCCAAGGATCAGGCAGACACTCACCCTTTGGAGCCAGAGAGCCCTCCCGTGGGTGGGATAACAAGATGTGAAACTAGGGTGACACGTTTTGGGCTTAGCCTTCTCACAAAGGGCTTCTGGCAGACGTTAGCAGCAATGGAGGCAGTATTTCTCTGAGGCATGAGTGCCTGATGTGTTTTAAAGTTATAGGTGAAAGAGATGGAATTAGGGAGGAAAATTCTGGAAGTCTACACAATGTATGAAACCTGGAGAAGGAAATGGTCATATGCCATCAAAGGCCTCTTTCCTAATGGTGTAACAGTTTGAACAACAGGTCATGACGCTTTATCTACTTGACAGTCTATGAACAAGACATTCTTGGGACTCATTAGGATGATTTTAACAAATATAAGCCTGCCTTTTATTTAGGATTTGTAAGAAAGGGTTATCATTGAACTCTTCCTTTCTCTTTCTGAACTCCATAGGATGGATTTCAGATAGTGGATTTTCTGTGCTCTACTCACACTAATTTTCTTCATTTAATGCTGACTCCCGTCATAAAACTGTCTTCTTTGCAACAACTTCTCATGCCATCTGAAGACATCTGTGCATCGGATTTGGTTAACTCTGAAATGGCCTTTGCTATTTGCAGCCAAATGCCTTCTCTTGCCCTTCTTCATTGCTCTTTAATACTCTACCCTCAAATTCTTTATGAATTGGTCAATTTACGGCTACAGTTAAAATGCTTACAAATCTTTGTCTTCAAGGAATACACATAGTAGGCTTGATTTTAGTTCTAATTAATGTGTACACTGCTAACAATGGAGTGCATGTCCCTCTCTGCTATAAATCTCACAGGTAGAATAGTTTCTATTTTTTTCCACACCTGGCAGTGATCATGGAGGCATTCCAGATGGTTTGCATGAAGTCGAGAATGTTCTAGTTTAGACTGGGGAGCTCGAATTAAGGTTCATCCTTTGTTACCTACTCGTGAACCTTTTAGGTGTATGGTGGTATGGTTATAATATGATGTTATTATTTAACTTTTTTAAAAAATTAGAGGCAGTGGGTTCCCTACTGAATTTTTAGAAGGCAAAGACTCCTCGAATTGTCACTCAAAACTAGTCCAGGGAAATGAGAAACATGTTTCAATTATCTGCTGAATGAATTGAGAGTTAATCTCTTCACAGTCAACATCAAAGAACTGTGGGCTGAATGATGGCTCTCCTTCCAGAGGAGAAAACAGAACCGCAATATAAGGTTGAAACATGGTGTCTTGTCTCAAAACATCCAATAATAAACAAGGTGAACTCTGGCACAGATTTTATTAAATTTGGGGGCTGAGTTTACTCCTTGGTAACATAAACTGGAATATTATTGTTTTCCTCAGAGACATTTTATGCACAGTTAGTACAGAAGGGCAGCCTGCTCTCACACGATTCAACTAAAGATTCAGTGACAATAAGTCACCTTTCTGATATGACCAAGCCAGTCAGGAACTAAGCCAGAAGCTTCTTTCTACCCTGCTGTCTTTCCCATGTCTCAGGACAACTGTCCTTTAGTTTTCTGCATGTCAAAGTGTATGTGCTATCTCTAAGCCTTGGTGTTCTAATGTAATGGGGATTTCATTTAAAATAAAATCATAGAGTTGTGAAAGGTAAATGATGATCCGCTGTGGTTTTGTTTGGCCTGAAGACAACAACAAATGTTCACTTGCCTCTTTCACAGAAACCCAGATAATGTACGATGAAACGATTTTGATGATATGCAACTCCAAAATCCACCACACAAACACCTGCAGCTTGTGGAAATATTCCAGGAATTTTAAGAAGAGCACAGTGAGACGGTCAATCACCAGATGCCATTTGTTCCTTAAATCTGCAAAATAGTAAATTCACCCAAGAGCATAAAACGTTGTGGGTTTGTTTGTTTGCATTATTATTTAAAGAAGATCTTGTAACATTCAGATGGGAAGGAGAAGGTGCAAAGTAATAGTAGAGGATGCATTTAATGAATATCAAAATCTGGAGGAAACGTGGTCTAAAGCTCCCATGTCATGATGATTTAGACATGCACTGAGACTCCGAGGGACAAGATTGCTTTCCTTAAATTCATTTAATCAGTGTGAAGAAGTATTTTTTGACCATTTAAAGCTTAGCTATAATTCCCTAATTTCTTGGGAACATTAGGTAACTGAGTTCCCTTGAAATGACATCTTTCTTGCTTCCGTAAGTTCCAGGGGCTTAAAGAGGGAGTGGATGAAGCTCACCGGTCACCCCAGAAGAATGAGGGGCAAGTGTCTGTGTCTCTTTGCAACTGAGAGTGAACACTGAGTGTCTGAATGACCCAGTCCAAATTCCCGAAATGTGGTCAGACTCACCCTAATCAAAATTTTTAATCACATTAGTCATTCCCTTCTTCCCACCTTGTGCTAAGTAATAATATTTTGCAGACTGGGGTCATGCTTCTGTCTATAAGGGCTTTCCTGGTCCATGTGACTGGAAGTCACCATAGAACTATTTTGTGGCACCATCATGTCACCACATGTGTAGACAAAAAGCTCACCAGCCCAGACAGGTAAGACCTGAGCCTCTCTTTAAGGAGCTTCTTCTTCACATGGCTGGGGTGGTTGTAGCAGTTATTGTCTTCAGTTCTGAAAGTTTCAGTAAGGTCCCAGTTATTGTGGAAAATGCATATTTACAAAGTGACACAGATAATAGTTGATACAAAGATGTCAGTCATAACCGTCCATAATTTAGAGTTGTAGATGGCAAGTATATGAGGGAGTGCCAGAACAAAGGGCAGTCCACAATTTCCGGGGAGATCCTCTTAGTAAAGCTCAAAACCCTCATGAAGTAGTAGAGCAAATCTTAGTCCTGGGTTCTGGGTCCCATCGAGCTTGGTTCTTCTTCATCCTGAGGAATAGCCATTGCTTAGATATGGAAAGGGCCATTCTGGGTCCCTCTCAGGATCTTCCGAGATGAGGGGGTAAAAGGGACCAAGTTTGGGGGAATTTGCCTTTGGGAGGGATCTTCATCCTTGTGCCTTTTCATTTTCTAATCCTTTAAAGCACAGAACACCGGAACAGACTAAGTGTTCTGCCTTCTCTGCTCTGTTAGATAATGCGTCCTGGTCACCATGGACGTCTAGTTCTTGTCATGCCCCATTAAACATTACCTCAAGTCTATGAAGAAAAACAGAAAAAAGAGCCCAAAGAATAAAGAGGGAAAAACCCAAGCTGACAAGACAACAAAAAATCCTCTAGGAGTTGGCTTGATACGATAATTATCCCATCGCTCGTTTGTTCCTCCAGTTCCCAGGTCCTGAAACATTTGGACTGAATTACAAGTATGTTCTTAATTACCAGTTCCCTGGGGAAGTTTCAGACTGGTTTCTTTGAGTATGCATTTGAAAAGGCCCTGTCTAGAACTTTCTGAAATTCTACACAGCTGCCTGCCTCTGCTGCTAGTAGGAAACATCCCCGACTGAAGACACAGGTAGGAGCTACACCCACCCTGGGCCTGGTGGAGATACCTCTGGCAGATCAGGAGATGACAGTCAGTCATCTGCTCTCTTCTCCTACCTCAGATTCACAAGGAAATGATGGGAGCAATTGGAACCACAATGTTGTAGCTATAGCAACTAAAAGACCGCACCCCAACTTTTACTTCATGGACTGGATCAAATCTCTATCCATTGGGAATGAGTCCATTTCATTCACTGAGTCTGTCAGGCAGGATTTTCTGAGCAGCTACTGGTAGTGGGCGGGTTACCTGAAGTCTCTTCCTCCTCCTCTTCCTCCTCGTCCTCCTCTTCCTCTTCCTCCTCTTCTTCCTCCTCCTCCTCGCTGTCTTTCCCAAGCTCAGCCTTCTCAGCCTTATAAGGGCATCCCTCTGGTTTGTCATCCCCAGGCTCGGCCAGCTTCCTGATGTCCGGCTTCTCCAGGCTGGTGGTCAGATTCATCATGGCGAGGTCCGGAAGGCTTCCTTCGGGGTGGGCCAGTCTGTTGGCAGAGAGCAGCTGAGTCAGGGGAGGAAAGAGCATGGGAGAGATTGGAGTTGAGGGGGCAAGTAAAAGGAGGATAAATAAAATGAAAATCAGTGCAGGTTCACAGGCCTTGCAATGTGGGGTCATTAGCATCTTGTCACTTTTTTTTTTAAGCTCTTTCTAAAAACAAACTGTAAACTCAGTTAGGTCTTGTTAGCTTTTCCAATTCGGGTTCTAGTGATTAGTCACTATTGAGAGCTATCAACACCTAAACTTGACATTTTTCCCGGAGGAGAAAATGGTCAGAGTTTAGGATGTAGAAGCATGAAATGACAATCGTGTAGAGCAAGCATTTCATGGCTTCACGGGGGACTTACTCATTTTGGTGGATTGGTAATTTTTTCTTGATGCTGCTCAAAGTAATTGAAATAGAAAGGAAAAAGAGGAGATGAGAACAGAAGAATTATAAGGAATGTCAGAGATCACACATCATGCTACATATCATCCACTATCGCATTCCTGTATGCGGATGCAGTGGTCCTAACGCCAAGAGCATTCCAAGATGGCGTCAATAGCGTGCTATGGCTATGAACCCTAGGCTTGGCCACTGAGTTGAGAGTGGGCAGGATTGCAGGTCATAAAGGTGGAGAACAGAGAGACAACAGAGGCAAATCACGTCATGCTTTTTAAGGAACGCAGCCAACCATCCCGCAAGAATCCAGTCATTCACACTCCAAATAGGTTTTTAAAAATATATACATTCTTAAATAACATGTAATCGCAATCAACCTTTTGCACAGACTTATCCCACTCTCCCGTCATCTAAATCATAGGCAGTGGAAGCGAAATGCTTTTGGGAGTAAGAAGTCAGTATCACATGCCAGCCCACGGGCACCAAGGTTGCCTGAGGGACTAGCCATCTTGGGGAGACAGGGTGTGACAGCCCGAGTGAGGCATGGGGACACAGTTTTGCCGAGCCTGGACAGCGGGCATTCCAGCTTATTTCGTGTTAGACAATAACAAGTATCATCTTCATCCTACATTGTTAAAAAGTATATGTTTTTACTCATAGCCAATTTGAAGGAACATCTTTGGGCAGTAAGGAAATATCATGGAACCATCTACTGGAAATACTGATAATCTTCTCCATTTGTAATAATAAATTTCATTTGTAATAATGTATTTCAGCCTGGTTGTAACAGGAAGGACAATTAATAATGTTATCCTATCTGTATAATTGTGGGATCCAAGTATATTATCTAATCTTTCTGCAATTCACTTTTTTTCTATAAAATCAGTAAGTTTGGCTAGATAAAAATCTACACTTCCTTACAACTCACTAATTTTATATTTGAAACACACCTGTGATGCTGGGAACCTGTTGCAATGACTCAGCATTGTCCTTAGACTTTTCGAACCTTTATCATTCAAAAGGAATTCCTCTTAACAGGGTGCCAAACAGGTAAATTATAGGGTGCAGAAACATTTTGTGCATTGAAGAAAGACACAATGTCCTGAGGATGTTCCCACATTGGTGGAGGGAGTTGTGATGACGTACCCCCCTTCTTATTTTCCAAAGCTAGTCAATCCACTCTCCTGTCCTTGGGGAAGTCCCCCCCACTCCTGAAACTCCATTACCACATTTTCACACCAGCACTGCGCGTCAAATTTCAGGGGGCATACGTGCTGTTCTTGTTTTGCTGGGACTCGGCATATGAAATGGTGTTAAATGTAAAAGCAGTCAGTTGTCACACAATTGTCAATATTTATATGTTCTCTGCAGCACTGGTAGCGGATGCATTTTATAAGTGAAAAGATACTTCTCATTATGACATTTGGTGGAGGGATGACCATCTTGGAGTGCATTTTTCCCCTCTACATCAATACTGCCATGACTTCGCACTGATAAGAAAAAAACTTGCCAGGGATTAGAGTTAATCAGTGGAATGAAACTTACAGAGATGAGGCTGTTTCTGCGCTGTCATTCTGGGTATGTAACAAATAGCCCTCAAGCAAAGAGGCCCCCAGATTGTCTTGCCATAGGCGGGGCATATTGAGGGGAGATTAGGGAATGAAGGAATCAAAGAAAAACACTTGAGTTAAACCTAGTGGAAGTATGTCTAGAAGATTGACTTCGGAAACTCGTAACAGTCCACAAGAGATCGGGGACTAGATAATGCTGGGGAGAGAAGAGAACATAGTATCTGCATCTGAACCAATTATCTGTGTATTTCCATCTGACATGATCCTTAGGAGGAAACAGGGCATGTAATTCCTGGATGCCTTCTGGAGCAGTGTAACGTCAGGGGCTCGTAACGGATGACAGAGAAAGAAGGGAAAACCTGTATCGGACTGTCATTTACTTGACTCTAGGAGTCTGTTAACTGAGAAATTGCATGAGAAAATCTGTGTTCATAAAATGTGTACAGATGAAAATATTTTTAATGCCTGATTGGGGTTTACAATTTTAAAAAGGACACCTACGTAAAGCCTTTCATTTCCTTCCTTTTTTTTATAGCAGTTTTTTGAAGGCAATACAAAATAATGTTAAAGCATGCTCTTTGGAATCAGAAAGACTCAGATTCAAGCCTCAACTAGACAACTACTAGCTAGATGATTTAGAAAAACTCCCTACCCTGTCTCCCAAGTCTCAGTCCATTGATCTGCAAAATGGAGTAATAGCTACTACTTCACAGAATGCTGGGAAAACTAAGGTGATTTCTGTTAAGCTCTTAACACAGTGCTTAGTAAACAGGGAATATTTTTAAAGTAAAGAACCATCTGCTCATGATAGATCTTCATGTACCGCTTTTGTTCATTTGTATCATGAGAAGGCGGAGTTAGAAATATACCTTTGCAAGGAACCTCACCACGCTGGACAAGGGCTCATCTTGGACTCTATCATCAGCACATTGTTAACAGAACTTGTGTATTACAATGGCCATTCAGAAGAAAAAGCGCCAATGTTTCTTCCTTGGGAGTCTGTCCCCCCTACTCTCAACCTTCTGTGCTCTCTGCTGACTGCCCTCCACCTGCATTTGCTGAGGCTGGGCTGCTGCACAGGTGGGGCTGTCTACCCAATGTGGAGTTCATGGGCAGAACCAGCCCCCAGTTTGCCATAGTGAACAGCTGGACTGAATCTTTTGGAAAGCCTAAGTACCTCAATGTAGATACTCCCCCTCTCCCATGCCCGCAGTCAACTTTAAAATGGGATCCTTGTTTTCCAAAAGGTAAATGAGTAATCATGCTCCCTGAAACTTACAATACCTACAATACTGGTAAGTAATTGGGTGCTGATCCTCATGTTCAAGTTATGTAATCAGCACTTGAAGGAGATTTAAACTGGATTCTCAGAGAACTCCCTCCCCCACCTCCTTAAATCCCACTTTTTGCATGCTTCCCCCCTCTCCCCTGCTGTGGAGTTCATTTTCTTTTCTTTTGCATTGTCTTTATCCACACCTATAACTTCCTTGCCTTGCTTTTATGATGCTCCAGGTTTGGAGCTGTAATCTTTTCACTGACTATTTCTCCTGTTGCATTCTAACGAAGCAGGTGATGTTCTCCTCCTTGTGTCATCATTCATTCTTTCCTTCTGCACCCATGGCTTTCTTTAAATGTTCCTCAATGCATGCATCTCTCCATTTGTATCTACATAATTTTATTCTAATGATGGTTCTGAGGACTCTTCCTTTGAGGGCAGAAAGCCAGTCTTAAGGCTCCTGGGCTCCCTTGAAAAATGTAGCACTGGACTTGGTGTACAATGTGACTCACATTGTACATGTTTGGCCAATGGCTTCTAGGCACTGGATGGGCATTTTTATTTGAAACAGAAGAAACAAATTATGTTACATGGACAGTTGAAGAGGCTTAATTCTGTATTAGGAACTGACTTTGAGTAAATATATGAAACCACATATTAAGGTAGTTTCCATGAAAGAAAATGGGAAGTCCACCATTACAACATCTCCTTAGTCTAAATTCTATTCATTTTTATGACTATTCTAATTTGGAATATTTGGCAATGTAAAGTGCATCCACCCTATTCATTAGACTATTAGAGAAAAGAGGTGTCTTGCAAATTTCTGGTGTTTATAATTGGTATTTAAATAATACTTATACTGCTTAAGATTATTTTCTAGAATGCATACACACTTTTAGAAGATGGTATTCACAGATTAGTAAGTTTAATATCATATCTTAAATGTGCATGGTAGTAATTCCTTCTGAAAAAAATCTACTCGACAGGTTTGGGTATGATGGCTCTAGTTTCTGCATTTAAGACAGAAATGACCATTACTCCTGTTAAAACATTCTAATTCATTCTGTTTAGGAATCCAGTTGGAACTTCCCCACAAAGATTTGTATCATCAAAATTTTAACCAGTCAACCACTGTCCTCACCATCCCCACCTCATACTTTGTTAAGTCATGTCTAAATTTTAATCAACCCAGAAGCTGAAAGTAGGCATGTCTTCCCTTTCATCCAGACCTCACATTTACAAACACATTATTCTCCTTATGAAATAACACTGAACGTACAAGGAAGAAATTATGGGAGAAAGCTTCCTTAATAAAAGGATTGACTTACTATTTTCATCAAGACTAGGTCCTGTTCAAAATTGGACATGCTTTACACACAGCCTTTCAGAAGAGCAGTGAGGGAAGAGTTTATCGGGTAACATCCTCCCTGGGGAGTAACTCTGGCCTTTCTTAATATGAAAAGGGAAGATTCCACCGCAAAGAAGATAGTCCTAACAGTGGAATGTTTTGAGTTTTTAATTATTTTAGGTGGATTTTGATCATTCTAAGAATTCCTGAGCACATTCCCTGGCCTTGTGACTTGGGTTAATGGGGATAGGCTTTTTCTCAAGAGAGAAGTTCTAGACAACCGGAACCACAACTTGTATCAGCCCCTGCTGTTGGAGCCCATCAAACCAATTTCTGCCTTCTTACATAGGTCCCAGCCATCTCCTCATATAGCAGATGGTAAATACTTTATGGGAAGAGATAGAGAGAGACAGAGATAGAGAGAGACGAAGATGGATGGACAAGGGAAGAGAGGGAGAAGGATGGATGGAGAGGTATAAGAGTAGAGGGGAGTGAGGGGGAGAAGGTGGAGAGAGATTGAGAGAGAAGCTTCTTATGTTTGAAGAAATGACATTTCAATAGTTGCTCAAGATCTCCAGCTAGTGTCTATCAGCTAAAAACCTGAGGTTGACTCCTCTCTCTCAGGATGTCAACAAAACTGGCTCCCAAAGGAACCAGCCAGTCTTCATCCCTCTTTCTTCAGTGATCTGCACAGTGATGCATTAATGTTTCACCCTTTTTTCTGGAAGTTTTGGCTCCCAGGGTTTGCTATTTGGTTGTCAGCCTTGGAATTTTACATAGGAGAAAAGCAAATGGAATAGAAAACCAACAGATCTTTCAAAGATTTAATTTGTTCATTGGCTTTATTGTAAAATACGTGTTTTTATGACCTACATCACTGGCTATTCACCTATTTAATAAAGTCAGGATAGCTTTAGGAAATTAGATCTCCAAAGACCTTTTTCTCTGTACTCTTAGGGAAGTTGAGAATAACTCTGCGGACAACACTATCAAAGCTTACTCTTTATTATGTGTGGTCCTTTGCATGTTTTATCTCCCCAGCTGAGTGATAGGGCTCTAAGGTAGGGCCTTGACCCAGGGTCCATCTTTGCATCTTTTATGAAATCTGGTGACCTAAAAGATCTTTCTTCAATACAATGATCTTTTAAGTCAAGGTATATTTGAAGAAACCAATGTCTTAATTTTATTGTGACTATTATCACTTTATTCAGGAAACATCTACCGAGGGTCAACAGATGGGTGAGGCCCTGAGGTTAAGTGATACGTGGATACGGAGTAAATTATTAATACAGGGACCCTAGCTGAGGAGCTGACGCCTCTGGCAAGGGAGATAAGACAGGCAGGCAGAGAGTGTCAGAAGGCAAGTGTCAGAAGGCAGCAATGATGAAGTGCTGTGGAAATTCAGAGGAAGGGCAGATTCCTCGTAGCGGGGAACGTTGGCATTTGTGGGCAGGTTTGTGGCGGAGGCGGTTCTTGAGCTGAGCTCTCAGTCATGTGTCCAAGAGAGCGACGATGAGCTCTCTGGCCAGCGTTGGACTAATTGACCAAAGAATGAAATTAACGGGGCATCCGTTTGAACCAAGACCGAAGGCTGAGCACCAGCTGAAGACCCTTGGCCACCTCCGAATCCACTTGCAGCACCATTCGGGATAGATACCAAATGGTCTGGTTGGCAGACTACATCCATGAGCGTACCTGAAGACCACTGTCCCCTCTCTGATGACATCATTTTTCATTTACAAAACAGCAAAGTGTTTAACACACCACAAGACCATTAGAAAAAAAACAAACAAGAGAGAAAACATTGACATACCCACCTATTTATTATTAGATAAACGCGCCCATTGACTTTGGCATGGCTACGAGGTGAGAGATGGAAGCCCAAGGTGGCATGGGGATGGGGAGACAGGTGGGAGAGAGAAAGAGGAGACCGTTAGAGAGGAAAGATGCAGACTGTCTTGCAACCTTTAAGGCATCAGGTGTGTGCTCATTGATACTCCCATGCACGAAGAGGAGTCAGGGCAGCAAGACTCAGGAGAAAGGAGAAGTTAGATATAGTCAGGAAAAAAATGCTTGAAGGTAACAAGTCGCTCCATTTGTCTCGTCCCTTCCCCCAAAACACTTGACTAAAGATTGGTAATGTTTTAATTTTCAGAGCACAGTTATCAAATAGAAGACAATCTAAAAGGTGGATTCTTGCTCCTTTCCCCAAATGGAAAAAAAAAAAAAAGAAATCCTCCTAAGTAACCACAGGCCACATAGTATTCTCTAAGTTTTCTAAGACTGAAGTTAAAAAAAGCCATTTTGTTTCTCTGTGCACTGGAATATGTTCTAAAACAAAACACGGATAAATTGCAGGGATGGCTACTTAATTACCTGATGGGTATTTCATACATTATCATATATATATGTTATTATAGACTGTAGTTATGTTCTAATAGTACATATCTTATCAAGATAAGTGAAATAATATTCCTGAGAATACCTGCTTAGAAATAATAATAGTTTTTTTCTATTATCATGTACATCCAAACATTTTCCATGGTGTCAACTTCATCACTTCTCTAAGGCTAAACACAATAAAGTCTTCCTCAGACACAAGTGACATTTGCCTATACAACCTATGTGTGCACAAAAACACAGCACACACAAATGGGGGACAAAATGGGAAAACAGCAGCTGGGTATTTACAGAAACCACAGTACTGGAATCAATGTTAAGGAATACAATGAATCAATTATTCCCAATTTGTGGGCCAAGTTTTGTAAAACATTTACTAAGGAGGTGGGGTCGGAGAAGGCAAAGCATGCCAGTCAATCCCAACTCTGTAAATATTCTTTCTCTTCCTCATTTTGATCTCAATGTGGTCATTTATTAGGGCTCCAGGGACAAAAAATACTGTTAGTAAGGAAAACACCAGAATGGGAACAAGTTAGTAAAAAAGATGCGATGCGTATCCTACATTCAAAGTTAAAAATTGGGAACTTTCATATTACACTGTTGCAGGAAGTTCCAAAACATGGAACTTGAATTTGACCTGAACTTTGAACCTTTTAAGGCTTAGAAAACTGTTTTTTCGAAGACTGAAAATGAAAACCCATGTTCCTAACCCCTTTAGATAGCTGGTCTTTTATAGCCTCTCATCACTCTACATTTTCTTGGAAAATTAACTGCTTAAGGCATTCTTGGGGTGAAGCCATGGCCACGAGGAAGGCAAGCGATGACCTCAAATGGCTACAAATAATTTAGATCTTTCTTTTCTTGTCATGGTATGGAGGGTGAGGGCTGTGAGTGGAGCAGCCATGAAACAGTGAGAAATTATCTCCACATGAGACGGTAGTCCTTTCCAGAACCTCCATAATTAAATAATGTTCTACATGCTTCCAGGGAGTTCTGAGGAACAAATTCTGTTTTCACATACCCTAGGTCTCAAAAATTGTGATTCCTTTGAGCTTGTACAATCCTTGTTGAGCTGCATGGTCTTCTGCAAAACTGTGGTCCTGAAAATCTCTATTTTCCTGAAAAACTGTAACCCATATCTCTACCTGATTGTGTGACATTTGACATTAGATTCAAAGACATGATAATTTTAAAAAAGGCAGGAAAAAGCACCTACATCCTGGAGGAATTTTGAATGAGAAGAAAATAGAGATCCAAGGCAAGAAAGGCATTTAGAAGAAAAAAAAATTAAAGGCATCATTAGTGATCGCCAATCATGATATTTCTCTTATAAACATACAAATATACATTGCTGACCAACAGGTTTTTCTTGATTATCGAATAAGACTTTTTGAACAAATAGTTACTTCTCAGAGTTAAATATCAAACACTAATTTTATCCCTAGCAAAAGCAAGCAACGTCAAAATTGTCATCAAAAGTACTTCCACTAATTACTGATAAATCTTACTTTTCCTGTGCCAGGACTGCATTTGTAAGCTTTTAATCTTAGGGTGATTTCTCCTGCTAACAAGTTTGCCTAGAAACCATCTCTCCTAGGGGGCTCCCAGACTTCTAATAACTACCTTTTTTCCCCTAATGTTTGATTATCACTGAGAGCAGCCACAGACCCCATCAGGGCCCTCACTATGGTGGGGATTTGGGAGGAGATAGGTTATCGCTGAGCTTGCTTATTGATGCGGCCAAGACAGAAAAAGAAATAACAGTTCCTTGATGACTTTGGATTCTACTGGTTGGGAGCCATTCACAGATTGAAAGGCATCTGAAGCTTATTCAGCTTACCTCCAAAAAACACAATACGAATATGGGAAAGAAATCTGCTGGCTATCCATACATAGATAGAGATTATAAAATGGTTTTCACCACCAAAGACGAATTTTGGAGTCATCTATGACTCTAGTCTCTAGTATAGCAAAAAACCAAATATCCGGTGGTTCATAAACTGTGTGTGATGAAATAAGACTTCATCTTCTTTTGCTGTACTCATTATTTCCCTTGAAAAGGAGTTCAGAGCTAAGTCAAGGGACTAAGGGGATTGTCGGCTGGCATCTACACTCCCTGCGTATAGCCCTTTGCTCCCTCGGTTGCTCAACAAGGGTTTTTCCAGGAACTGAATCATCAGCTAAATCTGAAGCAAAGAGAGAAATCAGCATGAACGTTCATCAGAAGAATGCTTGCAATTGTGAGAGACCCAACTGTGAGATTTGTGATAAAACCATTGCGGTTGCAACACACAAGGGCGGGGAGAGAGATACCTCATCTGTTGCTTGCAAGCGATTTATATATTTATAGATGAGAAGACAACGGAGAGCTGATAAAAGCAAACACTGTCTTCACTTTATTTCCTTGCACGTCATGCTGATTTCTGGTAGACTGCAGATTCTATCCTTTCAGGCGAAGTTCATTTCCAAAGCGGAAAGGAAAATTCTGCCCATCGTATTTGGTATGCTCTCAGAAAACTCATCCTCTGAATCAGCCAGATCTCCTAAATGTTCTAAAAACACATCACAGCCCAGACACAAAATATCCATCACCAACTCTAAAGCATTTGCATCCGCGCAGCTATTTTAAATCTACTCAGGTGAGGATCAAGATCACTTGGTATTACGTCACTACGTAATGTTTTGGAAACTGCCATCAAATACGCCACATTTTTCTCTCATTTCTTATTTTCACTCACCCATGGAGAGCTCAAGGGTGAAACTCTAAGGTTGGTTATTGGTTTCCTGCAGGGGGCTTCCCCCCCCCCGCCCCCGCCCGCGCTGAAGTGGGGAGTCAAAGCTGTCTTGCCCAGAGCAAGAGGCTCATTCTTCTTGCAAGCGCTCACCTGTAGATGGCGCTGTCTTCCTTGCTGGGAATGGACTTCAGGTCTGTGAGCTCCAGGAACCGATCGTGGAAGTAGTGAAGGTGTAAAATGCACACCAAAAGAAAGGAGGTGGGGATGAAGATACGAGTGAACAGCTCTGCCACGGTAAACTGTTTTAAGCCAAGATCCTCCAGCCTGTAAAACAAAACAAAACGAAACAAAACAGAAAGCGAGTGCTTTTCTCAGGCACATTGGTTTTGGGGTAAATCACATCACCGTCTTTCACCGCCCTGTTATAACATTTCTTGCATCCCCCACTCCCGGGTGTTGGCTTTGATTTTTGTCTCCATCAATCCAACTGACCTGCTCTCCCAGAGGTCAGAAACAACCTCAATATTGCCAAATTCAGTGACTGCTTCGCCGTCTTTGTTTAATTCTGCCTCTAGTCCTTCTCGAAACAATTCTGGTCTTGGTGCCCCCACACTGGCCTGGTTTTTCTCTTCTGTTGCTGTTTCCTCCATTTTTTTTTTTTTTTAATTGGACCTCCAGATGTGACATAGACCCAGACTTCAGTGCTGAAGTCTCTTCTCCAGCTTATTTCCCCTCCACGTTATCTCACAAGTCCCACCTGGACACCATCTTTTCTATACACCATCTTAGCACCAGTGACTCAAATATGCATTTACAGCTCAGGTTTCTCCTGTGGACTCTCATGCCCAAATATCTAACAGAAGTTCTTTTGTTTTTTCCTATAGTTATTTCATATTGAGTGTCTTCCAAACAGTGTTCTTGATTTCCCAGTTTTGCTCAGTCACGCTGTCCTGCACCCTTGCCCGCCACAACTTGAGTCCTCCCTGTGTAACTGTCTACCCTGTGCCACATTCTGAAATCAGAAAGTCTGTCTTTCTTTGCCTTCGTAGCACATTCATCCACATTTCCTTCAGCCTCCTAGACATCTCTTGAAGCTGCCCCCTCTGTTATCTGTCTCTGCATCACCTGCTCTAGATAAAACCACCACCATTTCTCACAGGACCCCTGCTGCTGCTGGCTAACCCGCCCTGTGGTTTCTACCCTCACCCTCGGACAGCACATTTTTTCAGCCTGTCAAGAGTTCTTTAAGGACTTAAAAATGTCACCAAGAATAAAATGCCAACGAGCCCTGCCCATCCCGGGTGTCTGGCTGCGTTCTCTACCTCGGCTCTGTCCACTGTCCCCCCTTGCTCCCGGCAGCTGAAACGTCCCTGGCTTCCTCCCTTGTGCCAAACTCAGTCTTGTCTCAGGATCTTCCTGTTTGCTGCTGGAATGCTTTTCCGTATCTCACTCCCAACTCACACTTTTCTTAAGCCCTTCAGGGGGAGAGTAAATGGCACCTCCTCAGGGAAGACTGCCCCGACCACTCCGTTTACAGTTTGTACCCTCACTGTTCACTACCTCGCCCTGTTTTAGTCTCCTGCACAGACTTGCCACAATTTGTAACTAATTTATTTGCATATTAAGTAGGGTTTTTTTGTTTTCATTTGTTTGTTTGTTTTTTGGTCTCCTCCACTAGAACATAAACTCTGCAGTGCTTAGGCTCTGTCTGTCCCGCTTCCTGACGGGTCCCCAGGCCGAGCCAGTGTCTGGTACATGGGAGGCATTTGATAAATATTTGTTAAATAAATGTTAAAGACGGGTCAGCCTAGCTACATGGCGAGCCTTTCCTTTTAAGCTTTTCTCTTTCCCACCTCAGTATACTCCTTCAGCTCCATGCCCCATTCTGGTAACTCATTCCAGAAGTTTACAGCAGCAAATCATAAAAGGACACAGCACATGCACAGATCTATTACACGCACATGAATAATGATTTCCTCATTAGTCCACTAGCGCTTTTGCTATGGCCTCAAGTACTCCTTAGAATCTTCGCACCAGCTCCGTAAGCGAGGAGAGACTGCTGCTTTTTATCATAAGCCTAGGAATCAACTAAACTGCTGAACGGAACTTCAGCTTGGGAAGTAGAAGGCATGAGTGATGAAGGACGAAGCAGGTATTTCACAGGAAACGGCGGGTTAAGCCTTTGCCTTCGGCTCAGGTATGGTTTTGGGGTCCTGGGATCGAGCTCCCCATCAGGCTCTCTGCTCAGCAGGGAGCCTGCTTCCCTTCTTCTCTCTCTGCCTGCCTCTCTGCCTACTTGTGATCTCTCTCTCTCTCTCTGTCAAATAAATAAATAAAGTATTTTTTTAAAAAGTTATTTCATTAAAATGGGGCTGAAAATGCACTTTTTGGTTAATAGTCGTTAAGTACATACTCTACGTGTCAAGCCTAGGGCTTGGCAGGGAGACCACAGAAGGACCTGTTCTCAAGGAACTTACAGACACTGATGATATCACAGTTTACTAGAACCTCCCCCAAACGATGTTTGAACAAGATGCATGGAAATCTTCATGCCATCTGTCCCTTTCACAGCCCATTTTATACCAAATTGCTTACTTTTCTTTTTTCAATCCGGTCATATTTTGCCACAGGCCTGGGAAGTTCTCAAACTGATATGTGTATATAAAGATAAGCACCAGCATTGTGTAAATCACCACAGACATCCAAAAATACTTTAGGATTCGCCTCCACCATTCGTAGTGCACCTGTGAATCAGACATCGAAAAACACACAAGAAAAAAAGAACTGATTAAAAAAAAAAAAACAAGCACCTCATATATTCAAGCATGACAAGTGATGATGTTGACAAGTACTCAAAAATCAAATATATTTCATTTTTGGCTTTTGAGGCTCTGTTCCTCATAGAGTCAGCTGAGTCTGGATTGGAACATTAGGACTACGAGAGTTGCTAACGAGGTCTTGGGTTAAGTCACTCGACCCTTCTGAGCTTCTATTTCCTCCTCTGTGTACCTACTTTGAAAGCTGGAAAGAGGATGAAATCATCATAATTATAAGCTAGTCTATGGGAGGCATTCAAGGAATTATATGGTAGATGCTGTCATTGTGGTAGTTATTGCTGGGAGAAAAAATTGCCTCCATTTTGAGATTCCAGTATTTCAAAACTTCATCAATTTCGATTGAGATACTTTTGTCTCTACAGGTGAATTAGTGTAGTTGTTTCATTTGTCCTATTGGCTGCCTGCAAGAACAGTGTCCTGTTACACTTGTTTCTATCACTGAGTAACAATTTTTCTGTAAGTTAAGACTGAATTGGTGGAGATCTTCTTATATTTTAGTGGAATCTTCCATAAATTCTAATGGATAAAATACTAAAGAAGCTGAGGTATTATGCATACACACACACACACACACACACACACACACACACATACACACACAGGTTCCTGATCCTAAAGTCTGAGGTACAAGTGAACGGGGTATCAACCCATATTTTATATTACCCAGCTGCTGTTCTTCACTGGCTGTTGAATAGTCAGTGAAATTAAAAATTGAAATTGAAATTGATATTAAAATTGAAAATTGACATTAAATGTGGTATTAAAATTGAAATTAAAAATGAATTTAGTTACACAGGTTTTCTTTTTTTTTAATCAAGAAGTTTTGAAAAACTTATGAAGTTTTTTTTTTTTTACTTTTTAAGAACCCCAAATTTTAAAATAACATATATGCTGAAGACAGTCATTTCCCTTTCCAGACCTTCTTCATTTGCCTTTGAATCGCACTGATCACTTTAGATACTACATTCGTGGGATGACAATCATTTAGAATCTCAACAAAGGAAGCTCCCATGTATTCCTGGGCTGGCTACCAGGATTAAAAAAAGACAGAGGACGATGGTTTACCTACCTGATACAAGGCCACACAGAACAGAAACAGCACCATGTAGATGATTTTGTACATCACAATTTTACCCTCGAAGCTGACGAAGAAGAACATTCCTCCGCAGACGTAGATCCAGTACTTGATGAACATGGCCACCACCAGATTGCCCAGGACCTTCATAATGTCCTGGTCATCATCTTCTTCCACTTCCTCTTCTTCTTCCTTCCTTCTCTCTTGCTTCTCTTCCTTGGCTTCCTCTTCCTCCTTCTCTTCAGGCTCTCCTTCCATTTGTATATCTTGCTCGTCATCTTCAAAATAGAAGACCATGCAGTTACACTTAGTTGGTTCCCCACCCAGAGCCACACTTTGACCGTGTGTTGCATGGGTGGGGGGGGCATGGAAGCCCACGTTTTCTGTGTTACTCTGTGTTTTGAATGATTTCAGATGGTTGCAGTAAACAAGGAAGTTTATACCCAATCATAATCAACTTTTGAATTTCATACAGTTTAAAAGCTATGAACACGGGAATATTTTATGCTCATCTTTTTTATAATACCTAACTTCATTTCCAGTATCCAATGACTTTGAGTATTACAGGATCTAGAAAATTAAGCTTTGAGTACTACAGGATCTAGAAAATTAAGAACAGGGACTCCCCCTGCCCTCCATTCCATGGTTTTGCTTTCCACCATTGCAGTTACCCGAGGTCAACCACGGTCTGGAAGCAAGTGATCCTCCTCCTGACACATGGTCAGGTCAATAACAGCCTAATGTTAATGTCACCTGCCTGTGTCATTCACCTCATCTCATCGCATGGGCATTTTCTCATCTCACAGCCTCACTAGAGGGCTGAGTACACCACAAGAAGATATTTTGAGACAGAGTGAGACCACATTCACGTAACTTTTATTACCAAGTATTATTATAATACTTCTTAGTAGTAGTTGTTCATGTCTTATGGTGCTTAGTTTATAAATTAAACTTTATCATAGTCTTGGATGTTCAGGAAACGACATAGTATCTTCAGGGTTCAGTACTATCTGTAGTGGTAGGCATCCACTGGGGTCTTGGAATGCATCCCCTATGAATAAGGAGTCCCCTGCACATGACAATAACACAGATTAAAATGACGATATCGATTTCAAATTCTGATTGTGTCAGGGCTCTGAAAGTGTGACCTTGGATAAACCATTTAACTTCTCTGAACCTGTTTCTTCTTCCCTTAAGTGGGAATCAATTTTGTGAGGATGGAATGAAGACGCATTTCCAAAAGCTCTTTGTGAGCTCCCGCATGTGCACGAAATCGTCCCCACTGGGGCCCTGGTTTTCCATCACTCCAGGTCACGCGCAGCTTTTATCTGGTCTGAAGCACAGAGGCTTTCTGATGTATGTGGGGTGTCCTGTCTCTGTCATTTGCTGAGCACAAAACTCTCTAGTCACACTAATTTACCTTTTTCTTCATTTTCCTGACTTCCGATTTTGATCTCAGATAGAAGAGCTTCTTTCTCTTGAAGAGCTTTTTGCTCAGTGAGGTGTTGCCTCAGCAGGAGCCAAAAAGTAATGGTGAAAAGTATCTGAAAGCAGAGAATTAAGAATTAAGAATTAAGCCACCCATTTGAAATGTAAATACAATTCAATATATACAACGTTTTCTCCACATTTCAGCAGAAACACCATAAATAAGCCTCTCCTTTGGAGACAGTCGGGCAGCCACTGGATTTCACCTGAAAGTCACTGGCTTTGAAATCCCCTTTGCTGAAGACACGAACAAGCGTGTTGAGGGCCAGGAGGACATTTGGCAGCAAGCTGGGGCCCAGGGAAGGTGTCCCGACAGCCCAAACTACTTCCATCTGGGCCGGAAGTCAGCTTTGGCAACTGATCTCCCGGGAGGGAGAAAGTCCTTGCTTTCCTGTCCCAACTGTGACATGAGCACCATTACAACAGGAAGACATATTTCTTCCGTAATACTCGTTGACTTTGCGATGTTCCTTGGAATGAAGAATTCCACAGATGGGGAAAAAGAACATTTCATCCCGGAAAACAGAACTCTCTAATATCCTATTCATCTCCCAAAGCTGAAGGAAGAATTGTTTTAAGTGTCCACACTTGTATTTTATGGTTTTGTGGAGGGTTGGGGGCAGGGGGCAAGCTGATGCTTTTTGGGGAGCTCCTTCTTCAGGAGATAGAGGACCTAGTACATAGTATTTGTTTTGTACTAGCTTTACTGCAATACAATTTACATGCTATATACAATTTATCCATTTAGAGCATGTGACTCTGTGGTCTTTCATGAAGTCACAGAGTTGTGCAACCAACACTGCAGTCAGTTGTAGAATATTCTCATCACTCCAAAAGCCTCAGAGCAGTCACCCTGTTCCTGTCCACCTAAACATACTAAACATTCTTTGGTCGGTGGCTTCTTTTGTTTGGCATAATGTTTTCAAGGCTTATTCCTGTTGTGGCACCTCACTTCTTTTTATTATTTGATAGTATTCCATTGTACAGACAGCACTTCATTTCTCAGTTGATGGGCATTTAGGTGGTTACTTTTTTGGAGGTTATTATGAATAACACTGCTATGAGCATTCACGGGCAGGCTTTTGTGTGGACATAGGTTTTCAGTTCTGTTGGGTATAAAACCTAGGAGTGGAATTGCTGCGTCTTATGGCAGTTCTGCGTTTAACCTTTGGAGGAACTGAGAGACTGTTTTCCAAACTGTTTTCCAAAGTGGCCGCAGCATTTTCCAGGCCCCCCAGCATGAGGTTCCAGTTTCTCCACGTCCCCAATAATACTTATTATGGTCTGCTTTCTTCTTTTTTTAAGATTTTTCATTTTATTTTTTCATTTGAGAGAGAGTGAGTGAGAGAAAGGGAGCAGGGGAGAAGGAGAAGCAGACTCACCGCTGAACAGGGAGCCTATGCTGGGCTCGATCCCAGGACCCTGAGATCATGACCTGAACTGAAGGCAGATGCTTAACCGACTGCGCCACTCAGGTGCCCCTCATCTACCTTTTTGATCCTAATCATCCTGCTGAGTGTGAAGTGGCTTCTCACTGTGGTTTGTAGTATGATTTTAATAAATATTTGCCAAAGACATGAAAAGAAATAGACAAATGAATGGGTCAGTATTACTTGGAATAACTGCTCACTTGATGGTCCATAATTACCCACTTCTCCTTTGCCTTCAGCATAAACCGGTCCCAGTCAGTCTGGGACAACATGTGTAGGGCCAATGGAAGCCAAGATCCAGAGTGACTCCATTTCTGAAAACCTGGCATTCTACTTCTGAGAGTCACAACAAATTGAACTATGGCTGCAATTTGGGAAAGAAATATGTTTCTCTAGTGCATGTCTAAGGAGCTTAGGAATGCTCAGCGGAAGATGAGACCCCTTTCCTGGAAAAGGTGATCGACAAGCCCAATTTGGAAAGCGCGGTTGGTGTAGTTGATGGAGTGGAGAAGACTCCCTAGCAACTGAAGGATACTACCAAGGATCTGAGTCTTACTTCCCCAGAGTGTCAGACCTCTGGGGACCTGGGACATATTCTTTCTTTCCTCTCATTTTCCATCACAGCGACCCATTCAGTACTCTGCAAAGAGTGTGTTTAATAAAGTACTTTGACAAATGTCACTGTGATATTTTATGATCTTAGGTTGTGTTGTTATCTATGATAAAGACTTGCATTTTTTTTTTTTTTTAGCTCCTGGGTACATTAAAATATAAGTGGAGACCCTACTTTCTTCAGAATAACACTGTTTTGTTTTGTTTTTTTTTGTTTTGTTTTACAAGTAATACATTTAAGTGGAGACCCTACTTTCTTCAGAGTAACACTGTTTTGTTTTGTTTTGTTTTGTTTTACAAGTAATACATTTAATTCCCTGACCTCCAAGAGCTGTTCATCTTAGATTAGACTGGAGGTTGTTCAACCAGCTAGCTGGGATACTTTTCAGATGTCTCACCAATATTCCAAGCCAGGCTGCAATGGATTTGCGTAGTCAAAAGATGAGGTTTTGAATTTCTCTTATAAAGAAAAGACTAGCTTCTCAGTTTCAGGTGTGTGTTTAGGGGGAAGGTCAGGGAGGGAGAGAAGGAGTGGGTAAGAGTGTGAGACTAATGTGACTTGTCAGTGAAAGTACTCCGTGGGACTGTCATCATGGAGTGAGGGTTTGAGAAAGAAAGGAAGGAGGTTGCCATGGTCTGTGAACACAGGGGATTATGAGGTAATTATAGTCATCACTATTCACCTGCTAGGAGTTTCTCCTCTACCCCAATAAACTTCACCAAAAGGTCTGTTATGAGAACCAATCCTTGGTCTACTAGTTCCCCGTTCATGCCTAGTTGCCTTGGATATGGGGTATTTGGTAACCTGTAAGAAAGGAGCTTGCTCTCCAAAAAGGTGAGCTTTGTGAGATATAAATTCATGTCCTTTTCAGAGAATGATTCTCTGCCTAGAGGAGAAAGGTGTTTAAGGCTCATAGAGTAATGACACAGGACTGCTCTCGCAGGTCTTAACACAATGTTATCAACACAATGGACACATGTGGTTTAGAGTCGACCACACTGTCCACAAAACAGAAAGGTTGGGGCACATAATCTGAAGTCAAGGCTATTAAAACAGGCCACAAAAGTAATGAGTACTGGGAGATCATGAACCTTGTTGCTACCTATGAAGGCCTACCATATAATCTGCAGAAGGAAAAACCAGAAGTGTCATACTCAATTTTTGCTGCTAACAGCGTTTTTGAACACATAATTGAAGAAAAAATGTTGTTACTAATAATCAGTGATTATCTGTAACAACAATGCATTCGGCCTTTTTTGAAAAATGGAGATCAAAGAAAGTCCTCTAACCCTTGCACACATTTTACCCTGTATTTTCTTATTTCCCCTTGTAATTTCTACTATACTGTAATTGACATTAAAATATAGCAGACAGTATTTTTCCTCTCAGTGGAAAGCCTTGTTATTGTAAATAAAATCTGAAAGTGTGGTGTAATATTAGAGAGACTACTAAGTAATATAAATTGTTTCCTAGAGTTTTTAATCTATTCATTTTTGTAAAACCTCAAATGTTTGGAACCCATGTGAGTAAGTCTGTGCTCAGATATGCTTCTTATGATTATTGTGGATTTGTTTCAACATTTTGTTTTCTTGTTTTCCTATTAATTTACCTTGGAGGCAAGTTCTCCTGGCTCTTTCTTTTCTAAAAATCCTGGGACCTTCTTAATTTCGGGAAGTTCAAAACTCCATATATACTGTAATATCAGCAACAGATTTCCGTAGACAACCATGAAAGGAGAGCTGATCATGGCATATTTTCTTCTGTTGCGAATCATCCAAAGGGTGCATGACCAAATCAACAACACAAAGGTCAACCAGCTGTGATAGGTGATACTCCAAGCCTCGAGGGAGAAGGAAAGAGACAACACAACGATGGTGAGTACAATGTGGAGTCCCTGCTCTCTGCTGAGTTAGAAGTTGTCTAAAAGGAAAAGTGAATAATATTCAATCCAGGGAGAAGAGGGAGTGTGAAATCATGGAGAGACATCCCAACCTGGGGCATAAGGACAAACTGAAGAGAAAGACTGATCTCACCAAGAACATCATTGTTTTTTAACTTCCTGCAGGGAATGGAGCTGAGGGCACGGGTATGTTCCTTCTAAATTTTTTCCCCTTTAGGTAGAAAGGTCTTCATCTTCACCCTACTTTACAGTATTGAAAGCAACTGTAAGTGCTTCATCCCTTCTTTTTCCAAACTAGCTTGAGAGTGATTTAAGTCATTTAAGAGTGGCAGGTCAATGTGGTCATAGCTGGGCTCCGAAATGGAAGTCAAGGGCATCACTAGGGTAGGAACACAAGTTGGGCATCAGAGATCACTCTGGGATTATCTGAGATGTACACCATAGAAATCAGAAAATTTACACAAGGAAGGTGTGTCATTGGCTTCTGCACACTCCAAACAATAAAACCAAGTTCATTTGAAGGTCAGCCTTGGCTTTTGTCCTGCAAGGAGTAGGATTAAAGAGCCATCAGACTCATTGGACAAATGATACATCTCCTTCCATTCACATGAAATTTGCAAAGAATCAGAAATGTATCTCAAAGGGCAGCTACTGGAACAATACCTAAATCAGGCTCAAGACTATTAACAACTTTCGGAAATCTATTTTTTCTTACCATGATCTCTGATACTAAATCTTTGTAAAAAGACGTTTAAAAGCATTTTCTAGATATATTTGAGGCTAATTGAGTCAACTGTATTCCTGAATATCATGAATTACCAAGAGTTAGTTGGACAGTCCAAAATGTTTTACAAGTCTCTTTTGTTTCTGGAAAATAGAGAAGTATTAAGATAAAGGAAGTCAACATGGAACAGTTATTTCCTCTCAGCAATTTGCAAATTTGTCCTAAAGGACAGCTAGCTTTTTAAGTGGCGGATTATTTAAAATTTTTGGTTGAAACATGATAAACACAAGCTGGAAATTAAAATTGCTCTTATTAAAATTATATTAGTGACTGATAACCACTAGCAAGGCTGAATTATTTTCATGAAAATATGATTTCTTGAAAGTATTGTTTATCAGAAGTTAGGTAACATTAAATGCTTTTGCATTTGCATTAAATAGTGTATTTAATGCATTTATCCCAATATGAAATGCAGATGAGACTGCCATTTTTGTGTGTGACCCAGAATAATCTTATCTTCAGAGATATCATAATTCTAGTAGATTGTCCCCCTCCTCCCCACAAACTACTCTTGGGAAGGTGAGGGTGATAGAGGAAGGAAAGTAAGTTAAGAGGGTTTTTTTTTAAACCTCTTTCCTTTTTAGTGTCTAAGTCACCTATGCCTTTCAGTGTGGTGGTTCAGCCATTTCTGCATTACGTTCAGTTTCCAGATTGCCTGATAGTGTAGCAAATTTGTACTTTGTAGTTTTGAATAAATACATGTATCATTCTAACAGACTTTGCTCCCCAGGACTGTCCTTTCTGTCTGTGATTAAAATTCTGTTGCAGTAGGGTGCTTCTGTGGAAGGCAGGCACTTTTAAAAACACTAATATTATGGCTCTGTTAAAACAATGAAAATGGCACCAGATAAGGGCACGTCTTTAATGAAGGATCTGCTCTGTTATGTTGTTTTTACAATAGATTTTTTCTACTAAGTAGCAAAATGTGTATTCCAAGTTTTTTTGTTTTGTTTTGTTTTGTTTTTAAGCTCTATTTCTTTACAAAGAAAGACCAAACTAGGGGTGCCTGGGTGGCTCAGTCGGTTAAGTATCTGCCTCCAGCTCCAGTTATGATATCAGGGTCCCCCCTGCATTGAGCTTCCTGCTCCGTGGGGAGTCTGCTTCTCCCTCTCCCTCTGCCTTCTCTTCCCTGCTGCTTGTGCACGTGCTCTCTCTCTGTCAAACAAATAAATAAAATCTTAAAAAAAAAAAGATCAAACTGAACTGGCTTATTTTTAGAAAGAAGAAAAGTGTATAGATACTCTATTGAGTTCAGAGTCAGAATTGTATATTTCATTTATAATTGGTATTTTAAAATTAGAATTTTATTACAGTTTAAATTAGAGGTTGATATATCAAAAATGTCAAAAGGTACCAAGAGCACAGAATTAATATTATTTAAAGAACAGAGTTTGTAATCACTAAATGAACCATCTTTAATTTCCAAGAGCTTTCTCTTTGCCAGCCCTCTCTCAGATGCGCAGTGGTCCTTACGAGAAGCTGACATTGACTAAACATGCAGGTACATTTGGAAGACATCTTGAGGGTGTGACTGGAGAAATTGTGTTTAGGTATTTCCCCTTTAGAGGTATAGAATATTTTCATTTTTTATCATCAAAGTTGTCATGGGATCTCACCATTGACCACTAAATATGGAATATTTTTGTCATTTTTTGGACGATTTTATTTATTTATTTGACAGAGAGAGAGAGAGAGCGCGCCAGAGAGCACAATGGAGGGAAATAATAGAGGGAGCAGGAGAAACAGGCTCTCTGTTGATCAGGAAGTCCAATGTAGGACTCAATCCCAGGACCCTAGGACCATGACCTGAGCTGAAGGCAGATGCCCAACCAACTGAGCCACCTGCACCAATAGGGAAGAGTTTTGTGTTAGTTAAGTGTTAGGCATCTCAAAAATAAATCAGATTTCCCATACAAGCTTGTTTTTAAGAAGGTTATAAATTAGAGGGTCTTTTATTTTCTATCCCTAGGCTAAAGGACTATTTTTTTGAAGCTGTGATGCCCGAGATGGAAGAAGTGAGTATAAACACACATCAACTGAGCACGCACAATCAGAAAAGCTCTTGGAAACTCTGGTTGACGTTCATACTGAACATCATATGAACGTTCATATGAATTTGACTTTCATACTGGTAAAAATTTACTGCAGCTAAGATGGAGTAAAGTCTCACTCAAATTTAGGGTAAAATGTGAATGTAACTCTCACTGTCTGAAGAAAATAAAAGCAGTCTGTGTTAACTTTGGACACCTTCAATACCACACAGAAAAACTACCCAATAGATCTTTTAATTTTTAAAAAATGTATTATTATTATTACTATTATTTTATAGAGGGAGGGAGAGAGCAGGGGGAGGGTAGAGGGAGAGAGAATCTTAAGCAGGCTTCACACCTGGGGCAAAGCCCAATGTGGGACTTGATCTCACAACTTTGAGATCATGACCTGAGCTGAAATCAAGAGTTGGACATTTAACTGACTGAGCCACCCAGGGGGACCGCAATAGATCCTTTTAAATTGGCAAAAAAGGGAACAGTCACATTTGACAGGCTAATTTGAGAGAAATATACTAATATTTAAAAAGAGGCTAAATAGAACAGAACAGGATTTTGAAAACTGTAGTATGAGGGTCCCAAGAAAAATAAAAATAAACCAACCATCCCCCGCCAAGACATTAGGGAGATTAGAAACTGGTGCCAGCCACGAGAGGACTGTGGGGGCATTTGTGGAGCATGACCGCTGTCCCCTCTCATACATACCATCATGGCAATGAGGGCACAGATGTAACTTTGTTTCATAATAAACTGGAACACAGAGACCATGGCGTGAACTTTAACGCTTCGTTTCTCCTCATGGCTCCTTTCCTCCTCAAATTCTTCCTTCTCATCCTCTTCTTCCTCTTTCTTTTCTAGATAGAGAGATAATTTATATAACTTGATGCTAATATGTAAACTCTGGATAAATGTCCCCAGCAGTGTAGCACATATATGGTTTTAATACTTTTATTTAAGATTTTAGAGATGATTTCCAACTAACAAAGCCTTTAGATTCAAACAGATTCAGTAAGTGTTGCCTGGTCAGTGTAATGGAATCCTGCACTCAGAAATCCCAGAAAGAAAATTTGAATTTAAGAGATGATGGAGGGTAGCCTGTAAGATGGTTCCCAATGATCTTACCTCATGATCATGTATTCCTCTCCCCTTGAGTGTGGGTGGGACCTCACAAATAGGAGGGATGGTATAGAACTTCCAAGATCAAGTTTAAAAAGATCGTGACTTCTGCCTTGGCTACTTTCTCTCATTTTCCTGCTCATTCTGAGAAGCCAGCTGCCATGTTATAAACTGCCCTAAGAAGAGGTCTGGGAGGCAAGGAACTGCTTGCTAGTCTCTGGCTAGTTAGTAGTCAGCAAGAGCTTGAGGCCAGTCAATAACTCATGGGTGTGTGTGAAAGCAGATTCTCCTCAGGTGAGCCTTTAGATGAGACCACAGCCTGAGCCAGCAGCTTATCTATAACCTCATTGGAGACCTCGAGCCAGAGAAGCTCACCCTAGTCACACCTGATCCCTGCCCCCCAGAAACTGTGACAGTAAATGTTTTAAGCCACTAGTTTTTGGAATAATTTGCTTTTCAGTAATAGATAATTAATAAAAGAGTATCTGGAGTACAGATATAGTGAAGGTGCAGAAAACCAACCAGACAACCAACTGAGCAACCATTTTGCCAGCGTGAACTTGGTAACCCATATCATGCTGAGGCAGAAAGTCATACTAAGAATGGAAATATCAGATTAAAAGCAAGAAAAAGTGTGGAGGGCTGAGGAGAACAGGACCAGCAATGGAAAAGAACTGGCACAGTAGTGAAAGAAGGGTTTCTCCTCAAGATCCTCCTCTACAGGTCTGGAAAACTAATTTGATTTCAAACATGAAGTAATGAGTGACACACTTATGTGAAACATCCTTTCTGTCCTGTTCAAATTAAATGGGTCGCATGTAAGTGGGTTGCATCAGGGAGTTGCTCTACACCACAAAGAGGAAACATAAACCACCAAAAACCCAGTGAGCGTGCACAGCACTCTCCAGAAGTGAGTGTGGCATGATGTGGCAGTATTTCCTCGTGCACAAGCCCACTGCCTTCCACCCCTCCAATGTTGGGACTGGGGGCTATAAAGGAAGTCCACAGATGGGAGACAGGAAGAAATGGAGTCTGAGGCATTTTTCCAGTTCCTGGTGCTACTTTTCTGGTTGTAACACTGTCTGCGTATATAGATTCAAATTAAAAAAAAAAAACAAAAACTAACTTTCCAGCTTTTGTTTTACCTTTGGAAGTCCAGGTTATGATATGAGAAGGTGTGCGTGCCCTGTCAGTAGCCAAATTCTGCTCATTTCTCTTTATGTTAAGTCACGGGTAATGAAAAGACACCTGGCCGTGACTTGAGTGTCCCAACCTTTAGAAGTTGCAAATGCTGGTTCCTGGGCCTGTCCTTTGTAATTCAGATGCCAAAGAATGGAAGAACCCGCTTTAGAGAGTACAGTATTTCCTTGAGCTACTCGGTAAGTGAAAACCTTGGTTTAAGCCCAAGTTATGAACTGAAACACACGCACATAGAAAGCAGAAATGGGTAATTAACCCATGGAGTCTGGTGCTCCATGAAGATGGCAGGTGCCACCTGGGGGTGGGGGGATGGGCGGGGCTACTAGCTTAGGGACCTGAACTCTGTCTGACCTTACTAAGGAAGGCTGCAGAGTGTGACTAACCCTTTGTACTGCTCAGTGGATACCGGGTCAAGGACAACTGCAGGGAGTACTATAACTACACAGAACACTATAGTAGAGTAAGTCCGACAAAGAATTATGAAAAAAAAAAATACATTAAGCTGACTGTATCAATAATACAGACTGGAGAGTTGCCCAGTTGCTGGCCATTTACTCAAGGTAGGATCATGGGTCACAACTCTAGGTTTAATCCCATATAAACAGAAAACACCTGCATGTACTCTGCTTTTATATTTATCCCTCAGTAGCAAACTTAGTTAATTCTCCCTCTATGAATTGATGATAGGCATGGTCTCTGGCAGGACAGTGACAACAGTGGTTGAGTCAACTGTTGCCTTGCAGGAATGAGGGTCTAACATTGCCAAATATTCACATTGTTCAAGGGATTCCAGAAACTTCCATATCTCAGTCAGAGCTGCACTTTCAAAATGTTGGTTATTTTCGTTTTTTCGCTTCAGAAAATGCTGTGTAGGCCAACCAGACAAAACATGACCCAGGTCACAGACACCAATTTGTCATCTCTAGGAATGACCTGTTTTCCTTCAACATAATAAACTGAGAGAGACGGGAGGAAAAGGTCTAGTATAAGTTTCCAACCTCCCATTCTCCCCCCCCCCATTTTTTTTACTAGACAAAAAGTTCTGAAAACATTCATCCATTAACCAGCAGAATTTCTGACCATGATTATAATATCAAATTCTAGAAAAAACAAAACACACATACCCACATGGGTTTAACACCATAAATGAGTTGACATGTTTAAAACGATTTTTTGCCCTTTATTTTTCAAAGCTTTCAATTATACCATTATTTTGTACAGAAGGACAAACTAGCCATAGCAATATGGTGGGGCGATATACATGACTGAAGGAAAGAAGCTTCATTATGCTGACCATGGAAGACAATACCCGTTAGAAAAAAATAGAATGGACACAAGAAACAATGAAACGCAAAGAGATGTCCGGCGCATGCATGAGAGGAGACGAAAGCAGCAGGGCTGGCTTCTTACCTGAGGAGTCTTCGGAGGGCTGCCACCGGTACTGGGGGGTGGAGTACAGCTCGGCTTTGGCAGGGCCGTTCTCTATGGGCAGACTTGGGTGGATGGTATGGTAGTCTACAGGATTGCCGTTCACAGTCACCAGCAGGCCCTGGCAGGGGAGCGCGGGGGCAAAGGCACAGTTGTGTTTCCAATGTGGACACACTGCCTCCTTGCCTTGTGCTAGCTAGACAGAACCCTACAGTGGAGAACTGATTGACAGCTGAACGAGGTCGTCATTTACCCACTTGAGCAAAATGAATCATCTACACTCCTTGGTTCACATCTATTTTCCAGAGTGGTCCCAGTAAAAATGGAATCTGATCTTCTTGTATTTCTGCTAAACCCCAGGCAAGGCACCCTCTGTTCTTAGTACCAAGGGGAAACCCTGGAAAGGGCTGGCTGAGGCTTCCTGGTCTGGATTGATCCCCTCTCCAGCCTCTGCTCCTAGGGTTTCTCCTCCCAGCCCTCCTCCAGCTGTTGGAATTCCAGACTTTTCCTAGTTCCCAGCCAAAGCACCCCTACCTTGGCCACTCCCCACCCTGTCCACAACCCAGTGCAGCTCTGCAGAGGACTAATGCAGTCTTGGGTTAGCTAGAGCCCTCTCGGAAGGTCTTTGCTGAGGCTGTCATCTTGGAATTCCCATGTTGAACTTTGTAAACGCTTAGTGAGATTTCTTGTTTTTTCCCTGTCTCTTTGGCTTTAGGGTATAAGCGTGTGTGTGTGTGTGTGTGTGTGTGTGTCCATGAACATGCAAGACTTCCTATTCAAATTATGTAATAGGTCTATCTGCAGAGCAAAATGTTTTTAAGAACCCTCCAACCGGCTTTTAAAAAGTTTAAATACATTCTGTATGACTATAGTCGAGCTCATATTATATGAGGTAGTGTTATAACAGCAATAAACCAGATATAATTTCTACAAGAAAAATATTCAAAAACTTAGGGAAATTTTATAGATCATTAAAATATACTCAAAGGAGCCAATCCCATTTATATCACTTCTGCATCACTTATACGAGCATAAAAGATAATTCTAAGAATATACTAACATCGGATGGTTTGTAGTCATCTTGGGTCATGGATAAAAGCTGCAAAAGCAATGCAGGACAGCAGTGTTAATAGGTAAGCAAAAAGCATTGCAATGTTTATATATATCTGTAAAGTTTTACTACACATCTACCATTCCTTCAACTAGCTAGATGCTAGTATGTTAAAATTGCCAGGCAAAGTACAAAGGGACAAATAATTGAACTGGATGTCGTTATGTGTTATAACTACTCTCCAGCTTCTGGTGTTGACTTTTAATTGTGACAACAAATAACCAGTCACGAACCACGTGATTACAAAGGCTGATCGTATTTTTTAACTGTCTTATTTTACTAGAATAAGCTTCTGCTATTAGTATCCCCCCCAAACCCCTGAGACCTTTGTAGAATTCTGAAAACATTTACTTTTCAAGAAATAGATGTTTCATACTCAGGAAAAATTGATTTGTAATGCACGCTGAGAATATTTTAAGATTTACATATTATCTACCACAAACTAATTATTACATGACTGTGTTTTTATTTTTTACTTATTTATTTATTTTTTTTATGACTATGCTTTTAAACTATATTAGCACCAGGTGGTTTGGGCCTTCCTCAAGTAAGAAGCACTTTCTGGGCTAATGGTTCTCCAACTTTTTTGGATCAGTACTCATTTATAATCACAAAAAAATCACTGAGAATCCCAAGGAGTTTTTAATGATGTGGGTCCTGTCTATCAATATATACTATACTAGAAATTAAAACCGAGACCTTGAAAAATACTTATTAGCTCCATTAAATTTTCCTCAAAATTTAACATGTTCACATAAATCGTTTGATTCAAATAGCTATATTTAAAAAAAAAAACCAGTGAAAAAATATGCTTTTGTGTATCTTTTTAATATCTGGCTTAAAAGAAGACAGCTGGATTCTCATATCTGTTTGTGCATTTAATCTGCTGTGATATGTTATTCTGGATGAAATATATGAAGAAAATCTGGCTTCACCAAGCTTTGTAGTTGGAAAAAGAAAGAGTATGTCAATTGGCTAGCCAGGTCATTGTGGACAGTTGTTTGTTTTGATGCCATACCAAACTCAACAAGTGGTAGTGACCTTAAGATTAGCTGCTACGTGGAATCTGAAATTGTATCAATGAGAATTTCATTCCGTTATGTTAAAATCCCACTGCCGTATCACATATTGGTGATTTGCCTCAGTGAGTTATACTGTCTACCAAATATTGACACACTTCATTACACAATATTTAAAAAAAACTCATTTGTTAATACAGTCTTATCACTGATCTCATCATGGAGGTCCTCAAGTATGGGGGCATTTTCAAGCTCTGAAGAATGGATCCAAGTTTTCTAATATTCTAATTTTCACTCAAAATTTCAAATTTTACCACTGGCAACAAACATTGTCGGTTGTTTGCCTTGAAGTGATGGGCTCACTTCATGTACTTGCCAGGAATTCTCTGCCAAATCCTCATCTCTGAACACCCGTAACTCATCCACTTGTGGTTCCTCCCAGGGCCTGTGGTGTGCGGTGGGCGATAGCCAGCTCAGCTCACCCTTCCTACAGTTGACCAAGGGCTTTTGAGCAAGACATCATCACCCTCTCACACGTGGTACTCTGTTGGACTTCCCATTTTGCCACACAGGGTATTAAAAATACGGTGAGTTCTGAAGTAGAGATTTAAGAAAATGGATATCCATTTTTGGTTCACCAAGGACATTCATAAGTGAACCAGCCTCACCGCTTTGTTTCTTCAGAGTGTGCGGCCACCAAGGGTAGGGCTGTGGGTGTGGGGGATTCGTGCCACCGCCTGGGTCTGCTTTTTGCTTTTGTATTAGCAGAATGCAAGTCGGCATAGTGAAAAGAAGGCACGTATTTTAAATATTACTTAAACAAGAGTTTTGAGCTTATGGAGGGTCTCAGGAATTCCCCAGAAGTCCATAGGTCTCTCCATTTGAAAAATTCCTGGGCTATCTTCTATGGCTATCTGTCGTTTGTAAAAGAAGCAGGATAATCTGACACATGGTGTGATGAGAGAGAAAGGCCCCTGGAAATCCTCAGACATCTTAGGGCACCCCATGGGCCGGCAAGGTCATCCACTGCCGTGAGGCAGCTCATTCATTGCTTTGCCCTCTCTCAGCACATGGCGGCCATGTTGAGAACAAGACCATGTGACTTCAAGAACCCACTGGCCACCAAATAAGTCAGAGAATCTACTCCTCAATTCTCTAACATGCTACCAAGCAAGTGGTTTGTATCTGTCATGATGACATTGCAAATGGGCATTTTTAATGAGTCAGTATAGCCCTGAGTTGAGTTCAACATGGTCAATAATTGCTCCAAGGGTTATATGAATTACCCATCGTGACTTGCTTTTCCTTGTCAATCCATACTGTTGCCTGGGAGTAGTAAGAGATCCTTAATCATATTCACATAGACTGTTTTGTTTTCTCTAAGTGGTTGCTTGAGTTATTACTGTGGCCAGCTGGCCAATGAAATGAAATTATTTTCTGCAATGTTTTGACACTGAGACTTTCCCTGCCTGTGCTAACAGTTGCTTTGTTATTTTTTGTTTGTTCTAAACACAAATCTATTTTTCTTTTTAAATTAAGTCTTTCTTTTAAGGATGAAGAGACTTCATAGAAAGCACTCAAATGTAAACTGGTGTTTTCATAGCACTGGGTTCCCCTCTCTGCATAGAGCTTTCTGCTACCGAGACTTCAAAATCAAACTCCTTCTGTAAACTATGCACAATCTGAGTTTGCATACGATATATGACTCATATTCAGCAATGTAACACAAAAGAATCAAAATAAATTAGGGAATGGAAATTGCTTTCTTGTGGCTTACTTTTCTTTCATCAGTTGGGTAATGGGTGGCATACCACAGGCTTCGCCTCCTCTCCGCTGTTATTTGGATGGGGCTACAAGCCAGGGCTCTGTCCTCTTCCTTGGTCCTGTCATCCTGCACCTGAGACACAGAATAACCCACAGGACCAGCTCTGCTTCCCAGAGCAGCTCCCTTAGTGGCCTGGGGGACCCCGAGAAAGTGTTTCCCCCATGCCTTGATAATGATCAATTTTTTTAAATGAATGTATATGATAGGTGGGATTTCATCAAGACATTTTAAAGAATGACACCAATGCTCCCTTGTAAATTCTCAGCACATCAATGATACATCCTGATCCCTTCTAAGCCCCATAAATAACAGAGATGAGCTCTCATGTGAACTATCCACACCTTCCCACCAGGTATTCCAAAGTCCACTCACCACGCAAATGGTTCTTAAAGGAAGGACCTTCAAAAAAGTGCTCAGTGGACTGTGTGACCCACCCATGGTTAGTCTTTAATTAAAAGGAAATTAAGTAAAGGCAGAATCATTGAGAGCTTACACACAACAGTAAGGAAGAACTCATCTAATGCACAAAACCATCACCTTGCCTTACAGGACACTGGCCTACATTAGACAATTGGTCTAGAAGAGATATAAAGAAAGAGAGAGAGTATAAGGGGCAGAATGCCCTTGAGTGCTTTTGTATGGTTTCCCAACAAAGGTGTTCCAACATAAAGGGCATTAACACACCACCGATAGTGGAGTGCAGGAAGGGAACTTAAGGTCTTGGTGCCCAGTTTCTGGGTTCTGGTATGCCAGGGTAGGGTACCCATAGGGAGAACCCAAATGCCTTGGGTGGGAGTTCATACATGCCAGGTGGGAGCCCATACACTATTTAATTCTTGACACCTGCTTCTCTCTCTCTCTCTCTCTCTTTCTTAAACATGCATCATAGACTTTCACCTCAGAACTCACATTTGCTGGCTGGCATTTTTCATGAAATGTGCCAGGTCATCTGGAACTATGATATAATCAGCCACCTGTCTTCCATCATTGCCTCAATGAGAAAGTGCTGTGTCCCAGCCCATTTAAAATACTGGCCACCTGAAATGTTGACGCTGGTATGAATTAGGCCCTGTTCTCCACACACCCCTCTAGACACTGCGGTCTATAAGACGGCTATTAAGTCTACTTTCCTTTGTCCCCAGAGGGCCCTCGGCTGAGGAAGCCGAATGTCTCATGGACCTGAGGGGCTGTAACACAGCCTTCACCCATACAGAAGCATGACAACATGGGTATGTAAGTTCCTGTCATTCTGTGGGGCTGCCTGAGGTCTCACAGAGAAAGTGAAGAACACAGAGAACACTTATTAACTTGGATGACTTAAAGTTATCTTCATCCCTTGTAAGATGCTGTTGAGAAACCGTTCCCACAATATATTTTAATTCCTTTGGTATATACTTTTATTTGCACATGTGTGCCCATCCCTTACCTTCTGTGTGTTTATGGAGGAAGTGAACACAATGACATCACTTTAAAGCATTTTATGGGCACACGCAAGTTTTGGGAGCGAGTTGGAGAAAAATGTAACACAAAATGATTGGCATTCCTTATGACCCCAGAAAGCATTTTGTTGCATGCAGCTGCCATCAGTGGGCCCCAAGAAAGATGCCCTATGAGAACCCTGCGAACAGAAGTGCCTCTGTGGCCCCTGTTACCCGGGACTGTCTGCCCAGTGAGGAGAAGGTGTCACACAGGAGGAAGGACAGGACAGAATCCCATTTCTGCAGGAAGCACTTCAGCTGGGGAGGGATGAGGACATCCAATTCCCCTAATTCCATTGTACTGACTCGGATCCCATTTACTTGTTTTGGGTAAGCTTTTTTTCTGGTAAAATGTCCAGTTCCTCTGAGTGGAACCCTCGCCTCTGGGCAATATTCTAGCCCCCAGCTTAGCGTCTGAGGTAATTGGCTTTCAATAAATATCCTGTCTGCCTGTCGGGCTGCCTGAGTGAATGTATGAACAACAGTCTTGCGGGTATGAACACAGAAAAGGCCCGATCTAGAAGTGACAGGAGAGGACGTGTGACTTCACGCAGCCATGCTCATTAGGAACGGCTTCTCAGGTGTGGATGCTCCCCTGGCAGGTGGTGGATGAGAGGTGTGACAACCCTCGTCTACACTACTTTCCTGCCTTGTGTGCTGATGAGCTACCTGATGACTGAGCTTCTTAGAGTCAATTAGGATAAGAAATGTAAGTGGCTAATGTTTTCTCTCACGAAAAGGGAAAAGAGAGAAGCTACCCAGGCTCCCTTGCCTGGCCCTCAAAGGTGGCATACGCCTTGTTAATAATACGCCATGGGAAGAAACCAGTTCTCTGTTGTGCTTAAAGGAAACTCCCTGGTCCCCATACCTCACAATGGGGTACTTGGGAAACTCCAGGTACCACTGACAGCTGGGGTGTCCCTATCCCATCCACAGATGTTAGAGGTCTGAGAAGGTTCTGGAAGTCTGGGCACCAAGATAACAGTCTGGCTTGTCCCCAGAGCCCTAGCTTTGTTGTCAAATGTGGGTTTGAAGCTAATTCCTACTGCTCAGACCAATTTACCTCTCTAACCTCACTTTCCTCATCTTTAGGATGGGTATGATACCTATTCAGAGTTACATAGTGCATGAAATGGAGATAATGTAGAGGAACAGCCTGGTGTACGACCTGGCACTTAGTAAGTCCTCAATGAAGGTATCTTTGATTTTCCTCACCACTGACCATTCTTGCTGGTGATATATCAAAGGGAAACCAGGCTTTGTTCTAATAGCACATGTATTCCCATCGTGCTCTTTGCAAAAATAAAATATTAGAACCAGAACACTATAGCTGTTTAAGAATTTAGCACTGGTAAGTCAGCAGTTAATAAGAATGGCCCGGGGTGCCTGGGAAGCTCAGTCAGTTAAGCGTCTGCCTTCGGGTCAAGTCATGATCTCGGGGTCCTGGGATCGAGCCCCACATCAGGCTCCCTGCTCGGCTGGGAGCCTGCTTCTCCCTCTCCCTCCCCCTGCTTGTGCTCCCTCTCTTGCACTATTAAATGGATAAATTAAAAAATTAAAAAAAAATAGGAATGGACTGGTTCCCCTGGAGTTTCCAGGTTACTCAGCCTGTAAGATCACCAAACGTTTCGATCCTTACAAGAGGCTCCTGTAGCCAGATGCGGATGAGCGTTGCGAGCGTGTAGTACATCACCAGGAGGACGATGGGGTTGGCATGGTGATACCATGACAGGTCTGGGTTTGCTATGATCTTCCAGGTGCTGGAACAGTCTGTGTGAATGACTGATTTGATACCAAACAACCTGTTTCAAAACAAAAGAAAATATTAGGAAGACGCAATAAACTACATGTCCCTAACTTAGTAAAAACATCTTGTTTTTAAGAGGCTTATGAGCTAGCCCTAGGCTAAGCCATCCCAGTGTAGATATTTCATTACTTTTCAGTATATACAACTGTATCCCTAAATGACATCTGTACATATACATATAATGTATATTATAAAATACATATATTTTATATACATATAATACACATATATACATATATATACATAATATATACGTATATAGAAAATATACATCCTTAAATCATATAAATGTGTGTTAATGTGTGTGCAAGTATATAAAATCAATAATCTTTACACTGACTCAAAAATCTAATACTATCTAATCTAATATATAATGCTAATACCATTAATCAGACTAATTTATCTAATAATAACTCCTTGCACACCTATTAGAAATTTACATTTTAATTGCCAATCAACCCTATTAGATGCCTGCATTACTGAAATGCCAAGTATGTGGGGACACGTTACTAAGGTCAGCTTAATGGGCACCTATTTTGTTTTTGGCAGGATTTAGTGTTAGCTATTCAGCTGGTATTGATATTCTTGGGCAAATATTGAAATTGGACACAGTTCTATGATTCAGCCATAAAAGCCAGATAGTATATACTAGAATTTCTGGAAGATATATATTTCTGTCAAATTTCATTTATGGGCAAATTCTCATTTTAAAACTTTATGATTAATTATTTATTTTGAAATATAACTTTATGAGGCTTGTTAAATTTTGAAATGATATACTTTTTATGTTATTCCTACTATAGGATCAGAAGGTCTCTGACTCTATCATGGGAAATTATATAAATATGATTCATTGGGAATTCATTTTACATGAACTTTTTCTAAGAAAGGATTTTATTAAATGAATAAAACATTTACGTTAAGTGAGTCTCTTTCTATTGTTTGTATCTCTTAGATGTGAACTTCCTTTAATGCTTATGTTATATTCTTCATTCAGTTGTAAGATCTTCAAGAACTATACATCCCTCACTTATAAAATCTCCCAGGACTCTCACTATTTTCTATCACAAGGCAAATGTCATATTGGTGAATCGTTCAACATAGATTTTAGAGTAAGCTAAATAGAAACTAAACTTTCTTCAATTTTATCAGAAAAATAGAAGTTATAGTAGAACTTGCTCTTATTACAAGGCTTTTCTTCTAAGTCTAGCAAGATTCTTTGTACTTAGCATTAGAAGGAAAAATGTCCTGCTAACAAAAAGAGTTATGTCCAGGGGCGCCTGGGTGGCTCAGTGAGTTAAAGCCTCTGCCTTCGGCTCAGGTCATGATCCCAGGGTCCTGGGATCGAGCCCCGCATTGGGGCGGGGGGTCTCTGCTCAGCAGGGAGCTGGCTTCTCCCTCTCTCTGCCTGCCTCTCTGCCTACTTGTGATCTCTGTCTGTCAAATAAATAAATAAATAAAATATTAAAAAAAAAACAGAGTTATGTCCCTATTAGAATGGTGGAACACTCTGAAAATGGTTTTGCTGTCCTAGATTAAAATGTCAATTTCCGGTATGTAATGTGCAGAACTGAAAGCATTGAGATTTCGAATCAAACGTTAGCTTAAAGTCTCTGGATTAATCAGGCATAGGTTTCAGCCCCCAACTCATTCCTCTTCTTGTCTCACACCTGGTGCATGCACTAACAATGACATCATCAATCACCAGTTTATATATACCTGTGTCAGAAAGTCAGTAGTAATTTCTGCAGCTGTCTGTAAACTGAACCACATGCCTCCTAAAAGTCTACATGGACACTCCACAACTTACCATTAATATTATAGCTTATTCCACACTGATTTTGCACACTTACGTAAGAATAGTGAGAATCAGTCTCATGTTTTGTACTACGAGTATGGACTAACTAACATGGGTCAGAAGTTCTAGAATGATGGATTGTGGTATCCTTTAAGGAACTTCTAACAGTATTAGACAAATATGGTTAAGACCTAAGAGTTCTCTGTTCTTTTTTCTTTTTTTTAAATAGGTTGGATGCTCTAGATAAAAATTTTTATATAACATGGGAGGTTTGTACTTAAAGTTTCACATCATTTCTGGCACAAAAATTCTAGGATGCTGTGTAACACCCAACTATTATTTAATTTACTCAGTTTTTACTTGTGAACCTTCCCTATCCCGAATTGCTTCTTAATATTGACAATACAAAGAAAAGTGAAATTATCAGACCTGGCCTTCAGGAAACTCACTCTCGATCTCACCACAGGGATGAGACATGCTTGTTTGAGGAGAGCAAGATGTTATAGAACCCCTTCTATCTGGAGGTGTTTCTGTCTGGAGAGGGTAGTCAGGAGGAAGAATGTTCCATGTCAGGATAGTCAAAGAAGGGTGGGTGAGTAAATGAGAGAAAAGAGAAGTCCTATCAGATGTTGCCAGGCTGTGGGGCTGGGCTGGGAAGATAAACTGGGCACAGTGAGAACAATTCTCTATTTTTGTTACTGCTGCCTCATTGGATATATATATAAACTTCCTTCCATCTTGATGATTCTCATATAACTGCTCATGTATTTACAGTGGTCCTACTTCACATTTATTGAATAAAAATGCCCATATTGTTCATTGGTCATTAAAATACTAAAAAATGACTATCTTATATCTTTCTCCATAGAAATGTCTCTTTGCCTGAGAAGCAAATAGTGACACGGCCATGGAGCTCTGCATTCCTGTTTATTGCTCATTTAGAATCAGAAAGATAAAGCTTCTCTCTTCAATGCATTTGGAATACACGTGGACCCCAGGCTGGTTCTATCAATAACAGACAAGTGTGCATTTGGTAGGTGGCTCACCGTCTCTGAAAATCCGGTTCCTTATAAAACCTAATAGAATTAGGGGTAGGCAGGGGTGTAAGCACATGAACAAAGAAAGAACATTTTCCAGAAGATCTTAAGATCTCACAAACTCTTCTATTTTTCAGAGGATGGCTGGAGACAGCTTCCTCTGTGATGGTCAGTTTCCAGTAGAAACATATCAGACCCTTGGGGCACACGCTCTTGCTTTGGTATCTGGCCTGTCCTGCTCTGCTATTTCACTCCCAACATCCCTGTCCACAGAACATGTCCTCAGCTTCTCTTCCTGAACAATTGTAGCACAAAGGGTGGTCTCTAGTTTCTCTCTCCTCTACAGTGTGACCATTGTTAGAGTCACCTTCAGAAAACTCAAGTTCAGCATGCCACCTTCTTCTTCCCATTTCCTATTTCCTTTTCATTTGCTGTCTGCAGAATAACCCCAAGTCCCAGCAGATTATTTCCCAAGCCTCAAGCAGCCAGGTCTCCTCTCATCCTCCCAAACACCATGAACTCAAGCTATGCTGGGCTATTTGGGGTTTACCATAAAATCTCAGTCCCTTTGGCCTTGCTACTTCTTGTTTGACCAGAGTGATTTCCAGATAGTTGTGACTTTTCATGGGTTGCCAAATCAATGATTGGGGTATGTGCTCCAGGAAGGCTCTGTCCTCTCCTTGGAAATGCAAAACCAAGGCAGCAGGCCAGGCAGACTCTCAGACTCTCAGATATCTCTCAGGACCACTTCAGTCCCACCTCAACTGCACCCCATAGCCTACACATATCAACATACTCCTTCCAAGTAAGCTCAACCACTCCAAATTACTGTAGGGAACCCTGGGACACTAGCAGCCCTGGAATACATAATTATATTACCACCATAACCCATCACCTGAACCCTCATGCTCATTGATGATGGTTGTTGTTGCTGAAAGCATTAATTCTTCATTCTTTCTTTTGGTCTGGATGGCCTATAGTTAATGTAAAGCTGATCTTCTAAAATTAATTTCTAACACTCTTCATTTGGCTTCTTTTTCTTGTTCCTTTCTGTTTTGGGGGGACATCCTGGACATCATCAACGTCTACCTCTTGGGATTTAGGGAATCCACCTCTGGGAAATGTTGGATTTCTAACTGGAATAAATTTGCCCTGCCCAACGCATAAACAAGAACAGTATTTGCAGTCATAATTTGTAGTTGGATTATTGTTAGTTTATGTGCTTATCTCTGCCCAGCTTGATTCTAATTTCTTCGAAAAGGGATATGCGTTTTGTCATCTCACTTTGATGGACGTGCCTAGCATATAGCAAGTTTTAAGTGTAAGCTTCTGCGAATGAATTAAAAGCACTAAGGCTAAATTATACCACGAAGTTATAGCAGGTGACCGTGGTTACAGCAGGAGTAGAGACTAACGGATAGCAAAGTTACTGTTTTTGAAAAAGGAAAAGAGAAAGAAGGAATGGGAAGGAACCATAGTTCACAGGAGAATTCTAGAATTTTTAGAGAACCATTGCTGCAGCCCTGGCCACACCCTCCATCATTTTAGTGCCCTCAGTCTAGGAAATAAGAACACAGAATAAGCCTAACAAAGGCATCGCAAGGACACTTTATCTAAATTCTGTCTTAGATCATATGTAACAGAATTATTTTTATTCTCTACAGGCTGCCAATAAGAATTTGGAACTTTATCTTTTGGAAGAGTCAATACATAAATGTACATAGACGAGAAGTAACTTCTTCAACTCCAGAGGTTGATAATTAAGAAGCAGTAAGAGATTCGAATACTCAATAAGAGCAAAATATGGAGCAGCCTGGAACATTCCTTCAAGACCCCCCCAAAAGTGCGCCTTACTCAGATTATTATGTGTAAAAATCCATTTCACCCCTTTTGATAGAAGAGGACATTGGAGCTACAAGGAGTATCCCTGATCCCAGAACATTGGTTATTCTTCACCTGCAGGCCCAAGCGGACAGCTGACTCTCTCAGCTCTGTTGGAGGCTCTGTGGGCTCACTGTAGATGCCTCTCCACCTGCCCGGGGGCACTGGTTTTGCACTTTTTTTTTCCTCTTCCTCCAAGGCACTCATAATATCTGACAACATATGGTGACTACGAATTGGCAAGGTATTTGTTTCAATTTGCACATGTTGGCAGATTTA